ATAAAAGCAAGATGCCAGGGCCAGAGATAAAGACTGGGATTGTTTACACATCCATGGCCTGGAGACTTCATTTTGTTTTTCTGCCAATGGTTTACCTACAGAAATATTAGTGTGTATAACTGTAGAAATGAATTACATCATACTAGAGGGCGTGGTGCATGAAATTTGTGCACTGGGTGGGGGTCCCTCAGCCCAGCCTGTGCCCTCTCACAGTCTGGGAGCCTTAGGGGATGTCTGACTGATGGCTTAGGCCTGCGGGAGTCCCCTGCATATATTAATGTTATGCACCAGGCCTCTAGTGAAGGGTATAATATAATGTCTTTGTTAATCATTGAAATCTCTGAAGATATGGTATATCTTATCTTCCTAGTACACATGAGAAGGAAATTATTTCATATTTCTTTGAGAGGTTTTTTTTTTTTTTTTTGAGGGAGGGGAAGAATAATAAAAACAAAAATTTGTCCTTTTGATGGTAGAAAAGTGAATGGTAACTACACCATACATGACTGATTTGCTTCCCTTTGTCCCAGTATATAAAGAAATAGACTCATCGCTCTGATAGATCTGTGTTTAAAGTGAGAATTTGAACTCTATGCAACAGCTAAATAACTTAGAAATGTATAGTGAAAACGAGGCTTTTCCATTGAGTAAACTGTTTTTCCTTAAACCATTGTGTGTTTTTAAACTCGAAGGCTGGGGGAAGACTTAGGACAGATTTTTCTGAGGACTAAGCAACATGCTAGAAAAGCCAAAAGGAACCCAATGAAGGTGATAAGGAACCTTCCGAACCTATAGAATTTCTCTGAGGCTTCAAAACTAGTGCATGCATATTGAAGTTGATGTTTTCATATCATTTCATAGCGTTTTAAAATAATCACTGTTTGCTGCATCTTATGCACCGTTACTTCAGGAATTTGCTTACCAAGGGTAGGACATTCTTAGCTAAGGTCCACGATTCCCACCAAAACATGTCTTTTGTTATATTGTGAGGTTTTCTGTCATGCTACAAAGATTGGTGTAAGAGAAATTTTACTTCTGTTTCATGAGAGATTTGTAGTTAATGCTATATTTAAAATTGACCTTTTAAATTAAATAAATCTTAGAGGAGAATAGCATTCCTAAATCAGGAGGCCTAATGGGCTTGAGAATTAGGTAAATATTCATATTTGCTTCTGAATATTTTGGATTGTTATTTCCTGTACCTGCTGCATTTCTACCGAATGCCTTTGAAGTTCTGATTGCTAATTAATTGAGGCTTTTATTTTTCCAGGAGATTCAATGTTATTAATTAAAAGTTTAAATGGTGTTTCTTTTTTGTAAGAATTGGAATTCGATTTTGGTGCAGGGACCACAAATGTAATTTATTTAAATGACAGTCATTGAAACACTGCCAGGTATTTGCTTGCTTGTTATTTATTTTGGCTTTTTCTTTCTACAGAAAGTTGATGTGGAAAAATGGGTATGTGTTTCCATGGATTTGCAAAGGAATTGTGATCTTAACACGTGCACGTTTGCTCTTGCCTCTAATATTTCTGTGTGGCTTCCTGGTGTGGCTTGTACTACTAGTTTTCACAATAACTGCTGTGTTGTACTGAACAAATATGAACAGGTCTCTAGCTAGAACCTTGTGTATGGTTTGGTTCAACTAAATTGGGGGATATGAAAATGTTCTCCCCCCCCTTCCCCCTGAGCTATATAAATTCTCTGTAATTGGTTTCCTAATGCGATGCACTTCAGTCAACAAGGGGGCTTTTAGTACATCACTTATCACAAATCTTAATCTTAAAGTCATACTGTGTAGCCCTTATGTTTTCCCACGTATGATAGAAACTGGCGATTACAACCTTGAAAGGTGAAGGCGATAGTGTCATAAAGAAAGGACTCGTTTGCAGGATTTTGGACGCTGCGTTTGGGACTGCGGTGTGATGTGGCCAAGTTTCCATTATTACTTTGGTACTATGGTCTCTTTAAGAGCCAGAGATAGGGAGGGAGGAAGGAACAGGTAGAATTTGTTATCTGTTTCTATCCTTGGGTGTCACAGAAAGACACTGCTGTGTGTGTGTGTGTGTGTGTGTGTGTGTGTGTGTGGCGGGGATCTCCTCTGTTCCCTGGGTTAACACAGGCTAGGTCTTGGGGCCTTTCTCCTATTCAGACATGAAACATCCCAAGTCATTTCAAGTCACACAAGTCTCATGTGGTAACTAAAATGCCCAGCCCCGTGCCAAAATCGGTTTGGCTCAGTGGTAGAGCGTCGGCCTGCAGATTGAAAGGTCCCGGGTTGGATTCCGGTCAAGGGCATCGACCTTAGTTGCGGGCACATCCCCCAGTAGGGAGTGTGCAAGAGGCAGCTGATCGATGATTCTCTCTCATCGATGTTTCTAACTCTCTATCCCTCTCTCTTCCTCTCTGTAAAAAATCATTAAAATATATTAATAAAATAAAATGCCCAGCCCCATGCAATAGGAGGATCCAAACTGAATTCCAGTTAATTTGTCTCCATAGCTCAGGCCTCTCCAGGGTGGAGGCCTGCAGGCGAGGTGAGGCAGGGCCTTCCACTCACCCCCACGTGTGTTTCTGATGTAGTTATTCTCTCCAGATGAACTGGAGGAAGAAGGAAGCCTGAGGCAGCTCTCCTGCTCGTATTTAGGGCTTCATACAAGCGTCCCAGAGATAAAGGGTGAGGACTGCAGTGGCTTATCAGACGGGTATAGTTTTCTTTTCCTCTAAAAGAGGACTAAACAACTGTAGCATATATGCTAGATCCACTGCACTCAAAAGAATAGACAGTCTATTTAAACATTGTGTGTGCAGTGTAGATAGCCTGAAAAAACAACAGCTACTACCAATCGGCTCCCCCAAAATTGTAAAAATACCAGCGTGCCAATGCTGGTCATGAGTGTGCGTGATGCGGGGCGGGGCCTCGGGCTGTGTCATTGCATGTGCAGGTGGCAGCCCAGCCCCTTTTAGATGCTCTGGGGCCACTCTGCACAGTCTATCAACAGAGCACTCTGGGGTCTTGTCCGTGTGAAGTCTAGAAAGAAAGCATTTCTATGGGATATTAAAAAATCTTCACCCTAAGGAAATGCTTTTCATTGATTTTAGAGAGAGAAGAAGGGAGAGGGAGAGGGAGAGAGAGGAATATAAATATGAGGGAAAAACATCCATAGGTTGCCTCCCATACACAACCGGACCAGGGAGAGGATCCCCAACTTTTGTGGTGTGTGTGTGTGTGTGTGTGTGGGGGGGTGTGTTCTTTTTTTTGCGAGTATGTGTGTGTGTGTGTGTGTGTGTGTATGTGTGTGTGTGTGTGTGTGTGTTTGTGTGTGTGTGTGTGTGTGTGTGTGTGTGTGTGTGTGTGTGTGTGTGTGTGTGTGTGTGTGTGTGTGTGTGTGGTGTGTGGTGTGTGTGTGGTGTGTGTGTGTGTGTGTGTGGTGTGTGTGTGTGTGGTGTGTGGTGTGTGTGTGTGTGTGTGTGTGGTGTGTGTGTGTGTGTGTGTGTGTGTTCACACGTAAGACAATAGATCACACTCCTACTTCATGGGGTGTTTTTATCAAAGACATATTTGAGGTTCTCTACGAATGTATATCCAGATACCCTGTTGGATAGTATATATTGATATATGCTTACGACTTGAAATTGTTAATATTAAATGTCTTTTGTTTTCTAAAATTCGTTAGGAGCATCAATATCATCATGAATCTAAAACAGCCACCAAAACCAAGTCTTTGTGCGTGAAACACCTTTTTTTGTCAACATGATGGGGTTGAACAGATTACCTCACTCATAAGGACAGGTTACCAGACAATGACCTCCTGACATCATTTACCATTGATATCAGTGATAGACACGTAACTAAACAGCCTCTCATTTTTAATCTTAAAATGAAATGATCCTTTACAATTTTTCCTTAAATTATAAAATTAAAAATGGAAGGCTGGCTGGTGTGGCTCAGTGGTTGAGTGTCATGTCCATGTTGGAGGCCCCATTCCCAATGTGTGATCATGCAGGAGGCAGCCAATCAATGATTCTCTCTCATCATTTATGTTTCTCTCTCCCCCCCCCACCCCGCTTCCTCTCTGAAGTCAGTAAAAAAATATATTAAAGAAAAAAATCTGTCGCAAGAGAATGCCACTAATGTACATATCACTATGTTTTTATGTTTCAGGGAACCAACTGTGGTATCTATAAGTTGTAGGTTGAAAACTTGCTATTTTCTGTAAAACTAATGTGAATAGGTGTATCTTTTCTCTGTAGGACTTGGATGCTTATGACAACTAAATGTAGTCCTAAGTTTGGAAAAGCAATGCCATTTCCCTTCCTAGTTCTTTTTTATCTGTGTACACCTCCTAGGAGTAGGTGAAGGAAACTCTATGGGCCTAAGAGAAAACGAGGGGATATATGCACATACTATGTTTTGGAGAAGAAAAAGGAGCCATTATAAGTTACGGGAAGGGGCTGTCATTTTAAGAGCAAAGTTTCTGTGGTATTTTCTCTGGGTTTCCCGACTCACACATGTAGGTTCGGGAAGGGTTCCTGGTTACTATCACCTCGGCACTTTAGTGATGACCACCCTCACCTGCTTCCAATCCACTGTTCTTACTAAAATTAGCTGCGTTGCCGTTTATATCACTGAATTGTAATGCAAAAGATGAAGTGAAACGGGTTTAAAAGCATTTTCAGAGTATAATTTTAAGATGATATCTTCGGGCTTTTTTGGCGCTTAGATATGTTGTAAATTGAAACAGGCATCACATAGAGAGCATGTTTTCCCAGGAAAAAAAAGAATTAATGTAAAAACACTTGTAAAAAGAGTTTTGCTTGCTCCAGCTTTTACCTGGCATGCAGTTGATACTGTTTCGTTGTGACAACACAGTGAATGTGTTTCTGTATGTTTATTGTCCACATAATTCCACTTAGAAATCTTCATAAGTAAGAGATCTTTTAAAATGTCTTGGAAATAATATGTTTAATGCCTTTTCTCTTTCCTTCTGCCCCCACAGAAATTCATGATGAAGGTAAGACACTGGGTCATCTGCTATGTGTTTTGTTTTGTACACTTCATGTTTGGTGTAAACTTTGAATTCATGGCACTTTTCACATCTGAAAGTTTTAGAAATTAAATCAAACGTTGGAGCTTTTAAATTTATTGGGTCGGCAACTAAGTAATTGCGGATTTTAAAAAAATCAAAGACAATTTTTTTATGGAACTAAATAACTTTATTCTGTAATGTATTGCCCATTTTGATCAATGACCTTTTGCCATCTTTCAGGCAGCATCATAATCCCACGTTCAAAAAACTTCTGGTTTTTATTAGCAAAAAACTGAATCAGGTACGATTTGACATCATCATCATTATTGAAATTTTTACCATTCAAGGAGTTTTGTAAAGATCGAAACAAAAAGTAATCAGATGGTGCAAGGTCAGGACTATATGGTGGATGTGGCAAAACATCCCAACCAAGCTCCATTAATTTTTGCCGAGTGACCAAAGATGTGTGTGGCCTTGCATTGTCATGATGGAATACAACACCTTTTCGATTTGTCAATTCGGGCCACTTTTCTTCAACTGCATTGTTTAATTTCATTAGTTGTTCAATGTAGACATCAGAATTGATCGTTCGGTTGGGTGGTAAGAGTTCAAAGTAGACAATTCCTTTGTAATCCCACCAAACTGATAACAAAACCTTCTTTTGATGAATATCAGCTTTTGATGTTGTTTGAGTTGGTTCACCTGGCCTGCTCCACGATCTTTTCTGCTTGATATTGTTGTAAACAACCCATTTTTCATCGCCAGTTATCAGTTGTTTTAAAAATGGATCATTTTCATTACGTTTCTTTAGCAAATCGCAGCTGCTAATGCGTTGCGTTAACTGTGATTCTTTCAGTTCGTGAGGAACCCATGTATCGAGTTTTTGAACATAGCCAAGTTGTTTTAAGTGATTTTCAATGCATGTATGTGATACATGAAGCTTCTCTGCAATCTCACGTGTTGTACTGTGACAGTCTGAATTGATTATTGCTTTGATTAGGGCGTCATCAACTTCAACTGGACGACCAGAGCGTTTTTCATCTTTGAGTGAAAAATCACCAGAACAAAATTTGGCAAACCAATTTTGACACTGCCGTTCTTTTAAGGCTTCGTCACCATAGACAGCACATAACTTTTTATGAGCTTGCGATGCGTTTTTCCCTTTGCGGAAATAAAAAAGCAAAATATGACGAAAATGTTCCTTTTGATTTTCCATTTTTCAACGAACGCCAAACGAAAACTACAAAACAGATCAAAAAACTTTTTTTACTGATTAACAGCTGAATAGCCAACTATCAAATAACAAAATGTGTTTTACATTTGTACTACGTCTGCAAACCTAAAAATTCAACTGAAGCCATATATGTGTGAAACCCGCAATTACTTAGCTGCCGACCCAATAAATGAGTCAATCACATAGTTAGATTTGTCAACTTCATAAGCAGCATTTGGCACCTTTATGTCCTATGCTAACATATTAGTTTAATTTAGCCAATGTTAAGAATTCTCCCATTGAAACAACCATTTTTACTCGTTCTCCAATCAGCATTTCACTGTGGGTATTTTATAGGCTGTATTTTTAAAAATATATATTTTATTGATTTTTTACAGAGAGGAAGGGAGAGGGATAGAGAGCTAGAAACATTGATGAGAGAGAAACTTACAGGCCTGAAGTATCTATGGCATTAATGTGAACTGAAGGCTTATTTATATTATGTAAAATGTAATTTCCGAATTCTCCTTTTAACTGGTGCACTTGACTGCTCTGCTCATATTTTAGATTCCAAAGAACAGTTAACATATTAACTTCCACAGTCACTAAGGTATTTTTTGAAGTGTATTCTTGAGGGCAAGCTGGCCTTGAGCTTGCTTCCCCATTAGCTTGATGGACTCTTATCTAGCTGGTCCTGGCTGGCTTCCCGGAGGTCAGTGTGGTCAGAGCATGTGTGCCTGGGCTGGGTGTTTGGAGGGAAGGGGCCTGCTCTAGAGGACTTACTGCTGCTCGGATGCAGCTGTCCCCAGTGGTGATGGTCATCTCCTCACTGAGATTGCACAGGGGGCGCCCGCACCCCCCCAAACCGGGATGCAGAGTCTCGAAGGAGTAACCCCCAAACTGGTGACCATCTTCCTACAGTACCAAGGTTCAGAGGAAGTCCAAACACACAGGTGGGCAAAAGTAGGTTCAGGGTTGTTCAGATGGAACACAATACAATAACTAATAAATAATAATGCAAGAATCAACTGTTTTGTGCTCTCACAACTGTAAACCTACTTTTGCCTACCCCGTATTTATTTACCTTAAAGAAGGACTGGCCAACATGTAACAAGAAAATTGACATGATGCACCAAATTAAAAACACAGGAAAGAATAAATCATCCCTTAGGATTCATCCCCAGACACAATTCTTTTGACGGATGTTTATTGAATGAATGGAGTTACCCAATCAGCCCAAGAGTTGAAATTACATATTTTTAAATTTTTTTTTTCAGAAACGGAGTCAGTTAGATTAACGTCATATAAAATGACAAGTCAGAAAAAAAGTACTGGAGTGCATGTGACAGAAATTGCATCCTTTTGTGGTAACTAAGTTAATTAGTGACAATTAATTTAGTGGGGATTATGTGCATAGTTATATGAATTCTATTAGAACTAAATCTGGCATAATTGGCATTTAAGTGGTGAGGAAATCTCTAGTTAAAATCTATAATTGTCTAATTGTGTAGAATGAATAGTTGAAGAAAATTTAGACACTAAAATGTCTCCTCTTAGCTTAACCAATTTGAATATTTATGCATATGCACCTATAAACATATGAAACGCGTGGGCCGAACTTTATTGTAAAAGGAGCGCTTCATCATTTTTGGTTAAATCGTTGTTTTAAAATTTTTGTTCTGATGGATGTGACTGTCAGGAAAGTTCAGCTGGATGTCATGGCTTTGGAGCTGGTATCTCCTGTGAAAGTTACTCCTGCCACTGCAACCAGGTCAGCCACGGCCGGCGAATTGCCCTTGGCCACAAAGTCACGTGTAGCACAGAAAACGCAAGTGCTTTCTATAGAGGGCCTCGTTCTGAGGAGGAATGTAATTTTACAAAGTAGATTCCCCCTCCCTCTTTCCCCCCCCTCAGTACGTGGAAAAGAGATTTTCCTTTTGTTTTAAAAGCAGTTTTTAAAGTAATTTAAATAAATTTTAATATTGATTTAAAAATATTTTTTATTGATTTTTTTTTACAGAGAGAAAGGGAGAGAGATAGAGTTAGAAACATTGATGAGAGAGAAACTGCCTCCTGCACACCCCCTACTGGGGATGTGTCCGTAACCAAGGTACGTGCCCTGGACCGGAATCGAACCTGGGACCCTTGAGTCAGCAGACCGACGCTCTATCCACTGAGCCAAACCGGTTTCGGCTTTAATACTGATTTTAAAGAATGGTTTTGAGGTCTTCCCAGCATAACATGTGAAGTTATTTTAAGAAATTATTTGGAACAATATGGAGGGATATATTTTTAGTAAGAAAGATATAATAGTATTGATATTAAAATGCTCCACACTTCTTAGGGTGTACACCCCCCCCCCCCCCCCAATATCACCAGTCACATTCCTTAAAATCCTGAAAGACAGCCTTCTCCTTCAAAAACTTGTGCACACTCCTGGGCTTAACTGTTTGTACCTCCCACAATCTTCCCCTGAGCCCAGTGTATGGCTCCTGTGCAGTCTCTGCCACCCCCGTCTCCAGTCTGTGCCCCTTCCTCTTTTCAACACCTGCACTTGTGCACCATGACACTGACTCCCACCCCCACCCAGGCAGATATGGCTTTCATGTTGGTTCTCAGGCTTATTGCGTGCTTTGTGCTGAGAGCTCAGGGCCCTGTCGTGGAGTTCCCAGTCCGACCCAGAAGACAATGGTGCTCACTGGGTGGAGTGGTTAGACCAGGTGCCAGTGTACCCGGAGCTGCAGAAGCTCAGGGAGCAGCCAACTGAGGAAACCAGAGGAGGCTTCCTGGAGGAGGTGGCCTTGAACTGAGTCTGAAAGTGCAGTTTATAAGGTAGAAAAGACCACCTTCTCTGTCCACCCCAGACCTGCGGAGTCAGTCACCGGGGCGGCCCGCCACTCGGCCTCGTGTGCACGCACGCTCACAGTGAGGAGCACTCCTCTGGTTCAGGGAAGGGGATTTGGGCTCTTTCCTAGAATCCTTTGGGAGGTAGGGAAGGTGTGAAGCCTGTCGGCGATTTGATCCGTTCTGCCCTTTTGGAAGGCTCATTCACTGAACAAATGCTTCGTCCCTACCCGGGCCAGGCACCTGGGTACAGTAGTGACCAAAGAGCCCAACATCCTCCCGATGCAGACCACGTGCCGTGGGAAAAAAGGACAATAAATATCTGTGATCAGGATCACGTCATGCTGAGTGTTCACCGAAATCAGCTCTTGCTCTCAGAGCCAGGCACCTGCGCGCTCCACGCAGTAGCTCTTACCTTTCCTGAGAACACGGGGACCTCTTATTGACTTCGTTAAGTTTGCTGTTTTGCTTTTTCTTCTCTTGTCGACCCTGTCTCGTCCCTCGCAGACGGCTCAAGGGGGTGGCCACCGGACACTCCTCTACGGACACGCCATCCTGCTGCGCCACTCCAACAGCGGCATGGTGAGCGGCGCTCCATCTCCCATGGTCGGCAAAGTGAGGGCCGCTGTGCCCCTTAAGACCTGTGCCCTGCTTAGTTCTCCCGCTTACAGCATGAGGAGCAGCTTAGGTGACCTTTAAGGTCCTTCAGTTCTGTCACCGGATGACCCCTGTTTTTAGTGTCTCACGATAAACCAGTTAAGTGTTAAGAGTAAAATAAGACCCATTTCTCATCTCTGATGTTTTAAGTTTACTTATTAAAGTCTGTTTACTGAAAGGGAATATAAAAACCTGCCTGTGTGTTGCACTTTTCACTCACTCCCCTCCTTCCTGACTAGATGTCTCTCTCTTTGTCCACGTCAGCTTCTTCTTGCACCCAGTCATCCACTTGACCCCCCGAGTCCCTCTCAGGCTGTGCCCCCTGGTTCAATTCAGTACATACATGTGTCATATGTGCTTATGTCCGAATTTCACTGCTCCGAGGAGGCCCTGCATGTGTGTTCCCTCTCACTGGGAAAACCGGGACTTTGTCCAGAAACATCCATGTTTCACTCTGATACCAACGCGAGTCAGAGTGACACTGGGTGGGACTAGAACCGTTGAGTGACAGCCGCTCTTTTGTGTCCTTTAGTATCTGTGCTGCCTGTCCACCTCCCGGTCTTCAACGGACAAGCTGGCCTTTGACGTTGGCTTGCAAGAGGACACAACAGGTGAGTCCTGTTGGCTTTGATCATACATATTAATGTGCCCTGGGCGGCTTATGAACAAAGCATTGATGGACCAGTAGTGATTGCTTTATAAATGTTTGAATGAATGAATGAAAAATTCCTTACAACTCTACAAATGTGAATTGAGTGAGTGAAGACAAGGAATTCTGCAAGGTGACACTCAAGTAGGACGGTGGTTTGTGTGAGAAAAGCTGCTCAGAGCACAAATTGCGTATTGACTGTAAGCATGCTTAGGAAATTGCCCAGACTGTGTGGCCCAGTGGTTGAGCGTCAACCTGTGAACCAGGAGATCACGGATGGATTCCATCTGGGCACATGCCCGGGTTGCAGGCCTGATCCCCAGTGTTGAGCATGCAAAGGGCAGCTGATCAGTGAGTTTCTCTCATCACTGATCTTTCTTTCTCTCCCTTCCTCTCTGAAATCAATAAAAATATATTAAGAAAAGAAATAGCATTTGCTGATTCATTTACTCATTTATGCAAAATGAATTTTTATTGCGTGCCAGAGCATTAAAAACAAAAATGCTAGCATCCAGGGAAACCTCCGTGAGCCAAACAGGGAAGGCCCCACTGTTATGGGACTCACATACTGGCATTGGGGGATCAGAAAGAAGAAAAACAGGTGTTAGGGAAAATGATAAAGCTGAGCAAAGGGAGAGAGTGCAAATTATCAGATAACAAGTCACTAAAGATATTCCTATTTCTGGGTGAGAATATTAGATAGAACATTTTGGCTAGAATTTGCATTTATTTTTTAAAAGGAAGTATGACCACGCTGAGGAATTGTGTGCTGGTGTGTGTCTCAGTGACAGCACTGAAGCATGAAGAATGGGCGGTGGGCATGCAGCTCCTGAGGCTGGTGCATGGCTTGTTCCAGGAAGAATTATTTGATTACACCCAGCTATTGCTATAATGTGCCTTTCTATACTGGGGTTCTTCTTCTTTTTAAAATATATATTTTATTGATTTTTTTACAGAGAGGAAGAGAGAGGGATAGAGAGTTAGAAACATCGATGAGAGAGAATAATGGATCAGCTGCCTCTTGCACACCCCCTATTGGGGATGTGCCCGCAACTAAGGTACATGCCCTTGACCGGAATCGAACCCAGGACCTTTCAGTCTGCAGGCTGACGCTCTATCCTCTGAGCCAAACCGGTTTCGGCTGGGGTTCTTTTTTATGTTAGATTTAGATTAATAGAAACAAACACATTTTTAAAATAACAAAATAAGATAAGGCATAGAATAGTAAAATTTAGTTAACAGTGGAAAACATCTGATTATCACAGGGTAACATGAAAAGTGTGCAACATATACTTTCATGAAGAATGAAGTCAGGTCTGCAGGACCGGTGAATTTCGCCTTATGTAGCACAAATAAAGATCATTTTAAACCAATTCTTAATAGGGCAAAAGACACCAAATTTCCAAAATTGTTGCAATCAGTTCTATGACAAGCTGTATGTTTCCATGTGTCTTATCCTAAGCTAATTGGCCTACTTCTTTTTAATTTCATGGTCTGGTATTAAGTTGCATTAAAATCCAAATTCCTGAAGGTGGTGTGAACAGAACAAGTTTATGTTAAGGAGACTGACTGTGAAGACTCTTTTTGTTTCTCATTGTCATTTGGAGCCACCGGCAAAGCATGTGGGTTTTGCACTAAGAGGCTGCTCTGTGTCGCTCGCCCCTCCTGCAGGCGAGGCTTGCTGGTGGACCATACACCCCGCCTCCAAGCAGCGGTCTGAGGGGGAGAAGGTGCGCGTTGGCGATGACCTCATCTTAGTGAGCGTGTCCTCCGAAAGGTACCTGGTAAGTGCGGAGAGTCTGGCATGGACTTGTGAGATGATGCATGAAGGTCAATAAAACAGCCTCTTTAAGGTGTAGATTGCAAATTATCCAGGAGACTTGATTAAATCAGGCCTGAACTTCTATCTGATGAGAGAGAAGCAGCTCCGTGTCTGTGTGTGTGTGTGTGTGTGTGTGTGTGTGTGTGTGTACGTGAGTGCGGGTGCATGCTGTTTTGGCTCAGGCCAGTGAAATAGGTATATGTAACTTATTTTCAGTGTGTGCTACTGTGACTGTGAAGGGTTCTGCTTCTGCATGCCTTTGTTTATTGAATAATATTGCTGGATGCCAGGGCAACTGCTGGGAACCTGTCAGACAGTGAACAGGATGAGAAAGCGAGATCCACTTAGTTACATGGTGTACTGATTGCTACGGAGGAAAACATATTTTTCTTGTTTGTGGAAACAGAAGACATATGTTTTATTTGTAAACAGAGAAAGAGTGCAATGCCTGTTTTTGCTGATGCCTGGAGAATAACATATTAGGTGAGAGAGTCCCTGGGTGTGAGGGCCCGTGGGGCTCCCCAGCATGATGCTCCTGCTGCGCCTTCATGCTCCTCATGCAACTGGGAGGGCTGGTTTCTGGGCAAGTTCAGTACGAGGGGATCTTTGAGAGCTGAGGCTGTCATCCGTCACAAGCGTTGGAGAAGTGCTACGGAAACATTACAGGAATATTGGTGATGTCTGCTGAGATGACCCCAAGAACAAGGTCTGCAATTCTCACAGAGCCAGGTGGTAAAATAATCAGGTGGTAAAATAACCTGCTGTAAAATTCTAGAGTGCTTTCACAATTTTTCTTTCCTTTGAATTTGAGGACTCACCTATTATGGCTCTTAAAATGTTAAATAGGATATTTCACTCATTTTTATTTTTAAGAAGGGAAATCTGAAATTTGTACTGTCTGAATTTCGGAGAAAATGTGGTTGTCTTGGTTTTAGATACCTATTAGAAAACATCGCCATCGAATGGCTTTGGTGCCAAGCTGCAGATAAACGTTCATAACCTCATAAAACTGAGACATTGGTCCTAGAGATTCCACCTGCATCGTTGTAAAAAGACACCGCAGTGTGATAGGTAAACCAATTATAGAATTATAATTATGGTAAGTACCCACTATCTGGATAACTTTGCTCATCGGTGGGCCTTACTACAAAATAGTCTGCTTTAATGAATTGATTTATTTTAGTGTATTCATCTTTTTCTGATTAGTGGCTTACGTTAGTAACTCTTACGTAGAATGAAGAGGGGAAATACCTATAGACAAACAGGAGCTAATCTTTTTCTACCAGCTTCTTCGTGTTGAGTGACCGGGCTGACACAGAGGCTCTGTATGTGCAGTTCCAGTGCGTGCTGGTGTGCGTGGGCAGAAGCATGTGCGTGCTGAGCCCGCCCGCAGCCAGGCCAAGCCCTCTGCCCCTCTCCCCGCAGCACCTGTCCTATGGCAGCGGCAGCGGCAGCCTGCACGTGGACGCCGCTTTCCAGCTGACGCTCTGGAGCGTGGCCCCCATCAGCTCTGGAAGTGAAGCGGCCCAAGGTACACCCCCTGCAGGGAGGGCTTGTCCTTGACACAGGGTGTCTGTGACCCTGAGCTGGCTGTTAGCCAGCGCTCCTGTCCACCTATTCTGTAAACGAGGCGATGACACTCAGGACTCCCATTGAAACGGCTACTTGTATGTTGTGGTCAGCTGTGTTTACTGTGTGGCTTTCTGTGCTGGCCGCCTGGAGGCCGCTTGCCCCGCGGTTCTGGCCCCGGGGTTTTGCTCAATGAGGCGGATGTCCAGGTCTCCCATCTTCCAGGGCGGGTGGCTTAGAGTGGGGTCCCAGCATGCCTATGCTTCAGGGATTCTGGGACACCTGCGTTTGTCCTGGTTACTGTCACCCGCACAGGTTCAAGTCTGAGCCTGTCCACGCATGTATGTTTTTTAAAAAATATAGTTTGATTTTTTTACAGAGAGGAAGAGAGAGACATAGTTAGAAACCAATCAGCTGCCTCCTAAACACCCCCCCCCCCCAGGGGATGTGCCCACAACCAAGGTACATGCCCTTGACCAGAATCGAACCTGGGACCCTTCAGTCCACAGGCCGACACTCTATCCATTGAGCCAAACCGGTTTCAGCCATGCATGTATGTTTAATGGAGGGTTTTATGTGGCTGAGTTGGTATTTCCAGTGGGAATGTCACTCACTCTGGGGCTCTGAGGCTCAGGCCCACCAGCAGCAGGCAGGCGGAACTGTGTGGTCAGGAGCACAGCCTTGCCAGACTGCTGGCTCTCTAAGTACACAGAAGATCGGACCAGCTGGTTCTCTAAGAACACAGAGGACCAGGCCAGGGGACCTGTCCAGCTGCCACTCGAGCATGACAGCCGACACAAACTGAGTTTTGTCCTCGCAGGGTACCTGATTGGCGGGGACGTCCTGCGGCTGCTGCACGGACACATGGATGAGTGCCTCACCGTCCCCTCTGGGGAGCATGGGGAGGAGCAGCGGAGGTGGGTGAGCCCGGGGCCCCAAGCCTTGGTTTTCTTGCCTTGACATAATTTTTTAAATAAGGCAATACCTGTCAGGCCAGCAGCGTAAGCGAAAGTGGGCCTGTCACGTCCCTCTGTCCCCTGCGTGACCCATTTGTTGGCCTCCTTTGCAGTTTTTCCTCACGTTCGTTTTTTTATCGCCTATCAGCAGAATCGCTGACAAAATTAAAACACAGACGAAGCATGGAATTAAACTGAGTGGGAGGAGTGAACACATGAAGCAATCTACTTCAAACTTCATTAAATGGCCATCGGTTCTGATTCATTCCCTTTCTGGAACATTTAGTCTCGAATTCAGTTTCAAAATCAGATTTCTCCAATCGTACAAAAGTTGACGACCTTTTTTTTATTACCTCCCGTTTGCTGCCATAGATCATGGAACTGACCACGTTCCTCATGTTTTATGTGATTATCATACCTCTCTCATGTTAATTTTATTTGGCATTCGACCGAGATTGATGTAGTCCAGATCTCTGGAGAAAGTGCACAAATAATACAAAAACAAAAACAGTGAAGACGATGTGAATGCTCTGCTTTGCCTCACGAATTCACGGATGAATCTGATAAGGTTAATACATAAACAAGGGGTCACTGTGAGAGCAGGTGCCATCTGGATGATTTCTTACATGTTTTTAGTTTAGAAAGGTCATTTCTTATAATAACATACACAGTTAGTAAGGTGACCAGACGTCCCGCTTTTGGCGGGACAGTCCCGATTTTTAACGATTTGTGCCGCATCCCGCGGTGTTTTAAAACAGTCCCGATTTTTGGTAATATTTATACTTTTCTATTATAATTTTTCAAATTGTTATACTAAAATATTAGAATGTGTTATACTAAAATATTAGAATGTGTTATACTAAAATATTAGAATGTGCTTAAGTATCTAGAATAAACTTGAAAACTCCAAATATGAATGTGTTTAATAATATATTAAACTACACCTAAAGTTATAGCTGAGTACTTTTAAGGACGTGAGTTAAATGAGTAAGGTGAGTATATACACAGGGGGAGATGGTGGAGGGGGAGTTGGAGAGGGAATGAAATGGGATTAGAGGAGAGTATGATCAGGGATGTGTTTGCATCGAGTGTTTATTGAGGGCAGACTTATGTGGATCACTGTTACTGTCTTCGGTTATTTTTATTTCCGGCTCTATTGTCTTCTCCAAAAAGTATGGCTTTTGCTGTTTATGCAAAGGTTTCCATTTGCTTTCCTCTTTGAATTAGCTTGAAAAATTGAGTCCAAGAATGACACACGTTAAAATTGGGCTTCTCTCTTTTTGAAAACAGGACTGTACATTATGAAGGTGGGGCCGTGTCTGTCCACGCCCGCTCCCTGTGGAGACTGGAGACGCTGAGAGTTGCGTGAGTAGCGCTCTGAATGTAGCCCACGTGCCATTCGGTTCTCTTCCCCTTCCCCTTCCTGCCGCTATTGATCCTTTACGAGCCCCAGTTCCCGGGCGGTAGGTCAGCTGCTTTCGTCTTCAGCCTCATTGGGTTTTGTAGCGTCTCATCTGGTCAGTGCAGAATGCTGCTGGGCCAGCGAGGTAGCTTTGGAGACAAGCCTGTCGCTCACTTCAGTTCTGGCAAGCTCTGGACTGAGCCTTCTGGGGGCACCTGGGCGACGGAGGAGGCCTGAACGCGAACCAGGGCACTAGACCATTCCTGCCAGTCTCTGTGTTTACTCACAAATAACAGCCGAGTCAGCAAAGAGGCTGGAATAACGAAGCCGCTGTGCATTTATTAGAGAAATGAGTTATTTCTTATTTGTGTCATATTGAGAGTCAGAAGACCTAGAGTTAAATTTCACTTCCGCTTGCTAGTGGCTGTCATGTCATGTAACGTTGAATGTCATGTAATCATCTGAATTACTGTTTTGTTACGTGTGAACCGACGTGAATACCACCAGCCACAGCGGTTCTGCGACCATTCAGTAAGACGGTACATGCAGGACACTTTCCATCGTGGCTGACACACATTACTTGCTGTTTGCCTGTGGCTGTGGCTGCTGATGGATGGAGTCTGCCCTGTGTCTGCAGGTGGAGCGGGAGCCACATACGGTGGGGCCAGCCTTTCCGACTGCGGCACGTCACCACGGGCAAGTACCTGAGTCTCCTGGAAGACAAGAACCTTCTGCTCATGGACAAAGAGAAGGCCGACGTGAAGTCCACGGCCTTCACCTTCCGCTCTTCCAAGGTGAGCCGCACATGCAGTGCTATAAGTAGACCCCCCACGCTTCCTTCGGATGCTGGTGAGCAAAAAAAAAAAATGCAAGCTGTAATCACAAAATTTTACTGTTTTAATTTATTTTTTAAAAAAAATATATTTTATTGATTTTTTACAGAGAAGCAGAGAGAGGGATAGAGAGTTAGAAACATCGATGAGAGAATCATCGACTAGCTGCCTCCTGCACACCCCCTACTGGGGATGTGCCTGCAACCAAGGTACATGCCCTTGACTGGAATCGAACCTGGGACCTTTCAGTCTGCAGACCCAACGCTCTAGCCACTGAGCCACACCGGTTTCAGCTACTGTTTTAATTTAAATAAGTCTCTGAGTTTGCACGTTTCTATGTGCTTGATATGGAAGGGCTACCTTTGAATACTTAAGAAAGATCAAAATAGAAGGTGTGTGGGAACACGAGTGCAGGAAAAGTTTTGTTTGACTTCAGACAAGTCCATCTCCGGATTATTCTGCCTGTGTCAATAGCCACATTTCTTTGTGACAAAAAAATCAGTTAAGGAAAACATAACCACCATTCTTGGACATGTTCTGTGCACATTTTTGACTTGTTTCTCTGATAGATCCTGGAACTGGACATACTGGCTCAAACGCTGTGAATATTTTCAAACATTCTGAATTAAAGTTCTTGCCCAAACAATAGCCTTTGAAACATTTTTTCCTCCAAATCTCTCTCCTAATATGCACTTAGAGAATGGCGGCTATTTCTGGATGGGGCCATTTTGCAAAGTCGTAGCTTACACAGGAAGTACAGAGACCAGGGATCTCAGCACCACTTTTTCCTTTTAAATGCTCACCAGAGGAATGAAGATATTTTTTTCCATTATTATTTAAAAAAATTTTTTTTAGTTACAGTGGAAGAGAGGGAGGGGTAGAGAGAGAGAGAGAAACATTGATGTGACAGAGCTACAATAGGTTGCCTCTCACATGTGGGCGGAGATCGGACCTGTAATCCACATATGTGCCTGTAGCTGGGAATCGAACCTGTGACTCTCTGGTGCACGGGCCAACACTCTGAGAAACCTTGGCTAGGGCCCAGCATCACTTTTTAATGAAGTCTTCAGTTTCTCTGAGTCTGGCCTCCTGCCTGGCACTCATGTTTGGAGAGCTGCTGTCCTAAGCAGGTTGTTACTGACTTGCTGCCAAACACACTCCACTCGTTTAACTCAATGATAACTGCACGTGGTAACGTGGTTGAGAGAAGAGAAGGTGAAACTGAAGGCCAAGAAGACATTTTAATTTTAAAATCACAGTAGAATTCTGATTGTAAAATAATGGCCAATTTGGTAATGATAATTTTCACCCCCCAGGAGATAGAGTAAATCTTTTTATTGCTTTCTAAAATTACTTGTTTATGATAAAGGTAGATCTTGCCAATCACATATGTATTATATTCCCCCAAGATGTAATTTTTTAGCCTAAAATGCCTCTAAAATATGCTTCTTTGGGGATTTCCTCCAGTTTTCCTTCTCCCATGCACCACAAATAGAAACATGCTGCTGTCGAAGTGATGAAATAAGACTCAAATCAGACTGCCAATGAGATCACAAGGATTATGGAACAAATAAAAAAATAGAACAAAATCATTTTTAGGACATAGTTTTTAGGATGCTATTTTTGTTTGGGATTTTTATTCTTGGTTCAAAACATATTTTAGATGCTTTGAAAAACACACAGTGAAAATAAGAGTAATGGTTAATTTATGGGCCAAATAATGTGCTAAATATCTTATATGTATTATCTCATTTAATTGTAGTTCAAACGTATGAAGCTTAGATACTATTTTTTAAAATTTATTTTTATTTTTTTAATCCTCACCTGAGGGTATTTTCCCATTGATTTTTAGAGCGAGTGAAGAGAGAGAGTGGGAGAGAGAGAAACACATAGATTGGTTGCCTCCCACATTCGCCCTGACCAAGGCTGGGGATCCAGCCTGCATTCCAGGTACGTGCCCTTGACTGGAATCGAAACCAGAACACTTCAGTCTTCGGGCTGATGCTCTATCCACTGAGCCAACCAGCTGGGACAAAGTGTGGGTTTCTATGCTATAAGATTTGTATATTGCACCATGTGCCCACACCCAAAGTCAATCTCCTGTCACCATATTTTATGTCCCATTCATCACCCATCCCCTTCCCTCTGGCATCCACCACAATGCTGTTTGTGTCCATGAGAAGGGAGCGTGTTGAAGGAGGCAGCATTAAAATGTAGAGATTTGAAGGAAACAGCTGGTATCAGAGCATCAGCTGCTGCTTCAGAACAGAAGGAGGTAGCCTAGTGGCTCTTTAGGAGCCAGTAACTCCGTTGTTCAAGTTGGGAATTGCATTATAGGAAACTGAGTTACAGTAGTTTTGAATATGTAGTTCTAAAGAAAGCATTAACATCCTTGTTATCGTTTTCATAGTCAAAATAGTAAAAATGTAAGTTTATTTTATCCAAGATACTGCTGAAATATTTACATGCATTATCATGTTTTCTAATATGTTTGTTAGCTTTATTTATAGCCGAGAAAACTGAGGCTTAAAAAGCTTTGTTTAACTTTTCTAAGGTCACAGAGGTAGTAAGTGGCAGAGACTGGACTCAAAACCAGATTTCCTGTCCCACGTACCTATGCTAATAGGTACAAATAAAGAAAAAAATAATTAGGAAACAATATGAAGCCTGAACTAATTTTAAGATATCTAGTTTGGAGTTTGTCATTGGGCAATATAAAATTTTGTTATGGCTAAAATAATTTCCTATCAGTGTGAGTTATTCATGAATACATTAATTTTTATAATTTTCTACTCAAATATTTAGTAGAGGTTGAACTGCTAGAATAAAATATTTGACCGTTATTATTTCAGGGGACTTCAGAGGGCTGAATTTTTCAAGGAACATATTTACAAAAGGCAAAGTTCTTTTAAGAAAAAGTCGTATTTTAGAAACTTGCTAAATCTTTTTCCTCTATCTTAGGAAAAATTGGATGCAGGGGTGAGAAAAGAAGTTGATGGCATGGGAACCTCTGAGATCAAGTACGGAGACTCGGTCTGCTACATACAACATGTGAGCACAGGCCTGTGGCTGACGTACCAGGCTGTGGACGTGAAGTCTGTGAGGATGGGAGCCATACAACGCAAGGTGAGATGCGAGAGAACCCCCATCTCTTATGGCTAAAATACACAAACTCAAGGCAGAAAGAGGTAGCTAACACTCCCAGCCACCTGCTGACGCTCATTCCCAACATGCGTGTTCCATTTTGCATTGCTTTCTAGACAGTTTTATAGTTTTAGTTCTCCTTACTAATCTTAACTCAGTACACCTGGTTAGATGACAGCTATCTTGCTGAAAGTGTTGAATGAAGGAAGCTGGGCACCTGTGGCTGCCCACTTCGTGGTTCCATTTATATAAAGAACCCAAGTGACCTTTGCTGTGAGAAGTGAGAAGGTGGGGACCGTGGTGGGGGCAGGGCAGGAAGGGAGCCCTGGGCGGATGTGGAGGTGCCATGGCCTTCTCTTCCTGCTCTGGGTGTTTCCACTGCTCACTTTGGGAGAACCATTCAACTGTTCTTGTAAGGCAGTGGTTGTCAAACCGCCGCTCTCGAGCCTCATTCGGCTATTTGGCCCCTTAAGTGTGGCTCTTCCACAAAATATCACGGCCTGCGCGAGTCTATGTTGAAGAAGTGGCATTAGAAGAAGTTTAAGTTTAAAAAGTCTGGCTCTCCGAAGAAATTTCAATCGTGTACTGTTGACATTTGGCTCTGTTGACTAATGAGTTTGCTGACCACTGACTTAAGGTTTCTGCGCTTGTCTCTTCACACGTGGTCCTCTCACAGTAAGTTTAAACGCCTAGCAAGACTAACAACATGAAAGCGTGGTTTTACAGAACCTACATGCCTCAGGAACTTGGCTGAGCACTCCTCATTACCCGTCTGCTCAGCTCACGGCCTGCTGAAGCCTGATGGCTTCCTTTGCTGCTTCCCTCGGAGGGTTAGACTCGGAGCAGTCACTGAACACGAGTGTGAAGACACTCTGGTGTTTGTTCTGCTCACCTCAGTCCGATAACGGGTTAATTCTTTAAAACAAGAACTAAATGCCTGGGTGGTCCAGGGGCCTCTGCATATAATTTTACATCAAACACAACAGTTGATAGTCTTGGTTCTGTGTATTGTTATGCCTCTCTGAGTGTGCATGCACCTTCTTAGCCCCATTGGGAAGGGAGGTGTTGGGGTGATGGCGGTCCATGTGCTTCCTCGCAGGCCATCATGCATCACGAAGGCCACATGGACGACGGCATCAACTTGTCCAGGTCGCAGCATGAGGAGTCCCGGACCGCACGGGTCATCCGGAGCACTGTCTTCCTTTTCAACAGGTTTATAAGGTACATGGCACGTCCTTCGTTGGGGTGGCTATTTGACACTTGACCTCAATTTCCTGACTGAATCTACAAATACTTAATCCTAAAGTATGCTATGGTGGATAGATCTCAAAGCTTTAAAACTCAGAATCTCAGAAAGCTCAACCAATCCACACACATCCATGCCAATAATACATTTTCCTTCAAAGGCTAGAAAAATGCAACATGATGCCATCTTTAAATTCAATTTTAAATACATTTCTTTCAGGTAATAATAGGAAAGCATTTAACATATTGTTTCCTGGTTACTAAGTGAATTGTAGGAGTGAATATCATTAGAATATCTTTTTAAACAGAGTGGCAGTGAGTGTCAGCAGCTAACAGCTCCTTCTCCCCAAACCAAACACAATGGAATAAGAAAATGTCAAAATTATCAGTCCCTGGCGCTGCTGCATCCTTAAACTTGAGCATCTATTGATAGATAATGAAATTCGGCTGGTTTCTAAATATTGGTCCTCAAGGCCCTTCTGGGTTCTCTCTAGATAAATTTCTCCCAGTACTGGTGTTTTTTAATATAATATTATGTATACATGAAGGAATATACAGTTTTTCATTTGAATATATTAATTACTGCTCGAGTTTCTCCTGGGAAGTAATTGAATGGTTCTATTTTTAATGGCAGGTATGTTCCACTAGGTAAATTAAAAAAATACCAGGCATTTACTATTGCTTCCCCTTAGTTTTCAAATATAGATACTGTATTTGAGTCATCTGTGAGTTTATTTGGTTCAGTATGATGAGAGATGAGTTTGACTATGTTATAAATAAATATATTTGTGAATCAAACACCACTTTTGGCGGCAGAACTTTTGTGAAATAAAACCATATTTACAGTGGTATTGGGAGAGAGGGTAAAGCTTTAAAATCTAGGAACTAAAGTCCTACATAAAACTGTGAGTCACCGATGAGAGTAATGGTGCATTCCTTTAGGGGCCTGGATGCTCTGGGCAGGAAGGCGAAGGCGCCCCCCGTGGACTTGCCCATCGAGTCGGTCAGCCTGAGCCTGCGGGACCTCATCAGCTACCTGCACCCGCCGGCTGAGCACCTGGAGCACGAGGACAGGCAGAACCGGCTGCGGGCCCTGAAGAACCGGCAGAACCTCTTCCAGGAGGAGGTGAGCTGCTCCCCCGCACATCCTCTCCGCTCTCCTCCTGGGAAACCGGTCCTCAGTGGGGACTCTGCCTGACACCTCGCCCTTAGCCATCAGAGCAGCAGGCGCACTGTACTGGCTGCAGGAACCAGGCCTTGGAGGTGGCGATGGTTGTCATTTCTGTCCGTGTCCAGGGAACTCCTCTCCTCACGCCCCTGGCAAAGGACCGTGTGTTACTGTCTCCTCGGCCTTCGCTTCACATTGGCCACTCGCTGCCCTGTTCTTGCTTCGTGTTACTCATGTAAAAACAGGCTCTCTGGTGTCTGAGTGACTGCAGCTTCTCCCTGCTCCCGGGGCTGCCCCAGGGGGACGGGATGGAGGCTGCCCAGGAGAGGGCCGCTCGGCAGAGCGCCAGGCCCCTGCCTGGACACACCGACCCCACTGCTTCCTTTTGCTCATAGTGAGTTTCCACGTATGGTTGTATTTCATGAAAGTTATGCCAAAAGAGTGGAAGTGCTGTAATTTACAGACAGAACAGTAGCAGGACCACCTGGGAGGGTCCAAAGGCCAGGACGGCTGTCCTAGATTCTCAGCGAGGCCGTCGATCTCAAAGCTTTAAAACTCAGAATCTCAGAAAGCTGAGCTGTCGATCCGGCTACCAGGCAAGCGGCCCCATCCCACATTGTTACGCAGGTGTTGTTGCTGTTGGTCCCCCAAATAAGTGACCTCAGTTTTCTTAGTGACGGATGGGCTCACCACCACGTTGCATTTCGTGTGTGAGCAGACCCGGTGTTTCTGACGTGGTTTGTCTGCCCTCGCAGGGGATGATCAGCCTCGTGCTCCAGTGCGTGGACCGGCTGCACGTCTACAGCAGCGCCGCCCACTTTGCCGAGGTCGCTGGCCGAGAGGCGGGGGAGTCCTGGAAGTCCATTCTGAATTCCCTGTATGAGTTACTAGGTAAGGAGGATGCCTGGGTTTTCAAGGCAGCTGCCGTGTCTATTGAAAAGGATCACGGGGCGCTCCCAGCCCTTTTAGTTCTTGCTTCCTGTGAGCCTCTAAATGGGAAGACAAGAGACAGGGAACAGGTTTGCGGAGTGATTTCCCATAGGCCTCCTTCCTCTGATACCATTTCACTCATCCTGCCACTGCCTGTTTCAGTTCCTAGTTGTCTCCTGTACTCGGTGCTGCATTTATTTGGAGGAAAACTGATGTGCTCTTAACTTCTTCATTATGTGGGTGAGAAAACTGAGCTCCAGAGAAATTCAATGATTTTGCCTCCAGGCTAATTAAAAGCAATGAGTATTGGATTCCAAGTGAGGGAACTCCCAGGACACCGACTTCTTCATTCCCCTTCATTACCAGCTCCCACCGTGAACGGTTACCTGCTCAGAGGAATCCCTTCTGATGGGCGCGGGTGGCTCTCTCTTACCATCTCCATGGTGTGCGTGTACTTGTGTTGCTTTTGATACAAAGAAGAGGGATTTTGTTCTTGACCCAACATTTTCGAGCCACTATTACTTGTGCGATTGGAACTCGAAAATCACACAAGTGAGAAATCCTTCTTTTTTTCCAGCGGCTCTCATTAGAGGAAATCGGAAAAACTGCGCCCAGTTTTCTGGCTCCCTCGACTGGCTGGTCAGCCGACTGGAAAGACTGGAAGCTTCTTCTGGTACGCGTCCCCGTGTCTCCTCGGAGGTGGTGCCATTCTCCCGGTTTACGTCCTTTAAGAAACTGAAACACACTCAGAGGTTCAGCGCACTAGAAATGGTTTCCTTTTGGTAGGCTACCTGTTTACTGGCTGGTAACAGTGTCAGTGTTGTTTTGGTTATTTCTGAAGAGCAATCTGGCCTCACCTTGTTCATTTGCGTTTATGAAGAGTGAGCATGAATGCGCCACGGAGCTAGATCCCGCCCTTCCCCGCTCGAGAACTCCTCACTTACGGACAAGCGAAGACGTTGCTCATCGTAGACAAGTTACTCTTACATTTTATTCTTTTCTATCTTAGGTATTCTTGAAGTTTTGCACTGTGTGCTAGTAGAAAGTCCAGAAGCGCTAAATATTATCAAAGAAGGGCATATTAAATCCATCATTTCACTTTTAGACAAACATGGAAGAAATCACAAGGTAAGGGAGCCCTGCTATTGCCATAAATGAATTCGGGAATCGTTTTAAATATGTTTTTAAAATGATATGACTTTAAAAAGGTATTACATAGTCAAGTAATATCGTTCCATGTTTATTCTTGGCCTCAATGGGAGAAGAGCGTTCTCGGTTTGTGTATGGAGGACGATGGTTAGGTGATTGGCTACAGCGCGGTCCTGTTGACGTGGCTGGAGGAAATGTGTTCCCGTCTGTGCCATGTGCTGCTGACACTTGGTCTGGAAGGGACTGGAGTCAGCTGACAGTGATTTCTCTGCTCAGGTTCTGGACGTCCTGTGCTCTCTCTGTGTTTGCCACGGGGTGGCAGTCCGCTCCAATCAGCATCTCATCTGTGACAATCTCCTGCCTGGAAGGGACCTGTTACTGCAGACACGCCTCGTGAACCACGTCAGCAGGTCCGTGCAGGTCGACAGTGTCACCAGACTAGTGGCCTACCCAAGGAATCCACATGCTAGCTCTGTGGCTGAGACATCTGGTGGCCTCTTCATGCTATTTGGTTTTAACAATCAATTTCCTTAATAGCAGTATAGGAATGTTTTCTACCCATCAGATGGTATAATAAGCAAAGATGATCTGAGAGAAATAGGCATTTATTCCAGGCCAATGTTGTGTCGCTGAGTTACCACTGCCTCTTGGGAGCAGGCTAACAGCCACAGAGGAAATAGCTGGACAGAATTCTACTTCATGTCTGAACATACAGCTCAAAGCACTGCCCTTCAATACCAACTTTGAAGTGTTCAGTATTAGATATAATCAAAATACTGAATTAGAATGTTCAAAATGTATTAAGTTCCACAAATAACCAATAAAACTGCATTTGTAGGTAGATTACCTTCCAAGGTATCAAGCATTGAGTGCTGGGTGCCGGCCGCTGTGCTGAGAGCTCCCCATGCCCTCTGCCTGTCTGTGTGTGTTCGTGTGCTGGCTTCCACAGTTTGTAGACGAATGAAATGCGGGAGCTGGACAGGAACTAAGATTTCACTCCAGAGACGGAGCTGGTCCTTATACAAAATAGTCACAGTGATAATAATAAAAGTACAGCTTATGGTTACATATCACCTGTGATACAGTCACACTGTGATGCTCTGAATCTAGCCACTCCAGGGAACACTACTTCACTGTTTTACACAAAAATGGGGGGATTTGGTGTTTGACTTGATACTGTGTTTTTAAAACAGGATTGACTTAAGACGTCCTTCATGGTTCTCTGAAGAATAGGTCTACTGTGAATGAGGGTGCCTCCTGAGACCTTCTCTGACCCCTGGTGTTAAAACAAAAGCACAAAACCCCTCATGAAATGCAGTTAAATACAGCTAGCTAGCGATCCCTCGGTTCCCAGGGAGCCACAGAGAACAGCAAAGCTGGTTAGTCACCTGTTCCTTTGTGAACAAGCAGCGTGGCCTGCCTCAGCCTCATACTGCGGCCAACACAGAGCTTAGGAGTAATAGAGCTTTGGGGTAATAGAGCTCAGCTCGTTCTGAAGGCCGGCTGCACAGCACAGCTCATCCTAAACGTGGTTAATGAAATAAAACATGCTGGAGAGCAATTGAGAACTAATATTAGCCCCTGAGGGACGTTGCCAGGGAACTTGGAAGCAACCTGAGCGTTAGCTGGGCGGCGGGCGCCTGTCCCAGCGACGCTGCAGCAGCTACGGAAATGCGTATTTAATATCTTTGAAGAGCAGGATGAATGCTCAGAACAGTGAGATGGCAGATCAGACAGTGGGAAGTTTGCTCAGATTTTCTCACGTGTGTGCTCTCCCTTACAGCATGAGACCCAACATTTTTCTGGGCGTCAGCGAAGGCTCTGCTCAGTATAAGAAGTGGTACTATGAGCTGATGGTGGACCACACCCAGCCCTTCGTGACCGCCGAGGCCACCCACTTGCGTGTGGGCTGGGCGTCCACGGAAGGGCACTCTCCGTACCCCGGCGGCGGTGAGGAGTGGGGCGGGAACGGCGTCGGGGACGACCTCTTTTCCTACGGATTCGACGGCCTGCACCTGTGGGCAGGTGAGTGCGGGCCGTTCGCTTTCACGGCGCTTTGAAGGAAACCTCTGCCCTTGCTGCCCATTTCTGAAAGCTACTGGTGCTGCTTCCATTGGCTACATTTATTCCTCAGAACTTCAACACCGAAATGATGAATGAGAGTGTTAAGTAAAAGCAGAACGCCACTAGGGGGAAAAGAAAATGTAGAATTACAGTACGTTTTCGAAGGACGATGTTGCTTATGAAAATGCACAGTCATCCCCTTATCCACTGGGGATGTGTTCATGTCTCCCAGTGGATGCCTGAAACCGGGGATAGCTCTGAACCCCTAAAAAAACTGTATTTTTCCTATACAAACAACCTTTTCACTTAAAGGAAGCACTTTATGGCTTCCCTTTGGCAGATCCAAATTGCCAGCCTCATACGCTTGCGCGTTGGGGCCCTGGTCAAGTCAATAAGGGTGACTTGGACACAAGTGCTGCCATCCAGCACAGTTGTCAAGGAGACGGCTAGGTGACCAATGGCATATAGCAGAGACGCTGGACACAGGGATGGTTTTGTCCTGGTTGGAAAGCATGGATGGCTTGGGATTTCATCACGGTGCGCAGCATTGTTTAAAACTTACGGTTGTTTTTTTCTGGAATTTTCCTTTCATTATTTTCATTATTTACCCTTTTTAACTGAAACTGTGGAAAGTGAGATTTAAGACAAAGGAAGACTTCCGTATTTAAAAAGTAGCATTTTGATTCTTGAATAAATGTAAAAAGCTTATTTGTTTTCTGCTTATTCTAATTGGGATGTGGAAGCTTTCGCTTCCCGTATAAAAAGGACCAAACACAATCTCTGGAAAATGGGTGGAAAAATAAATTATGTTCACTTTTTCGTAGATAATTCAACCTCAGGGATCGGTGATTTATAATCTGTATTGTGAGGAATTAGTTTGTGACATGGCACTTTGTTTCAGGAATGTAGAGCTGTTTACAAATAAGTATATAGTTCATTTCACTAGCTACCAACTCTCAGCTTTGCTGGTTGAGCATATATATTAACAATGATTATATCTATATCTATCTATCTCTAATAGTCTTTTCTCTAATTTATGAAAAGGATGTGTTTTGGTTGGCATAACTTAAAAGTTTATCTCTTGATTATATAGAAGCTCCATTTCATAACATGGTATAGCTTCTGGAAAAAAAAAAAAAGCAACAATTTTTTGACAAAGGATTTAAGGTACAATAGTATATGTGTCCCAGCTTCTATTCTCGAGTTGTGCACTGATATGTCACTGCCGCTCAGACCTCTGCCTTCGGCTCCGAAGGTGATTCTCTGAGATGAACACACGTTCCCTTCCTTCGTGTCCCCACAGGCTGTATCGCCAGCACCGTGAGCTCGCCAAACCAGCACCTGCTGAGGACCGATGACGTCATCAGCTGCTGCTTAGATCTCAGTGCCCCGAGCATCTCATTCCGAATCAATGGGCAGCCCGTCCAGGGAATGTTTGAGAATTTCAACATCGATGGCCTCTTCTTCCCCGTTGTCAGTTTCTCTGCAGGAATCAAGTTAGTATGTCTGTGTCTGTGCTGTTTCCCTCCGGCTCACACTTCCACAGGACACCGCACTGCTGCCACCTGCTCCCCTGGCCTCTGTCACTCAGGCCGTCCCTCCGGCGGCACCTGCCTGTTCTTACAGGAAAGGACACCAGTCACCCCAGAGGGGACCAGGGAGGCTGGAGCTTTGTCCCCATAGCCATCACGCACTAACTCCCCCAAACCAGCGTCCTGAAATCCTTCAAGTCCATTTCTTATTTCGTAAGGGGAAATGGACAACATTGGATAAAAAATAACATTTATTTCCTCCTATTTAGTTTCATTAGTTTTCTTTATCTTTTCATCATATCTCTACACCCACCCCAAAGCCCGTCGTTTCTACAGAAACTGTGTTATTATTTACCTCCTCCTGTTACGCCTGTGAGCTACCTGCCTGTGGTCAGCTGACTCAGTGACACTCAAAATGACACTTGTTTCCAGTTCTGTAAAGAGAATTTCAGAACAGTGGTCTGTTGTGACGAGGGGACCCTCAGTCATCTCTTCTACAACCTGTTTCTACTACCGAGAGGGGACACTTACTGCACTGACCACCCACTTAGTCCGGTTATTCTTTTTGTTGTAACTACTCAGAGGACTGGTTCCTAAGTTACAGAGGCACCATAGGGACGGGATGGAGCGGTCGTGAAATATTACCTATCCCTGCGCCAACACCCTCTTCTCGTGTGTTTATTCAAATTATGTCTCTTGCTATTCACTTCTGGAACGTTTTGAAGTTTTTGCCTTTCCTCACTTTTTGTTTTATATTTTATTTATCTTATTTTTTGGCTGGAGCTGAAACACACATTAGAAAAAGAATTACAAAATAGAGGAAAATGCGAATTTAGTTTGGTAAGCCTGGGAAATCGGTAGCATTTAGCTGCATTTCAAAAAGGGTTGACATATAAAAGACTTGAGTAGGTTTTTGTTTGGTTTTGACTGAGGATAAGAAATAAGGATACATTTTTTTCTTTAGCGAGTGGAAATAGCACGTGAGTCCTTTTAAATTTCACTCGGAAATTGGGCACTGGGGGGGCTGCCCCGCCCTGTGCTGTGAAGGTGGATTCTTGGGTCATATCCGCTCGCTCTCTGTTGATTATTTGTAAGTCACCTGGGGACATTAAGTGACCAGCTCCCGTGGATGTGTCCCTTCACCTGGGAATCCCATGCCTCTGCTCGTTATGTCTCCGCTTACCTTGCGTGACTGCAGGCTCATAAACTATAAGGGGTCAGCATTCTGATGGTGCTTAGAAAGAAACGTGGCTTGTAATAAAATTAATTTGCAGCAATAATGTATTCCTTGTGTTTTGTTGATCAGGAATCCTCTGTGTACCCCCAGAGGCGTCACTGACCCTGACATATGTCCTTTTCAGGGTCCGCTTTCTGCTCGGAGGGAGACACGGAGAATTTAAATTCCTTCCCCCTCCGGGCTATGCTCCTTGCTATGAAGCGGTGCTGCCAAAAGAAAAGCTGAAGGTGGAACACAGCCGGGAGTACAAGCAGGAGAGAACGTACACCCGGGACCTGCTGGGCCCCACAGTTGCCCTGACCCAAGCCGCCTTCACGCCGGTCCCCGTGGACACCAGCCAGGTACCCGCCCGCTGCTGGCCCCGTCAGCGCTACGCTCGCTCTGATGTGCAGGCTCAGCTCCTGCCCACACCCCTCAGGAATTTGGCATGTTTTCAGAAATACGATTTATATGTGCGATGGAAACAAGTTTCATAAAATAATGCTCAACTTTACCAGGTAGACTTACCTGTTTTCTCTTTTAATCAGTTTTATTTTTATGGGTGGTCCTAGGCCATTACATTGCTATTGTAACACAGCCTTAGGCAGCCCATACTAACTTTAGAGGGTACTCCCTACGTAGGGTAGACGTAGAGTTTTTGCTTCTTTTCCCATCAAGATACACTTACTATTGTGAAATGACTTAACTGGCATCTATTTTGGATAGAGATTGAGGTCATACGGTCTAGAGTCGAAATTCCTGGGATGCGATGCTCCTCTGGGACCTTGAAGATGTGGGTAACCTCCACGGCTCTGGGGAGAGGAGGCGTGAGAGCTGCTCCCTGCAGACCCTGCCTCGTCTGGGCAGGACCAGGCGCTGCTTGACTTGTTGAGGGACTAGTTGTCAGTGACACAACAGCTCACCTTGAAAATCACTTCATATTTTTTTTATAGAAAAATTATTAATCTTACTCTTTATAAAGATCCTATTTGGAAATCAGACAATACAGAGGTAAGAGGAAATAGATCACTGCAGTCAGATACTTAACGGCTCACGGAGCCAGGGTACCATCTGGGCAGAGTGGCCTTCACCCAGCCTGTGAATGAGGCCACAGTGGGGTAAGGAGTTGTGTGATTCTCTTAATGCAGGCTCTACTGGGCAGCCCACATCTACCCAGCAAGGCGTCTTTCTCTGTGGCAGTGTCCCTACCAAACTCTCTTCTGTCTTCCTAACTTCGGCTCATAAATTGGAAACTCCAGTTGCCACTCTCCCCAAAAAGGTCCCAAAATTTCCCTAAAGAGTGTTTAGATAACGAGTTATATTTTTATAGTTAGCTTATAATAGATGGCTTAGAACCCAGTTATATTTTAATGGATACGAGGCAGTTCTATTTAGTCCGATTGCAGGGAGAACCATTAGCGCTGTTGTATTTTTTCTAATGTGTGCTTTCTTTTCTTTCCTTTTCCCCTCCAATTTTAGATTGTGTTGCCCCCCCACCTGGAGAGGATAAGAGAAAAGCTGGCAGAGAACATCCATGAGCTCTGGGTTATGAATAAAATTGAACTTGGCTGGCAGTATGGCCCGGTACGGAGTTTTACATTTATCTAGATTCCATTAATGCATCTTTCTGAATATATCTTTTTTTTTCCTCACTCATCTTGCTGTGTGATGATGCGAATGAATGGGCTGATTTTTTCCCTACACATCAGTTTGGGGCAGTTTTCTGTATGGGAGGGAGCGCCGTGAGGGGCGGGCTGACGGAAGCATGGCTCCATTGCCTTAACCATTGAAAAGTTACCATCTGGAAGCTGCAGGCTACATTTTCATCAAGGTTAACACAGGCAGACAGCAGGCGCTGCTTTCAAAGGTTCTTAGAGAGAACCCAGTGTGGTTGGAAGTGCTTTCGTGTGGCATCTGTAGAGCCCAGATGTTTCCATGGAACAGTCTGTCCCCTGACAGCACACGCCCATCATCCAGGCCCCCACAGGAGCAAAGGCCTGTGTAGCACAGGTCCCCAAGAAGACTAATATTTATCACCAGTGCAGTGATCCAGACCAGCCTTCTCATTAAAAAAAAATATATATTTTATTGATTTTGTACAGAGAGGAAGAGATAGAGAGTTAGAAACATTGATGAGAGAGAGTCATTGATCAGCTGCCTCTTGCACACCCCCTACTGGGGATATGCCCGAAACCAAGGTACATGCCCTTGACCGGAATCGAACCCGGGACCCTTCAGTACCCAGGCCGACACTCTATCCACTGAGCCAAACCGGTCCCGGCCAGCCTTCTCATTGATCCTTCCCTAAAGTCTTTGATCTAGTGTAGTCTGATTTCTAACATACATGGTCAAGGTTTAAGGTATAAAAAACCCTGTATCATGCCAATAGATCTTGCTGAGGTGGTGGGATGACACGTGACAGTGGGGAAGAGTGTGTGGGGGTGAGCTGAGGGGCTGGGACCTCCGGCAGAGTGTATGGCAGACAGCCGGGTTCATAGGTCTCTGACAGTTTGGCTCTACACACTGAAAAATGGTTCCCCATTAAAGCGAAGTCTCCGCTACACTCAGTAAGGATGTGGGCCACCCGTCTGCTTCCCCCTCACTCCCCACTGCTGATTGGAGGGCCGCTGCTGGTGTCTGCCCGGGGGACTGACCCGTGGCACCCTCCTGTCCCGGTTCAGGTCAGAGACGACAACAAGAGGCAGCACCCCTGCCTGGTGGAGTTCTCCAAGCTGCCGGAGCAGGAGCGCAACTACAACCTGCAGATGTCGCTGGAGACCCTGAAGTGAGTCCTTAGCGTCCCCTCCCCCTCAGCCTCCCCCAAAGGGTTAAGTGTCAAGTCCTTGAATTCCGGCTGGAACTAAACCTATTGATCGACAAAGGTCAAGCAGGTTGATAACTTTGGGGGGAAAGGCAGAGCTGGTGGGAATGGAAAACGTCACCATTTCTGTAGACATTGCCCACCTGGTTAAACCTGAAAGTGTCTGTGCCCTGGGATCCAGGAACTCCGCATCAAGGGGTTGATCTCACAGATGAAGGACACAGTGCATGTGCTGCATGCGTGAGGCTGTGCCTGGCAGCACGGTTTGTAATAACCCCAGGGCAGAGCATGGGGTCAAACCATCGTGACACGTCCCGCTGATGGAACCTGTCAGAGCTGTTGAAAAATAAACCAGCTTTAAAGAAAGGACAGGATTTCAAAGTGAAATTGTAAAGTCAAGGTAGCAGATTGCAGAGAACTGTCTGCTGTGTATACAGCGTGCACACACATGCACACGCACACACACAAACACACACACGTGTGTTTCCCTTAGCGCAGCACACGCTCTAGCAGGACAGAAGAATTGGGAGCCGTTGGTGCTTTTAGTGGGGAAAGGGCTAGAGGAAGGGACTTAGAGGGAGTGATCGGTATCTGCTTTCGATGCCATTTCAATTTCCACTCTCTTATTACTCAAAAGTCCCTTATTAATTAATTAATTAATTCTTTAAAAACACATGTGCTCTGCTTTAGGCAGGACTGTTACCCCTCATATCCATCTGCGGGTGAGCTGAGCCCTCGGGCTGAGGGAAGGATCGTGCTGAGCTCTGGTTTTGTTTTCCAGGACCTTGTTGGCATTAGGATGCCATGTGGGCATATCAGATGAACACGCTGAGGAAAAGGTGAAAAAGATGAAGCTACCCAAGAAGTAAGTGGAACGTAACAATACTCAGTAGTCCTTTGTGTTATGCAAACATCGATTCATCCAACATACTTTTACTGAAGCCTGCCGGCATGAGGCATCAGTCTAGGTCTGGGCAGCCAGACTCCTGCTGTCAGGATCTTACCTGGCACTGATGCCACCCAGAGCCCAGAGCAGTTAGGAGAGGTGACTTCCAGTTTTATTTAAAGAGCATTTTCTCAAGTTCTGATCACTATGCTTTTACCTTAGCATAATTATCTGGTGAATTTTCTTTTCTGCAAAAGGATAATCTTTGAGATGAACAGATGTTTATGTTTATCTGAACTTAGCAAATAAAGTTAATTCTTTCAAAAACTGTGGCTTCAAAGGCACAGGGACATGCGTGTGGTTGAGAGTGAGAGGAGTAGCTATGAGTGCTGGGTACCAGCCTCGGCGGTTAGACAGGGAGACAGTTGTGTGTCTGTGTGGAGCGGGCAGTACCAGCGCCCACATATTATGTGTTGAAAATTTTACATTTTCAATTTTATATTTCTTCCAAGAGATGAAAACTTATTTAGTAACTTTTCTCTCCAGCTCAGAGTGCAGAAATAGTCTCTGGTAAGAGTCCTGAAGGACCAGGCCTTCAGGTTTGGATGGCTGTGTGTTTCCTAGTCTCTCTCTTAACTAGGGCTTCCTAAATTACATCTGTAAGAATAATCTGTAGATGCATAAGAATTTTCCTAGTATCTATAAGGATACATACACAGCTTCATTAAGTAAAAATGACATTAATAAAACATTTACAAGTTGAAAATGAGAACTTTGATTGAGAAATCCATTGAATGTTCTCACTGGTAACCAGTACTTAGATTGGCATTAAGCCTGGACTCTTAGAAACACAATGATAACTTGTTCTCCATTTTGAGAGATAAGTGAGTTGTTGAATTTGGTTTATTGGTGAAAAACAAAACCATAAGCGTCACGTGACCCTTCCTCCTGATGAGTTATGGGCTTGAGTGGAGGGATCCGGCTTGCTGGAGCTGTGTCACCAGTGGTCACCACTGTGCTGACGGAACCTTTATAAGTAGGTGGAGCCACGCAAAGACTCTTACAGGGATGTTTCAACCTTGACCTTGTGGGAAGGCCCATTATACATGTGTTTTGCTTTGCTCTGTAGTTACCAGCTGACAAGTGGCTACAAGCCGGCACCGATGGACCTGAGCTTTATCAAACTCACCCCGTCTCAGGAAGCAATGGTGGACAAACTGGCAGAAAATGCTCACAACGTGTGGGCCCGGGACCGGATCCGGCAGGGCTGGACCTACGGCATCCAGCAGGTACCTGTGGCCTCACGTGGTCTCTTGACTCAGAATCCCTGTCCTGCTAATGTGGCTCTTCTCAACACCAAGGTGTGTCAGCCAACTGTGCAGGGAAGTGGCATGTTCTCTATGTTAGCCCATTGCTTGTGACTGTGGCAGAAGGTAGCCGCTGAAAGAGGTCCTTCGGTGGCTTTTGTTATTGCTGTGGTGATTTTTACTTTTTCTTCTCCTGGAGAAGTCTGGCTTTATATGGATGCAGACCTTCATTTGGTTAACTCCTTTGTATTGGCCCTGTTCCGGTAACTTCTGGAGCCCTAGGAGACCAAGGGGATGAGAGGGGCAGCCTTGATCTTCAGGGCCTTGGTGTTGTGTCCTCTTTCAATGTTGTGTTTGCTGTCTCACTTCCTCAGGTTGTTGGCATGACTCTGTTGACCGCACCTTTTTCTTCCTGCAGGACGTCAAGAACAGGAGAAACCCGCGCCTGGTGCCCTACACCCTTCTGGATGACAGGACCAAGAAGTCCAACAAGGACAGCCTCCGGGAGGCGGTGCGCACGCTGCTGGGGTACGGCTACAGCCTGGAGGCGCCCGACCAGGACCACGGTACTGCCGGCTCCCGCTGCTCCCTCCGCTTGCAACGTCACGGGCAGGGTTTACAGCCAAATAAGTGAAGAAAGGGAGCACAGACAGAGTCCTCTAGTGTGTAATCCCGTACGCAGTGTGTAGTCCAGAGCAGCAGTCGCTAGCCTTTTGGACCTCATGGGCCACCAGTGGTCTGCTGGTTTAGAGCACCTTTTTCTGAAGGAGGAGACGGTGTCTTAGGAGCGTGGCCCAGACCACAGCGGTTTACTTCCTGAGGAGGCTAACGGGTCTACCTGGTTCAGACATTGCCCCCATCCCCCCCACCAGCGGTCCTTCGAAGAGCTGGGTTTAGTTGTTTATGGGAATAAATTGTAGTGGGATCTAGTGTTTTGGTTTTGTGCTTCTTTTGTTCTATATTTTTTTTACAGAGAGGAAGGGAGAAGGATAGAGAGTTAGAAACATGGATGAGAGAGAAACACCGATCAGCTGCCTCCTGCACACCTCCTACTGGGGATGTGCCCACAACCAAGGTACATGCCCTTGACTGGAATCGAACCTGGGACCTTTCAGTCCACAGACCGACACTCTATCCTCTGAGCCAAACTGGGTAGGGCTCTAGTGTTTTCTAAGCCTTCATTATTTATAGTCATTCATGTAGGCAATATCAATTAGTGCAATATTTTGCTGTAAGGAAAACACAGTTGAATAGGCAATCAATAAATATGTGTTAAGAATATGGACTTTTTCTTTTAATCCTCAACCTTTTGGTATACTTTCTCATGGTCACCTGGCTTCCGGTTCCATGGCTGACATTTCTCACTCATGGCTCTCTCAATCCATGTGTGTCCACTCTTAAGTCACATGCACACTCTCAGCCCATATGTGCCCAGTCAGTCCACATGTATGGACTCTCAGTCCACGTGCACCTACTGTCAGTCCACGTGCACCTATTGTCAGTCCACCTGTGTCCTCTCTCAGTCCACATGCATCCACTCTATCTACTGTATCCTCTCAATGCACATGTGTTCCCTTGCCTACAGATGTTTTTCCCTTTTCCCACTGATTCTGATGTCAGACTTGACCCTTTCACTTTCTTAAACACCGTGTGTGTGCAGCACATGATGGTGACGATGTGTGGGAGGGAGAGTTCTGCCCTCACTCATGCTTCCTGGGGGGGTGGGGATGGTGACCCTCTCTGCTTCTAGCTTTCTGTCTCCCCCTCGTTGCCTGGTTGCTTCTTCCCTCTCCTCTCTCACCCACCGATGTCCACTCATTTCTCATGGGCAGTGGTTTCAATCTCTTGTGCTATTTCTATCTCTCCGTGCCTCACGTTTATCTCATCTTCCGCTACCAAACCACCAACCGTTGGAGGTCTTTGCACAGAAAGAACTCTCCTGCACAGGCAGGGCCCTGCCTTCACGTGTCACCAGCTCGCCACGGCCTCATGCGGAAGGCGTTGCTCCCTGCGCCTCGCTGGCTTGTGGGCTGCCCGTCCTGATGTATACACACGTAGTACACGTGCACCCGATGGGAGGAGAGTGTCACTCGCACATCCCTGCGGGGGTAGTTATAAAGTCATGTGGCATCTGCCCTTCTTTCCTTGTCCCCGGTGATCACAGACTCTCCTTCCCTTCCCAGCTGCCCGAGCCGAAGTGTGCAGCAGCCCCGGGGAGCGGTTCCGGATCTTCCGGGCTGAGAAAACCTACGCCGTGAAGGCGGGAAGGTGGTACTTTGAGTTCGAGACTGTCACCGCTGGGGACATGCGCGTTGGCTGGAGCAGGCCGGGCTGCCAGCCTGATCAGGAGCTGGGCTGCGACGAACACGCCTTCGCCTTTGACGGCTTCAAGGTGAGCGGGCGCCGGGCAGCAGCCAAGGGGTGGGAGGCATCCTCGCTGCCGGGCCTGGCTTCCCCCCGGGTGCTCCACACAGCCGGAAACCACACTTTGGGAAGATGGTTCCCAGGGAAACGCACAGTGTTCTCCGCTCACAAACACGGGAAACCCCGTGTCAGAAAGATGAAGCACCGTGTCTCACAAAAGTGTTAGAAATACAGACACTCCTTAAAATGCACACATGTTGACACAGCAATCCCACGGAAGAAATCGATCCTGAAGCAGTAATAATTGATAGGCAGACACCTTTAATAACTGTAAGAATACCCAAGGCAATGCGGTTATAATCACGGAAAGTTTCCAGTTTCAACATCATTAGGCATTTTCTTTTTTTTCTTTTTGGCTCCGGGGAAGCTTATTTTATTATTAATACATCATATAAATGTTTGAATGTTATTTTCTCCGTGTAAAATATTAAACAAAAGTTTGCGTGTATGAACATAGTCACAGTAGACTAATAGTCATTCTTGCTAATGAAATAGATCTTTCATTCTTTCATTTGTTTTCTCTGATTTTCCTCCAGTGGACTCTATTCCTTTATCTATGAGGGAAACTTAATGGGAAAAAGGGAATTAGAATAAGTAAGCAATCGTGTAGAAGTTTGACAGTGAGCGCTCAGATATGCATGGAGGGAGAGCACTTCTAGACTAGAAACTAGCATTGTGTCCTGTAGGGCAGTTGACACTCTTTGTTCTGAAATGTCTTTTCTTTATTTTTCCTGAATTCTGCTTTTTTACTTCAGATGGGAAAGTTGAACACCTTGTGATACCTAATGTAGTTAGTTAAGTTTTCTAAAAACTAAGTATTATACTTGAGAAGAATCATATTATTGTTTTGCATTGGTGACTGTATCTCATTACATATTTGATCACAATGAAAGTGACATTTAGGGGAAAGTTAAAAGACTTACCTGGAAAATCAATATCACTAATTTTGTACCTAAAGATCAATAGAATATACTATAGATTCAACTATCACACTTATCCTCTGTGTATATCAAACAATAGTGGCATCTATATTCAGTCTTTAGCAAACATATTGTAAACATTTTTAGGTTTGGTTTGAAACTTTTTATTATACAGGGTGGGGCAAAGGTTTACAGTTGTTTGTATGGAAGATAATATAATAATGAACAAATAATAATACAAAAATAATACAAAAATTAACTGTAAACCTACTTTTGCCCCACCTTGTATATTGAAATGTATTAAGATTTCATTTTGTTATATATTGGTGCCATTGTTCTAAGGAATAGAACTTGCTTTTGAAATGGATGAAAACTAGAATGTCACTCAATGGTAAATTCCCAGCTTGAGTCTCTGCTCATAATTCATTGTTTTTGGGGGAGTAGAGAGAAACCACCCATGTCCCAGGAAGCATTCATTGTAGGGAGAAAAATAAAATGTTAAAGACAGAGTTTTCTTTTGAATAGAAAGTATATAGAGTAGGTTTTTAAAGTGATAGATTCTCAAAATGATGAAATAGCATTTGGGCTTTTCTCGAGTCAGCACACACAGTATTACCATGACGGACGTAGGACTCCATGACGGACGTAGGACTCCCACATCCCGGCTCTGGGGTGGGGGTGGGGAGAGGAGGGCTGCTGTGAGTCCTGCAGGCAGTGGGGGTGCGTTCTCCTGGCCTTCTCGGTGCCAATGACTCTTCTGCCCCCAGGCCCAGCGGTGGCACCAGGGCAATGAGCACTACGGGCGCTCCTGGCAAACGGGCGATGTCGTGGGATGCATGGTGGACATGACAGAGCGCACCATGATGTTCACGCTGAACGGCGAAATCCTTCTTGACGACTCAGGGTCAGAGCTGGCTTTCAAGGACTTTGATGTTGGCGATGGTAAGTGTGTTGGGGGCGGCACAAGGAGACTCTTGGCTTTGATGCCCGTGACCCCGTCCTTGCTTGAGGGTGAGGAAAGAGGAGCTGCCGCTTCAGGTCGCATGGGCACCCTCAAGGCATGTTTGATCAGACGCCCCTGACATTGCTCTAGCTGAGGCTGCTTTGCACTACTGAGCTACGGCAGGTATGGCTGCTTGAATGTGCATAAGAAAATAAACAGCAGGCAGGAGGCGCATTTTCCCTCTGAGCTGCTTATAGCTTCTGTCTGTTCACTCACTTCATAAAAATTTAACGAGAGCCTCCCCGTTGAGGCCCTCTGCTGGCTGCTGAGAGGACAAAGATGAATAAGCACTGTTCAGTCTTTATGTGGTGACAGTATACCGGGAGTCCACATTGTGTGATTTCTGATCAGTGAGAAGTTGGAAATACTAGTAAAGGGGTGCCCGGTGCAGAGAGCAGGCAGCTGAGCTGTGGCTCCGGGTGACCTGGGCAGGGATGAAAACGATGGAAGCCCTTCGTGAGGCAAACACTTCCAGTAAAGGGGCCACTGGCCACACGAGGCTATTTTAATTGACATTAAATTAAGTTAAAAATTGAGTTTCTTGCCTTGCCGGCGTGGCTCAGTGGTTGAGTGTTGACCTATGAACCAGGAGGTCATGGTTTGATTCCTGGTTAGGGCACATGCAATCTTGGAGGACTGGCTGCTTAGCATGCATCTCATGTACACAGTCCAAGGTCAGGAGCGCCTTACGTAGAGGTCGCAGTTAGTGGATTGTGATGCTGAGATCGAATACTGCCCTTCTGACCTTACGTTCTAATACTTAGCATCGGTTCTCTCTTTTTGGACAACATTTGTGATCATACCGTACTAACCGGCTCTTATACTGATGGAACTGAGATTGTGGTTCTTCTTTCTTCCAGGATTCATACCCGTGTGCAGCCTTGGGGTGGCTCAGGTGGGAAGGATGAACTTTGGAAAGGACGTGAGCACCTTGAAGTATTTCACCATTTGTGGCTTACAGGAGGGCTACGAGCCGTTCGCCGTTAACACCAACAGGGACATTACCATGTGGCTAAGCAAGCGACTTCCTCAGTTCCTCCAGGTTCCTTCAAACCACGAACATATTGAGGTTTGCTTTTTCTCAAAATGTCAGACAGTTGCCAAAAGACAGGATCAGAATATCTTGACACACGGGAGTTTTACGTGGACAATTACTGTCACTTAAAAGGTGACCCTGATGTGTTACACAGAAATAGAATTAAGCACAGGCTCAGCCTTGATTTTAAATACTTTATGAGTAGCTGATTAGATCGATGAGCCATTGTTAATTTTCGTTTTTAGAGGCAATCTCGGGCTCAGTCTGAATAGACACAGTGATCACATGGATTTCCCAAACCCTCTCCTGAGTTAGAAGCAGAACTATGGGTATATCTGTAACCCAGTCTCACGATACTCAGTCGTCTAATTTACAAAACCACATCACATGTGGCTGCATTTGGGTCTTACAGACATGAAACACGTGGTCTTTAGAACCCCCGAATCCACGGTGATGGCTGGAATTGACCTATCACGTCCCTGTGTGCTAGGTGACCAGAATAGACGGCACCGCGGACACCTCCCCATGTTTAAAGATCACTCAGAAGTCCTTCAGTTCCCAGAACAGCAGCACGGACATCATGTTCTACCGGCTGAGCATGCCCATCGAGTGCGCAGAGGTCTTCTCCAGGACGGCGGCCGGCGGGCTCCCGGGGGCCGGCCTCTTCGGGCCCAAGAGTGACCTGGAGGATTACGACGCGGATTCTGATTTCGAGGTTCTGATGAAGACAGCTCACGGCCATCTGGTGCCCGATCGGGTGGACAAGGACAAAGAAGCTACAAAGCCAGAGTTTAACAACCACAAGGATTACGCGCAGGAGAAGCCCTCTCGTCTGAAACAGAGGTGGCTGATCTTTTCTGTGGTTGAGTTTGTAGGAGTTCTTTGCATACACTGGACATTAATCTTTAGCAGATACATGGTTTGCAAGTATTTCCCGCCAAGAGTTAGTTTTCAAAATGTCTGTATTTACTTTCTTGGTTGAAACTTAGAGTCTTCTCTCTCTAACTAGTGTTTTTATGGACAAGAAGACAACCCATGTTAGCATTTTGCCTTGCCCTAAATCAGAATTTCTGAGCCTCAGCATGCTCTGGGTTAAATAACTGTTTGTGGTGAGATTCTGCCTTGGTCATGAAACATGGTCTCCATCCGTTAGATGCAGGTGGCACACACGTGGCCCCAGTCCCATGTCATGGCAACCAAAAACATCTCCAGAGGTTGCCAGACATGCTCGGGGGAGTGAAACCGCCCTGGTTGATAATCACTGAACTAAGCTGGTTATTTGCTTGTGTTTGAAGGAAGCAGAACTTTTAACGTTGCTTACTCCCAGTGCTGTCGTATTTCCAGATTCTTGCTGAGAAAGACAAAGCCGGATTACAGCACGAGCCACTCCGCGAGGCTCACTGAGGACGTCCTAGCGGATGACCGGGACGACTACGAATACCTGATGCAGACGTCCACGGTACGTCCTTACGTCAGTCTGTCACTCATCCCACTTGACATTTCAAACGTCCGCTTGAGTCATCATACTTAGCAAGCTGATGTTTAAAATGATTTTTTCTTATTTGGTGGTGGGGGGGGAGGGGAGTAAAAAGTTGAAAAATATATGGATATGCAGCAAAAGAGCTATTTTAGGGAAAAAGGCCTGTTATTGTTTTTCTTGGCAAAATTTGAATTTGTGACCTAATTTCTCCGAGTACATATAATTTCTTTCATCTTTGTGATATGTCTAAAAGAAGGTAATTCATATTTTGTTAGAGGTCAAGTTTTGCTCTGTGCCACTTAAAGCTTTCAAAACAGCTAAATGACAAATGGAAAAAATAGGTAGTAGTGTCCCTCAAGTTGATCCCCCCATGTTGGAGATCGGTTTTCACATATTAGATAGGATCTATTTCAAAGTGACTTAAAGATGTGGAAATGTGACATTTTAGTGCTAGGAAAGACGACCTATCCACAGGTGTAAAACTCCCGCACAGATTAGCACACTGTGAAAGCTGGGGGAATTCGAAGCTTACCTGCCTAGTGGCTGATGATTGTATTGCATAAAGATCCTCTCTATGTACAAATACGAATGGTGTGCATATTACACGTGTACTCCCACAGTCATGCACACACTCAGGAGTACAAGAGCCTTCCACCATTTAGCACACAGAGACTTCTCTGTTGCCATGATTTCTAGTTGGACTCCGGATCTCTGCTCTCAGGCTCTTCTTAGTTTGCAGTCTTAGTTCTTGGTGTTGATGACATTTTAATTAGGCCCAGAGATTTTAAGCAACTATATTCAACAACAATCCAGGGACTCTGCAGTTCAGGCTGGTTCGTGTTACGTTGCCAACACCTGCTTTGTACTGTCTTCGCAGTACTATTACTCGGTGAGGATCTTCCCTGGACAAGAGCCGGCCAGTGTCTGGGTGGGCTGGGTCACGGCCGACTTCCACCAGTACGACACGTGCTTCGACCTGGACAGAGTTCGCACAGTGACCGTGACTCTGGGAGATGAGAAAGGGAAGGTGCACGAAAGGTTGGTTTCCCTCCCTTTCTTAAAGGGACAGCTGATCGAAATGTTGATACACCTTGGATTTCATACCCCCAGGGTATGATTTCTACTTATAGGAACAATATGATCAAAAACCTTAACGTCAGTGTCCTTGCTGTTGCTCAACCAAGCCAGTAAGGAATCTGAGTATTTAAAAGCGAAAACCGTTATAAAGTGAGAGCAGCGCGCCCCTTTTCGGGGAATAATCGTGTTCCTTCGGCTGCCATCGCACATGACTAACAGTGTGGGTTGCGAGTCGCAGCCCCTGTGCCAGGGATTAGGATGGGGAAGGTGAGACAGGGAGCGTGCGGTCTGACATGCACCCTGGGCCCTGGTTTGTGGGGGGAGACGATTGAAGACTGGAGTGGAGTGTGTGAACTCCGACTGAGGGGCAGTGGGTTCTTTCCTCAGCCTGGCCATTGACTCGCTGTGTGGCTTTGGGTAAGTCACTTACACTTTCTGTGCCATCCTTTCTCATCTGTAAAACGAACCAAACTCAAACCAAACCTTCAAAAAAGTGAAGAAGGCCATTTTCCTCGCAGAAGTAGGCAAGAGAAGACCTGACATTCGCACCTACCTCTGTGCCCATGCGTCCTCTCGTCCTCCATACGTTGCTTTGATTTTATAGCCGCACCTCGTTTTTGGTGACTAGAAGCTCACTCTCCTGCCTTCGGGGTTTAACACCTGAGACATTAGAACTTAGATCTTGAGGCGGTGGGCTGGCAAGACTCTCCACTGAGTAGTGATTCATGTGTGGGTGCCCCAAACCACCTGTGCCCAGGAATATTCTAGGGGGATATATTTGATTTTCAGAGAAGGTGATAGTATAAGGCAGTGGTCGGCAAACTCATTAGTCAGCAGAGCCAAATATCAACAGTACAATGATTGACATTTCTTTTGAGAGCCACATTTTTTAAACTTAAACTTCTTCTAACGCCTCTTCTTCAAAATAGACTTGCCAAGGCCATGGTATTTTGTGGAAGAGCCACACTCAAGGGGACAAAGAGCCACATGTGGCTCGAGAGCCGCAGTTTGACTACCACTGGTATAAGGGAAGCTGGGGTTGAGCCACCAAATAGATGGCTCTGTTGCAGGAAGGGTTGTTGAGTCTTATGGACACAATGCAAAGAAGCACAGCTGGCCTGGTTATCCAGAAACTGACCAGCTCACCCTTTTTTATTTTTATTTTTTACTTTTTAATCTTCACTTGAGGATATTTTTTTTCATTGATTTTTAGAGAGGGTGGAAGACAGAGGGAAAGACAGAGAGAAACATCGATGTGAGAGAAACACATCGATGGGTTGCCTCCTGCACACGCCCCAACCAGGGCCCGGGCTGGGGAGGAGCTTGCAACCGAGGTGCGTGTCCTTAACAGGAATTGAACCCAGGACCCGACATTCTATTCACCGAGCCAGACTGGCTAGGGCCAGTTCACCTTGTTCTTTGCCTGCCGGTGGCCTGTTTTTCCTGGTCTCATGAATCTGTCTGCTATCTGGCGGCAGACAAAGTGAAAATAACGGTTTTGTTGCCATCTCTGGTCAAGGTGTGGCTGAGAGTGAAACTCGGGTGGGTTGTTCACACTGATTTTGTGCATATTCCAGCTGAGTCTCTCTCATGGCCGATCGCCGGGAAGTTTCCCTAAGGGGGCTTGTTTTAGCCAAATGGGAGATGTATTGAATGACTGACTGGTCCTCTCATCTCAGAACAGTGGTTAAACACACACACACACACACACACACACACACACACACACTACCTCTGAGAATGAAAATTACAAATTTGGATGATTCTCAAAGAAACTTTTTTGAACCTCAGAAAAAGACGCAGTTTGGTTTGAGTTTTCGCAGGGCAGGTGCAGGTCAGCTCTTACGTGGTTCCAGCTTGCTGACCTGTCTCCATCAGGTGTGACTTAGGACCTGATCGAGAGCGTCCACTGGTCAGCGAGGCTCGGGGTCAGACCCGGGCCCACGTGCACCTCCCCACCACAGCATGAGCTTGTTGCTTGCGCAGCATAATCTAGGTTTAGCCTGCGAGATATACGTGCTTCTGTTCTACCCGTGGTTGTACCAAGATAAAAATGTTTTTGAAATCCAGCATCAAACGCAGCAACTGCTACATGGTGTGCGCGGGCGAGAGCATGAGCCCCGGGCAGGTCCGCAACAACAACGGGCTGGAGATCGGCTGCATGGTGGACGCCGCCAGCGGGCTGCTCACCTTCACGGCCAACGGCAAGGAGCTGAGCACCTACTACCAGGTACCGTCTGTGGGCACTGCTTCTCCGCAGGGAAGCGTTGTTGACCATTAGAGGAAAGCACACCCTGTAAGACAGAATCACAAATTTTAAAAAACGGAAAACAGGCCCTGGCCATCGTGGGCCAGTGGTGACAGCATCTGCGCGTGCGCACCTAACGGTCTTGGGTCCGATTCCCAGCCAAGGGCATGCATCTGGGTTGCAGGTTCTATTCCAGGTCCAGGCCAGGGCGCCTGTGGGAGGCAAATTACAGATGCATCCCTCTCACATGGATGCACATCTCTCTCTCCCCACCTCCCTTTCACTCTAACTAAAAATCAATGGGGAAAATATCTTTGGGTGACAATTAATAACAACAAAAGAAAATGAAAACAGAACTGAATGAATTATGTATTTTTACTTCTGCTTGAATAATAGCTGCACCTTAACGCCCTTCAGAGCTAGGAGTACATTTCTCCTTAAATGTTCATGTAGCAGAGAAATGAAATGCTCCCAGTAGTTCCGTATTTTTCGGACCATAAGACGCACCAGTTTTTAGAGAAGGGAAATGAAGAAAAAAAGATTCTGAAACAAAGTGTCCTAAAATATTTTATGTGCATTAAAACCCAACATCACAGTCATAAACACATGTAATCAACCCTGTAAAGTAAACAGCAGCATTTAGAACCATTTTAGAGCTGGGCAAGCACACAGAGACCACACAGAGCCGGGCAAGTAAAAAAACTTTTTTTTTAAAGTATATGTGTAGGCTATATTTGGACCATAAGACGCAGGGACTTTTCCCCCCCACTTCTGGGGGGGAAAAAAGTGCGTCTTATGGTCCGAAAAATACAGTAATTGCTGAAAGACGATTTCCATGTGGGAGAAAGGAAGGTCTCTGGTTCGCTTTTGTGAAGTGTTCCCTAGTTGTTGTGCAGAAAATACGTGTTCTTTCTTTTCTCCCTCTGCTAATATGGTTAAATTCGTTGCTTTGCAGGTGGAGCCAAGCACCAAATTATTTCCTGCAGTTTTTGCACAAGCCACAAGTCCCAATGTCTTCCAGTTTGAGTTGGGAAGAATAAAGGTAAGAAAGATCATTCTTGGTCTTACATTTGGATTATGTTCTGTTAGGGAATAATATGTACTTCTTAAATGAGTACTGCTATTAATCCTATATATAATTTTTAAAAAATATATATTTTATTGATTTCAGAGAGGAAGGGAGAGGGAGAGACAGAAACATCAGTGTGAGTGAGGGTGTGGGTTATGGACACGGCGGGTGACAGGGCGGACGGAGAGAGAGCCATGTGGATGTGACCTGTGTCAGGGCGTGTGGCACCAAGAGCAGCTCGGAGAGCAGGCCTCGAGGATGTGGTGGCTTCCTCGCTCCTGCCTTCTCCCAGGCCAGCCAGGGTGTGGCAGAGCCACGGGCCTACCCTGCACTTGCCCTGAGGGGCCGGGCCTTTTCCTTCAAGCATCGTCTCCTTTCAGGAGCTTCCGCCCCATTCCTGCCATTTCTTGTACTGACTTTGGGGGACACACAGCTGGTCTTTCTTCTGTCTGATCCCCGGGAGGGTCAGAAACGGCTCCTCTGCTTCGTCCCCTAGAACGTGATGCCTCTCTCGGCGGGCCTCTTCAAGAGCGAGCACAGGAACCCCATGCCTCAGTGTCCCCCGCGCCTCCACGTGCAGTTCCTGTCCCACGTTCTGTGGAGCCGGATGCCCAACCAGTTCCTGAAGGTGGACGTGTCGCGGGTCAGCGAGCGCCAGGGCTGGCTGGTGCAGTGCGTGGACCCGCTGCAGTTCATGTCCCTGCACATCCCCGAGGAGAACAGGTGCGTGCCCCGCACCCTCCACGGGGCCTCTCACTGACCGTCACTGAGTGGCTTGTCTAGAGGAAGCATGGACTTTTAAAACGGATTCTGTTGTCAGAGGAAAGACTTTGGGCATAACCTGGTCCGATTATTGAGGTTCTGAAAGGTCATGATAGGGACCTGAATGAGGAGCCTGTGTAGACTCAGTTTCCCTGCAGAAACGCTCCTCACTGAGAATGTCACTATAGAGTGTGTTTCTCGAGTGGCACAGGTGGCATATAGGTGGGTCTGGGAGGGAGGTTGGTTAGAGGGGAGTTACATCCCCGGAATCAGCCTGTTAGCTCCTCCCACTGGCCAGGCGGCAGTGCTCCCAGGTCAGAGACAAGGCGCAGCCTCTGGAATTAAAGGCACCGTTTCCTGGGTTCTAGAAACCAGCCACCCAGTGGGGAAGGGGACTTGGGGTTTCCCAGGGAGGGCTCATGTTCCGAAAGGAGGGGCCCCCAGGTTCAGACTGAGACCAGTCTAAGAGGCGCCCCGAACTTCGTATGGACGATGAAGAGGGTGCAAGCCCAAGAGGGTGAACATTTTTAAAAAATTATATTTTATTGATTTCTCACAGAGAGGAAGAGAGAGGGATAGAGAGTTAGAAACATTGATGAGAGAGAAATATCGATCAGCTGCCTCCTGCACACCCCCCACTGGGGATGTGCCACAACCAAGGTACATGCCCTTGACCGGAATCGAACCTGAAACCTTTCAGTCTACAGGCCGACGTTCTATCCACTGAGCCACACCGGTTTCGGCGAGGGCGAACATTTTCAACATAAAATTCTTTATGGGAGAAATCTTGTAAAAGACATAGAACAGACTTTTTTCTGCATGCCGTGGAGGATGAGGGTGGCTTGCGTGAGCTTCTGTGTGCCTGTGACTGAGCCTCCCCCCGGCCCGCAGGTCCGTGGACATCCTGGAGCTGACGGAGCAGGAGGAGCTGCTGCACTTCCACTCGCACACGCTGCGGCTCTACTCGGCCGTGTGTGCCCTGGGCAACCACCGCGTGGCGCACGCGCTCTGCAGCCACGTGGACGAGGCGCAGCTGCTGTACGCCATCGAGAGCAAGTACATGCCCGGCCTGCTGCGCACGGGCTACTACGACCTGCTCATCGACATCCACCTGAGCGCCTACGCCACCGCGCGGCTCATGATGAACAACGAGTACATCGTGCCCATGACCGAGGAGACCAAGAGCATCACGCTCTTCCCCGACCAGCACAAGGAGCACGGGCTGCCGGGCATCGGCCTCAGCACCTCGCTGCGGCCGCGCATGCGCTTCTCCTCGCCCAGCTTCGTGGGCCTCAACCACGACTGCTACCAGTACAGCCCCGAGTTCCCCCTGGACACGCTCAAGACCAAGACCATGCAGATGCTGACGGAGGTGGTGCAGGAGGGCGGCCTGCGCGCCAGGGACCCGGTAGGGGGCACCACCGAGTTCCTCTTCGTGCCGCTCATCAAGCTCTTCTACACGCTGCTCACCATGGGCGTCTTCCAAGGGGAGGACCTGAAGCACATCCTGCAGCTCATTGAGCCCCGGGTGTTCAGGGAGGCCTTCCCGGAGGAGGAGGACCAGGCGCCCTCCAAGGAGCCCCACCCCGAGGATGCCAGGCCCGAGGGCATGCGTGGGGACGCTGCAGAGGGGCTGCTGCAGATGAAACTGCCCGAGCCCGTGAAGCTCCAGGTGAGGGGGTGAGTGGGGGGCTGCCGGGGGGAAGGGGTGGGGAGCTCAGGATTGCACATGACCAAAGCACTGAAACTGGCCTGTGGGGGTTCCTGTGTAGCATAGTTGTCTTGAAAATTAATATCCAGTTGTGTTTGGGACCCATCAATCTAACTTTCTGACATTTGATCGAATTTAATGAAATGTCCAATTGAGTCCATTGATAATAGTTAATAAAAGATAAATTTAGTATATTTGTCAAGGTGATTTCCTGTTTACCATGTGTGTCTGCAAGTCTGGCCTGTTTGTGTGCATATGTGTATGTGTATGCATGTACTTGTGTTTATATGTAGATTTGCACGTATAGATGTGTGTATGCGTCTATGTGTATTGGTGCGTACAGTTGTGTGTATGTGTATATTGTGTGTGCATGCGTATAGTTGTGTTCATGTATATATGTATATTTATGTGTGTACATTTTATGTTTATAGGTATATTGTGTGTATGTGTGCATATGTACTTTTATCTGTGTGGAGGTGTGTATAAATATATTTGTGCGCCTATAGTTGTGTGTGTCTACGTGAGTTTAGTTGTGTGTGTATATTTGTGTGTCCATATGTATACATGAGTATTTCTGTGTGTACAGTTGTGCGTGCGTGTGTGTGTGTGTGTGTGTGTGTCTGTGTGTGTTACATGTGTGAAAGCGTAGGAGATGGGCTTCTGCCGCTGATTTTTATTTGCTGTCCCAGAGCTCTGAAGGTTCCTGACTTACACCGGGTGTCTTTGTCGTTGTCTCCTTAGATGTGCCTGCTCCTCCAGTACCTCTGCGACTGCCAGGTCCGGCACCGCATCGAAGCCATCGTGGCCTTTTCCGATGACTTTGTCGCCAGGCTCCAGGACAACCAGCGCTTCCGCTACAACGAAGTCATGCAGGCCCTGAACATGTCAGCCGCGCTCACAGCCCGGAAGACGAAGGAGTTCAGGTCGCCCCCACAAGAGCAGGTACAGAGGGACCGGAAACCCTCCCTGTGGGCTCCGTCAGCTCACTCAGGACCCAGGCCCTGCACAGGGACCAGTGCATCTCCCTGTTCTCTCCGTACTAGCCACGGTGCGGTAGTCAGCAGCCTTAGCTTCCCCAAGCAGTCTGCTGGGTGAGTTTAAAGTTTAAACAAATCAGAGGCTTATTAAAAGGAATCAGATGTGTCATGGCCTCTTTGAGGAGGCCAGTTTCGCCAGATCCTGATGTCATACAACTGGGAACAACACTTAAACACACTGACACGGTGGGAACTTGTCCTCATCGCTGACGGACGGGCTCCTGGGACACAATGCTAGACTTTTTTTTTTTAATTATTTATTTATTTGTTTACTTTTTGTTTACTGTTAATATGTTATTTTTTAATTTATTAGAGAGATAGATAGAAGCTTTGATTTGCTCCATTGTTAGTATTGATAAATTCATCCGTTGGGCAACATTTTACGAATACTCCAAAACTGGTTTCGAACAGCTTTAGTTTTGTGATCTTTGCTGTGTAATTCCTCAATCCACTCTTCTCTCATTCTCGTTCTTCCTCTTCCTTGTTCCAAACTTCCAGATCAATATGCTTCTCAATTTTAAGGATGACAAAAACGAGTGTCCATGTCCAGAGGAAATCCGAGACCAACTCTTAGATTTCCATGAAGATCTGATGGCACATTGTGGTAAGGTCGTTGTGACCTCCAGCTCTTGTTAAATGCCCACACACTGCTTCAGGAGCAGCTCTTAGGTAACAGGCTCACTGCTACAAGAGCTGCTCTGAATGTATGTCACAGGTTCACAAATACGCATGATGCCGGCTAGGGTTTATCCAAGAAAACTTATTACCATAAAATGCTTAACGGACCCTCTGTGGGAAGCCAGGAGGGTAGAGATCAGACAGGTATCAGATGAAGCAGAAGATGACTGAAATTCCCTCTCTCTCTCTTTTCTCTTTCCCTGGTGACAGGGAACAAGGGGGTTGGGGGTGTGTGTGGTTTGTAACCAGGTGCTTTGGGCAGAGAGCTAAGTGTTAGGTTGATTGGAGTCAAATGAAATTTATTCAAAACCAGTTGTATTTAAACTGACCGCATGGCCACTTTTTAGGCCCATGGAATTCAGCATACATCTCATGAAATTAATGAATGTCTAAGGGAAGCATTCATTAAATTCCATGTTAGCAGCCAAATCTGTGAAGAGAACCCTCCCCCTTCATTCTGAGAACTTGCATGATGGGATTGATTCCATGCTGCGGGCATGTGTGTCCTCTGTCTCCGTGCAGTGGTGCAGGTTCAGGCGGCTCCTGTGAAAGACAGTGACCCAGCAGACAGTTCCTAGGTGATCTGCACAGCCCCAGGGGCGTTATTTTTATTTTATTTTAATAAGGAGCATAAAAGCACTGCCTGCGTATTAAGTCAGCTTATGAATGAACCACTGAATGACTGCCGTCAGGTTATACCATGTATATGTCATGTGTATGGTATGAAGGAGGGGACACTGCAGTGGTAGAATTATTGTTTCAGACAAAGCATCCATGCTTTAGGTACTTAATTAGACCTGTCCTCTCTGTGTCTCAAGTTGTTAAAATACTACTGACATGTATGGAGGCACATGAGGAGGAAAGTGGGAGGTTTTCAGCCGACAGAACTGCAGGTCCAGCAGGAGGCGCCTGAAGCCAGAGCTGCCTGGCGGCGAAAGGAGCAGATGGGTCTTATCTCTTGAGAGAGACTTGGCTCTCTGTCCGGTCTTATCTTCTGTGCTGGCTGCTGAGGGCCAGGAGCCCCCAGGAGCAGGGGCAGAGAAGGGAGGGAGAGACGCCACACATGGATGTTGCTGTGAGTGCTCCCGGGCAGGCTTTCTCCGTGGTGTGGCGTGTCCGACGCTGTGAATGGAGAGGTTGCAAAGCCTGAGAATTCTTTTTCTGAAATGTACTTTAAAAAAATTTTTTTCCTCTTTCTCTTCCCTCTTTTCATGCTAGGCATCGAGCTGGATGACGATGGGTCTCTGGATGGACACAGTGACCTAACCATCAGAGGGCGCCTGCTGTCCCTGGTGGAGAAGGTGACGTCCCTGAAGAAGAAACAAGCTGACAAGCCAGCGGAGAGCGACTCTGACAAGTCCTGTGAGTCTGGGAGGGGCAAAGGGAGCACTAAAGTTTAGGTGTTTGATTGGAGACTATGAAGAGAGAGCAAAAGGCAGTAACTTAGCCTTCCGATCTAAATATCATGCAATCGATTTTCAAATATTCTTACACTAAGTTAAACCTTTTCTTAAGGTTTCAGTAGGTAGTGTCTATAACTCTATTTTGATTCTGGTTCGTGTGTATTTTATTTAACTGCAGAGTAAGCTGCTACTCCTGAGTCAAGTCAGCACAGGGCAGTGCATCTCAGACACACTCGTCACCCATGCACCAGTTCATGCACCGGGCCTCTAATACATATCTACTGAGTGGCCAGATTATTATGCATTCAGAGATCATCATTATCTGGCCACTCAGTGTATATTTAAGTGAAGTTGATTTTCTTCTAAAAATATTCCTAAGTATTCTGATACACACATAGATACGAGTTTGGGACTATGAAATATGCAGTTGAAATGCCAACTTTAATGCCTTCTCTTACTATTTTCTTTTTTTAAAATACCACCAATGATCGAGCAGCCACTCTTCAGCAGCTGATCTCTGAGACGATGGTGCGGTGGGCTCAGGAGTCTGTCATCGAGGACCCCGAGCTGGTGAGGGCCATGTTCGTGCTGCTGCACCGGCAGTATGACGGCATTGGGGGGCTGGTCCAGGCCCTGCCCAAGACCTACACCATCAGCGCCGTCTCCGTGGAGGACACCATCAACCTGCTGGCCTCCCTGGGCCAGATCCGCTCTCTGCTGAGCGTGAGGATGGGCAGAGAAGAGGAAAAGCTCATGATTCGGGGATTAGGGTACGTGGAACCGTTACAGCCTTTTGTCTTATATGCTTTTTCTTTCTACTTGCTCATCCCAATACTAAAACAGTAGGTTCATTAATAGAAATACACTCTTTAGATTGCATGACCATTAAGTTAAATTGCTTTGTGGGTGTTTTTTTGTTTTGTTTTAGAAGGTTGAACACATTTGGATATTCATTAAATTAGGATGATAAATGTCCAAAACTGTATTTCATATTAGTGAATGTTTATATATTCGTACATTTCTTGTAATTAAAAAGAATAGACAACTGTTTACTATTTTTGATTGGCTACCAATGGTTTTGAGGAAAACCCAATTGTATTTATTAACTTTTGTGGCTTACCTATGATTGCTCTCACTTTTCCATACGTGCTAGTATTTCCAAAAGGTTAATCGGATTTCAGATACATTTGTATTGAAAGTTTGCTCTGACCTGTGTTCCTTTGCAGGGACATTATGAATAATAAAGTGTTTTACCAGCACCCGAATCTCATGAGGGCACTGGGGATGCATGAGACGGTGATGGAGGTCATGGTGAACGTCCTTGGTGGTGGGGAGTCCAAGGTAAGGAAAACCTTTGGATCTCGGGGCACTGTTTATTGCACCTCCTGAGTACATGCATTTCTTAAACCTTTTTCAGAGGACTGTTTTAAAAGACACCTTTTGGGGGGGGGGGGGAAACACACACCACAAAACAACCTTACTGACTAAGAGTTGAATGTACTACTAGTGTTTTTTGTGTATTTTTTTTAATATCTATAACAATTTTTATCCTATGTTGAGTGATTTGCTATAGCCTTAATTATTGTCATTTAAAGGATGTTTAGGAACTTCAGAAGTGAACACTGTACTATTCACTTAACATTTAGAACTATAAGTCAGTTTCTTCACGTTACACATCCACAGAACACACATGTTCTTGAGATTCAGCCGTTCCCCTTAGCAACCGGGGGCTGCACTAAGTTCCCAGCCCAGACCAAGACTTGAAGATGATGCTCTGGAGTATTTGTTGTAAGATTCTAAAGTGAATTGTTAAGGGATTAAAATTTAAAATAAAGTTCTTTAGAACCAAATGAACAGAGTAATATATCAAATAACTTTAGATAAGTCGGTATAATTTCATAATATCTGATTTCCAAAACATACTTCAATTATTTTTGAAATTTCACTGTGTTTTTCAAAACATGGACATGAGTCTATCATTTTCCTGTCCCGTCACCATTCAGACAGACTCACAAAGACATTTACAAAATGCTGTGCTGAAGAAGGACCCCAGGCGTCACTGAGCATCCTAGAACAGGGTTTGGCTCTCAGAGGACCTGCGTCTGATGGGGTCCAGCTTCTGGTCAGGGTGCTCCTCAGAGTGGAGGAGTCCTGTGCAGCCAGGAGACTGAATACCTGGAATTTTAATGATAACCGCAGTGATGATCAGAATTTATGGTTCTAAATATCACATGGGGTGCTCTTCACAGACTGTCTCATTTACATCCCCCTTTCCTGCCTACAGTGAGCACTATTAGCCTCCTCATTCCAGGTGTACATAACCAAATCGGTGAGATGGCAGCTTTTCAAAGAAGCTCAGCTGCTAGTGGTCAGGAGTCACACCGAGTCTGTCGGATTCCTAACCCGGGCTCATTCCTCCTCTGGTTTGGGCTGTAGATTAATCCCAAATCAAGCCATTGATGGTGATGAGGTTTCCACGTTAGTGCCAGGCCTGCTTTTCTGGGGCTCGGGGACAGGTGGGTCAGAGTCTGGAAGTGGGAAGGTCTTCGGGCCAAGGCTCTGCAGACATGGGCACACACGGGTTAATAACGGGACTCCATTTTATAAGGATAATTTGCTTTCACAGCTAATTAAATGCTCTTTACGCAGGAGATCACCTTTCCTAAGATGGTAGCCAACTGTTGCCGTTTCCTCTGTTACTTCTGTCGGATCAGCCGGCAGAACCAAAAGGCTATGTTTGACCATCTCAGCTACTTACTGGAAAATAGCAGTGTTGGTCTAGGTATGTAAGGGTTTGGCTTTTCTTTAATTTTTGTGATAAAATAATACCCATATTCCGATGTAATGTCAGTTAGCTTAGAGAAGTGCAATATGTGCTGCACTCCAAAATTCAATGTTAAGTAGAAGTGTGTTCTACACGGAATTCATAGTTGCAGCCCAATCCAGGTTTTGTTTCCTCTTCATTTGGATCAACAGCTTCGCCAGCGATGAGAGGTTCAACGCCCCTGGATGTGGCGGCAGCTTCAGTGATGGACAACAATGAGCTGGCCTTAGCTCTGCGTGAGCCGGACCTGGAGAAGGTAGGCGATCGCACAGGAACCAGACCTTGCGGGGGAATTCTGCTTCTGGGGGCCTGAGGCCAATCAGACTCTAGATCTAATGTACTGACACTAACACCCACACAGCAGCTGGAGCACTGTGTCTGGATCAAAGAGAGAATCTTAAAAGCAGAGAGAAGAGCAGTTAGTTACCTACCAGGGAGCACCCATACAACTGTCAGCTGATTTCTCAACAGAAATTTTGCAGGGCAGAAGGGAGTGGCAAGAAATATTTAAAGTGATGAATAGCAAGAACCTACAACCAAGATTACTCTACCCAGCAAAGCTATCATTTAGAACTGAAGGTCAGATAAAGAGCTTCACAAACAAGAAAAAGCTAAAGGAGCTTATCACCACCAAACCAGTATCACATGAAATGTTGAAGGGTATTCTGAAAGAAAAGGAAGAAGGAGAAGAAGAAAGATCATAAACATGAATAAAATGGCAGGAAATACACATCTATCAATAATTGAATCTATAAATGAAAATAAGTGAACAAGGAGTCTAATGAATAAAATAAAATGGTGGAATAAAATAGAACCAGAGGCATGGAAACATGGAACAGACCAACAAATCTCAGAGGGAAGGGGTGGGAGGGAGGAGGAGCAGGAAGAGAGTAACCAAAGGTCTTATATTGCATACTAGAGGCCTGATGCATGAAATTCGTGCAAGAGGTTTGGCCCTCACAGCTGAAGCGGCTTACCCTGGCTTCGTCAGGAAGGTCGTCACGAAGGACGTCTGGTCTAATTAGCATATTACGCTTTTATTACCTTAGAAATGCATTACCTGTGGACACAATAGGATGGGAAAGCCTAGGGCTGGGTGGGATCCTGGTGGTGGGGAACAATGAGGGGGAAAGGGGGGTGTCTGTAATACTCTCAACAATAAAGATTAAGTCACACACAGACTTTCAAAGCTGCATTTGTTATTAACGGCCCTTGGATGGTGTCTCCCCGACCTCTGACTTGCCTCCCGAGGCTTCACGCTCTGCTCCTCGTCCTGTTGGCAGGTCGTCCGGTATTTGGCCGGCTGTGGACTGCAGAGCTGCCCGATGCTAGTGGCCAAGGGCTACCCAGACATCGGCTGGAACCCAGTCGAAGGGGAGAGATACCTCGACTTTCTCAGATTTGCTGTTTTCTGCAACGGTAGGACGGAAGGCTTGTGGGGCCCTCTTTGCTCATCATTAAAACTGCATGGAAATAGTGATATAAAATAGTGATACATGCCAGCATTTCCACGGGGGAGGGAAATGTTAGAAAAGAAACAGAATATTTTATAATCAGATATGTGCAGTAACAACTTATTTTATATTTGTTTTGAAAGTGGTGCTATACATCATTATTAAATTAAGAATTTTCTGTACTTAAAAAATTTTTTGTAATTGGATTCTATAAGGCCTAGGACTATGGTTTCAAGTAACAAATTACAAATTAACAAATTAACAGTATATGCCTCCATAATGCCTTTCTTTACGTTGCAAATGTTAAGTTCAAGAACAGAAGATGACAGTCTTGTACACATAAAACTAGTGATCTGAATGTATTGTAATTTTGGCTTTACCACCATGATCGTTGGTTTTAGTTATTACTTTAAAAAAATATATATAAGTGAATTAATGTAGCATCGTTTGCTCAGAAGCCCACGTGACCCCGCTTGTGCCTGCAGGGGAGAGCGTGGAGGAGAACGCGAATGTGGTGGTGCGGCTGCTCATCCGCAGGCCCGAGTGCTTCGGCCCCGCGCTGCGCGGCGAGGGCGGGAACGGGCTCCTCGCAGCCATGGAAGAGGCCATCAAAATAGCCGAGGACCCTTCTCGAGATGGCCCCTCCCCAGCCAGCGGGTCCAGCAAAACCCCGTAGGTCCAATACACACACTCTTAGGAGTACATCGTGCTACTTGACTTGAACTTGTACAAAATATAACTTGCAGTCTGTTAATTTCAATGTAACTGGCGATTTCTCCCCTTGGAGACCAAGTGAGTTAGATGCGGGAGCGGGATGGGGGCTGCTGGGCCGGGCCGAACGCACAGAGACCCGAGGAGGCCGTGGCTGGAATGAGGACCTCAGGCTGCGGGAGGTTGTACGTGGAGACTTCTCCCAGGGGCTCTGGCAAGTTTCCTTCTTACGGTGATGGCAGCAGCCTTCGAACCTGGAGTCGAGGTCAGGAGAAGCAGCTAGAATGGGTTTTCATGACAAGAGTGAGTGAGGAAGAGACCTTTAGGCAGATAATGGAGACTTGGTCCAGAAGAGGGGGTGTCATCATGCTGGGAGTGATGGCGGGGGCAGCAACAGCCTTCCACTTGTCGGGATGTGTGCAGGTTGTGGGTACTTAGCTCCAGTGAAGGACATCTTTGGTTCTGGCTGCCGCTCGGATTGTTTTACTCTGGGAGGTGGCAGCCCTGCTAGGCTCCTGATCCCAGCTCCTGGAGGAGAGACAACACGGGGCCTATTGGAGCCAAGTTGAAACACAAGCGTGGTCCCACTAACCCTGCTGCCCGGACAACCCGGCGCAGTTCTGTCCATAGCGTGGCTGGGCTCCAGACTGGGAGGGTCTGTGCTTACCAGTCAGCCACAGCGGAAGGAGGGCCCTCAGTTTCTCTAAGTTGCAGGAAGTGTACCAGTGGGTGTGCGCTCCAAGGCCCTGGGAACAGCCTTGCATGCTGGGAAAGGTGTGGCCAGTGCACCTCGCTGTCCCTGGTCAGACCTCTGAGTCCAGCCAACGCAGCAGACACAGCCTGAGATCATACTTATAAAGTTCTTATTCTGGGGAAACACTGTACTGGGCGCCCTATATATGTGACCTGTGGGACAGATCTTTGTCATCCTTTCTCTAAATGTATCTGTCACAAAAGGGTTATACATTTACCAAATCCTTTCTTTTTTTTTTCTTTTTTTTTCTTTTTCTTTTTTAAAATCTATTTTATTGATTTTTCACAGAGAGGAAGGGAGAGGGACAGAGAGCTAGAAACATCGATGAGAGAGAATCATCGACCAGCTGCCTCCTGCACACCCCCAACTGGGAATGTGCCCGCAGCCAATGTACATGCCCTTGACCGGAATCGAACCTGGGACCTTTGATTCCGCAGGCTGATGCTCTATCCACTGAGCCAAACCGGTTTCGGCAGATTTACCAAATCCTTTCATCTATTACCTTCCTTGTTCATGAGCTAGGTGCCATTACAAATTGAGCAGAATCATCAAATTAGCAATCCTTTTTTTTTCTTCCTTCCTGAAAAGATCATAATATTCACATTCCCACAAGTGTGTTCTTGGTGATAGAATTTCAAATCTGGTCTTTAACTCATTGTCATGTTGCTTTAAAAATGTCCAGCTGTAAATTAAATACAGACACGAAAAGCATAAGAATGAATTACTAGTGCCCCCTGTCCGCTGAGAACATGTAATAAACCAGAAATGTCACTTCATCCTCCCGTCTGATTTGCTCCTGTTTCTCTGGAATGATCCGTGACAGTGACACAGCGGAGGAGGACAACACCATCCACATGGGGAACGCCATCATGACCTTTTACGCAGCTTTGATCGACCTGTTAGGACGCTGTGCCCCTGAGATGCATGTAAGTTCCGGGGCCCTGAAGCAGCCCCCTGGCTCCTATGTGTGAAGACCCCGTAGCTGGTCGGGTGTCTGCCAGCAACCACACCCATGATCTTCATGCTCCTTAAAAATAACACTGCAGCCGAAGCTGGTTTGGCTCAATGGATAGAGCATTGGCCTGCGGACTGAAGGGTCCCGGGTTTGATTCTGGTCAAGGGCATGTACCTTGGTTGCGGGCACATCCCCGGTAGGGGGTGTGCAAGATATGGTTGATCGATGTTTCTCTCTCATCGATGTTTCTAGCTCTCTATCCCTCTCCCTTCCTCTCTGTAAAAAAAAAAAATCAATAAAACATATATATTTTTAAAAAATAATAATAACACTGCAGCCACCTGGCCTCGGCATAGTACGCTGATGTCGGAGGAGACTGCGGGCAAGGAAACTCATCTGTAAGCCCGAAACAACCGTGTCTGAGCAGGGTCTAACTTGATGCATATCCATAAAAGTAATTTTAGACACGATTCTGTACTTCAAGTTCATAGGCAGGATTATAGCATTGATTTCACAGAGCGATTCTAACGTTCCTTTGTTCTCTTCCTGCAGTTGATTCACGCCGGCAAGGGGGAAGCCATCAGGATCAGGTCCATTTTGAGGTCCCTGATTCCACTGGGCGATTTGGTGGGTGTGATCAGCATCACCTTCCAGCTGCCCACGATAGCCAAAGGTGAGGCCCTCGGACTAGCCACGGCCGGTCTCAAACGTTTTGGGCACACTTGTTCCAGAACGGAGTGTGGCCAGAGGACAGTGAAAGGGGGAGAGGCTCAGGGGCCTGAAGGCAGTACGTGGTCTCAGAGGGAAATGCTACTTCTTAATATTATGGTCTCCAACCTATGAATCTATGGAGTTATAATAAAGGATTTAGTAATTTATATAGTCATTAACACTGGTTGTTGACAGAGAAAATCATATAATGCTCAGATAGGTTTTAAATGTGTTAATTCTAATTATGTTCAACAAATATATTTCATTTGAAAGTCAAACTGGCTTCATAGAATTGTTTCATCATTTTGTAATTATCCTACAAACATATAAATGTACCAGAGTATCACATAGTGGTTAGTAAGTTTTATTATCATGTAAAAGAGGCTCCCATTATTGAAAAGAGGGAGACCTTATTTTATGTTTTAACTTTTGATGGTATTTACTCCAGGTTTTACAGTGTGGATTTTGGATACTTCTTTTTTTCTTCTTGGTACCTAGCATAATGAGTGCTATGCCCTTACCACATCATTGTTAATAGGTATACCAAATAACATTTCCATGACTGGGATTGAAATGCACTGTCATATGCCCTGAGCCAGTTGCCAGCATTAGCTTGTTCAACAGAATAACAGAAAACCACTCAGCAGATAACGTGGCTTGACTCATGAGGGGGCTGGAAAGTAGACATTTGGATTCTGTCTCTCAAACGGCATAACCACTGACTACAACCTGTCACCTTCTCTCTTTTAGATGGGAATGTGGCGGAGCCTGACATGTCCGCGGGGTTTTGCCCAGATCACAAGGCAGCCATGGTTTTGTTCCTTGACAGGGTCTATGGAATTGAGGTTCAGGATTTCCTCCTTCACCTTCTGGAGGTTGGCTTTCTGCCAGATCTCCGGGCTGCTGCCTCCTTAGACACGGTAATGACTTGAATGCCTGGCTTCCGGTTTGTGACTCTTCTGTCTCTGGCTTGTGGGAATATTTATTCATTTATTGTCATCAAATGTTTATTGAGTACCTATTATATATTTAGGCAAGTGGTGTGTAAACAGATAATAAAACAGACTATTTCTTCAAGGAATTCATTGAATAGAAGAGAAGTCTCAGCCTTAAGAATAAGATAGGGATTCTAATCAAGTGCAATGGAAGACAATAAGAAGCTCATCAAAAGCCTAATTCGGGAGGTCCCTGTGGTTCCTGATAACCTCTAAGTTGACCTAAACAGATATTCTCAATAAAGCAGTTCAAAGTATTAAGAAGGTTTGATGGACATTGCCGAGTCATGCACTCATGATGTTTTCCTGGTGTCTTCATGTTGACGTACAGATAGGTTAATATCTGCCCCATGCACCAGTGGCCCCATCAAGATTCTGTCATCATCAGTGTTAATTTACTGCTGCTTGAAACTTTGTGGAATAAGCTGTAGCTTATTGTCCAGGAGTTTTATAACACCTCCTTTCATCCTCAGCTAAATGGGTCATCTTGATTTCAGAAGGCAATAGATTGTTAGTTGACAATAGGGATTTCATTAATGCCATGAGAGGAGAATCATAAAAATGAAACTTGGATTTTTTTTCTTCGGGTGTGTTCACATGAAATTCTGAGATAGCATAGTAACGAGGCTGGAGGACATGAGCAGAAATAGAAACAGTCTAAATAAGTAGAATTCAGAGAGAATGTATGAAGATGAAATATGTTTTGAGAATAAGCTCTTTTCTCTTTCTTCTCCTAGTATCACTTTATTTGATATCATTAGTGTCTTTATCTTCCATTTCTCCTGCTATTGATATTTTGTTATATGAGCCTCTTGGCTCTTGGGCTCTCTGAGGAGGAGAAGCACTTTATTTCTTTTTTATCTATTGATAAGCAATTGAAGCTGATGGTTTTTAGTGGTAAAGATCATATGAACCACATTTAAAGGTATACATTTTCACTTTTCTGTCATTTTTTTAGATAGTGAAATTATGTGTCAACATGTTGATTCCCTAAACACAAATGACCTTCTCCTCTCCAATTCCTTTTCAGGCTGCCCTGAGTGCTACTGACATGGCCTTGGCCCTCCATCGGTACCTCTGCACAGCCGTGCTGCCTTTGTTAACAAGATGTGCCCCTCTGTTTGCTGGCACAGAGCACCACGCGTCCCTCATCGACTCGTTGCTTCACACCGTGTACAGACTTTCCAAGGGCTGCTCCCTGACCAAAGCTCAGCGGGATTCCATAGAAGTTTGTTTGCTCTCTATCTGTGGGTGAGTGCGAACTAGCTTTATCCAGTCTGGCCTTCTTTCAGAAAGAGAACTTATTTCCTGTGTGGCCCTCTACAAATGGTTCCGAATTTTGGAACCAAGTAGATAGTCCTTGTACTGAGGTATGAGCTAAGTTTAGGAGAGTTCCCCCAAACCTCTCAAGGGTATCTAGCCATTGGCTGTAATGTTGGACCAGTTGTGCTGTTCTGGATGTTAGCGGGTGAGAGGTGGTGGTGTGAGGAGTTTATGGCCACTTTAGTGTAAGACCAATAGATTCTCTCCTTCTGATTCTTCCAGAATAGAAGAGAAAGAGGTCCTTACTAAATATAGAAAATGATTCGGTATACTAGTAATATTAAACACTACTTATAGGTGGCAGTGAGGAAGGCTAGCTCTTCCCTCCAGCTGGAAAACCACTTCCCGTAGGGAGAGGTGTTCAAATGGCTTCCCCATGAAAACCAGACCGTCTCCTCCCTCTGGAGTTCTGACAATGAAAGGGACAACTTCTCAGGCCCCTGATAAGGATGGAGGCTTCTTTCTCAGTGGACAGGAGCTCCTGGAGATGCAGGCTTGCAGCTGATAGTACACTGCGAAGGGGAGGCTTCCACTCACAGTGGGGTGTAGGGGTTTGGAAGCCAGATGGGACTCGGGGAGGTGAAAAATTAGGAGATCAGTTCTATCACTTCCCTGAGGCTAAAATTCTATGAAATGGAATAAAAATACGTGACTCACAGATTTGTCTACATATGAAGTGGGTAGGAGCTTCAAGGTTGCCTGACATAGCAGAGGGCTGATGTCCACCACATCCACCTTTCCCGTCATCCATTGGCAGAAGTCCCATCTCGGCCCTTTTCTCCCTCCTGCTCCTCACTCGCTTATCTTTTCTGCTTCCCATCTGGTCACCAGAGACCCGTCCACTCATGGGAGTGAGGGAAGACACATTACTAAGTCGTGTTGGGGAGGGAGGGAGCAAAGAAAAAGCATGTCCTGGTGGGAAAGAGGGATCAGTCTTCAGATCGGAGTGGAGACAAGGTGCAAATGGAACGTCTTACTCCCTGTGTAACCCTTGGTTAATCTTTGCATTGGGAACACCTAAAATGAACATCTTCTGAAGAGAGGTATAGGTACAGGTTCTTGGCATATTTAATTTAATCCAATGAGTTATCTCCTTAGCTTAGACCGTTTACTCCCTTGGTCGGCAAACTGTGGCTCACAAGCCACATGCGTCTCTTTGGCCCCTTGAGTGTGGCTCTTCCACAAAAGACCACAGCCTGGGCAAGCTGTGGAAGAAGTGGCGTTAGAAGAAGCTTAAGTTTAAAAAATTTGGCTCTCCAAAGAAATTTCAATCGTTGTACCGTTGATATTTAGCCCTGTGGACTAATGAGTTTGCCCACCACTGGTTTACTCCATTATTAAAATCAGCTTTGTTCCACCAGCCAACTGAGACCTTCTATGATGCAGCACTTACTCAGAAGATTTGTGTTTGATGTCCCGCTGTTAAATGAGCATGCAAAGATGCCCCTTAAGGTAAGGATGAGACACGTTCATAGTTATTGTACTACTGGGTCCTCTGACAGTTTCTTGTTACAACCTGTACGTAGGTCTCTTAGAAATGTCATGTTTGGTGTCTGATGTTGGAAGATTTCTTCCAGTTGATGAAATGGGCATGTAAGTATAGATCTGTGTATATCAACCTAAAATACACAAGCACTAAGAGGCCACAGAAATCCTAAGATTGATTTACTGTGAGTCCGTGGAGATGGTAAGCAGTGGGAACAAACTGGCCACAGGAAAAAGATGAGCCAGGAAATTCTCATTCCTGGCCTAGATCATCAGCAGCCTCAAGGGATGAGGAGTGGCTTTGAAGGCGGCGGTTCTAAGTGGGCAATCTAATGATGGTTTCCAGATGTCATGGCATAAGTTGGAGGGTATCCTTTCTGTATAGCAGTCACGGTTTGTCACGGAGGACAGAGAAGTCACTGCATTCTCTCTGCTCTGGTTATTATTCTCTTCATGGATATTCAAACTCACAGTCTTTCTGGTGTACAGGACGATGCTCCAACAAACCAAGCCATCCAGCCAGGGCACAATCCAAACATTTTTACTGGATTCATAAATATCACTTTTATTAACCTGGCGAGTAATTGTGAATATTTGTTAGTTTATAGATCAAGAACACATTATCCAAAGAACTACCAAAAAATTGGAAGATGCTATAGTTTGAATGTCCAATTTAGTTCTAAATAAATAAAAATATTTAGAGGAAAACTTGATAAGCAACATAGACACTCAGTAAGATAACAAATTGAAAATATACTTAAAGAAATGATGGAAGTGGGAAGTTTGGGGATTACTTAGAGACATCACGTCACAGAGTGTGGGGTGAAGGGTCGCAGAAAGGAAGCAGTTCTCTCACAAGGCACATTTTAGATCCCCTATCCTGGGGATGTTTGTGCTCAGGTCACCATTTGTTATACACACCGAGTCCAGTTCATCAAACTGAGAGGAGGTAAGTGATGGGCACGTAGAACACAGAGATGCGTAGACAGTCCAGTGGTCTCCTAAATAATGTGCAAGGTGAGCGATTTGTAAAATTGGTCCTTGGATCTCTCTGCTGTGACCACCGTTACGTTTGAAACAGACATGGAACGAGGCCACCCAGAAGAATTCAGCTGTGGTCCTGCTTACCTTCTTACCTGGGGTCAGAATGCCCTGTGGGAAGAAATGGAAAAAGTTTCAAAGGAGCCGTTAGCTCATCGCCTTTGTCATTGTTCCCTGCAGCTGCTGACAAACCACTATGAAAGGTGTTGGAAATACTACTGTTTGCCTGGCGGGTGGGGCAGCTTCGGAGCCGCCTCTGAGGAAGAGCTGCATTTATCCAGGAAATTGTTCTGGGGCATGTTTGATGCCTTGTCTCAAAAGGTAACTTAATGTTTTGGGAGCTTACTTGTGTGCTAAAGTAATGAAAGCCATAGTTCTTGATAAGATTTATAAAAACATATAGTCTTTTCTTTTTTATTTCTGAATTTATAGCAAATGTTAAAAATGAAATTCATATGGACTTTTCATAATTGCTATGGCACCGTGTCTTTGAGATCATAACACTTTCTGGATTTAAAATGGCTAAGCATTTTAGGGAATTATGCATATGGTTGATAATGTTTCTGTTGTATTTGGTCTTATTTGGGTTCAAACTTAGTTATCTTATAAAATCTGAAGAAATCATATCAAGTATGAAAATATACAATATAAAATCTCCTGGAGTAATAACATTCCAGTGTTTACTGACTGTCCACTTGCTGCTTATGGACATTTAAGCCCCTCCACTCAGACAGCCCCTCATAGTCCCATATTTATAATGAATAATTCATATACTTTCAGAAGACTGGATAGTCACATATCAGAACAAAATAGACATCCTGCTGTGTACAGTTAGTTGTGCTTACATTCTTGATCACAATCATTTTGTCTTCCCCGATAGACTTGATGAGACTTCACGAGATTTGATGAGACTTCCCCTGATAGCCAGAGTTTGCCTCCTAGTAGGGCAAAGATCACATGACTTCAATTACTAATGACTTCTTGATAGTTTTTCTTACTGAATTTTCTTTGGTAAACAGAGTACTTTTAAAATAACATGTACAAGACATTTTTAGAAGAATTTACAACATTAATTTAAAGTTGGATGGTTCAAGTGAGATCTGATTTAAATGATTATTTTTGATTTTTGAAAAAACTGTAAATACAAATTGAATGAATCATGTAATTTATGTACCAGAAAGTTCGGTGATGTATGTTTCCCTCCAATTCGGCTTTAATTCCGATGTCTTTGCACTAAAATGCCCTCTGCAGGTGTCCTCAAGTGTGGTCTCTTCAATGTGCCGCCCCATAACCGACCATAACTAAGAAATACAGTCCTCATTGCCTGAAACGGGTTTATGTTGTAAAGGGTTTTTGTAAAATCAGGGGATTTTCTCCTTCGGCATCTTGTCCTCCACAGTGATCGTGTGGGCAGCTTTGGCTAAATCATGACACACTATTAATTTCATTTCTTTGGTTCTCCATTTCGTCTTAGAAATATGAACAAGAGCTTTTCAAGCTGGCTCTGCCGTGCCTGAGTGCGGTGGCGGGCGCACTGCCCCCGGATTACATGGAGTCAAACCATGTGGGCATGATGGAGAAGCAGTCATCCATGGACTCCGAGGGCAACTTCAACCCCCAGCCTGTGGAAACCTCCAAGTACGGACTCTCTGTGGTGGAGCTCTTTGTAGTAATTGATGTGGGAAGTCTGAAATGATAAGGGGCTGAAGTGAGCTTTCCCTCCGCCCTCCCCCTTGAATCAGTATCTGTACGAGGGGCCCTTTTCCTGATCAAAGGATGGCAGTGAGAACAATTACATGAGTACCCGAAGGGGGTGAGCTGTGCCTTCCAGGGCACTCCTAACAGAATCGGGTTCTCTGTTTATGACCACCCGGTACATCTGTGGAGCTGAGAATCAGGACAGTCCATCAGTTACATTGTTGGTTGAAAATTTCATTGAAATAGCAGCCAACCTCTGTGTATGAGCGCAGCTCTGTCCTGCAATCTGGCCTTTGTGTCAGGTCACTGCAGCAAGGCCGAGGATCCCACTGACGTTCAGTGGATAGAGCGCAGCGTGAGGTTGACAGGAGTATCACGTGAAGGCGTTTGTGGGAAAGTTAGTCCACAGTGAGAAGGCAGTGTGAGCAGCTTAACACAGACATCACGTCACAACACGGTGAAACTTGTTCGTGGCTCATGCGAAGACGTTATAAAGTATGAATCAATAGATGATCATTCTCTGCTTCACTTTTATGACATAGTTCCTGCCATATGGAAAAGTAATACCTTGTTAAAACAGATTTTTTTAACAGCTATGCATTAAATGCCATTTAAGCATGCAGGGGCTGTGAGTAAATTATTAACGGAGTCCCTGTGAGCACCACGCCTTTTCTCTGTCTCTCCCACAGCATCACGATTCCTGAGAAGCTGGAATACTTCATTAACAAATATGCTGAGCACTCCCACGACAGGTGGTCCATGGACAAGGTAAGGTCAGAGGCTGCCTCGAGCAGCACCCGGTGGCACTGCCCTCCTGGTTCTGACCACACAGTTTTTTCCGCTGAAGGGAGAGCTTTATCTGGATTAGGAAAGAGCATTTAAATGACTTGCTGATGTAATACTTAGCTAGCTCTGCCTCTAATGATACACTTATGAATAAGAATATTGGTGTTCGGCCCTGGCCGGATTGGCTCAGTGGATAGAACATTGGCCCACGCAGGTTCCATTCTGGTCAAGGGCACGTGCCTCTAAAATTAATATATGTAAAGCAATTCTGATGTTTGTTTGTTTGTTTGTTTTTAGTTGGCCAATGGGTGGATTTATGGAGAAACATATTCAGACTCATCTAAAGTTCAACCATTAATGAAGCCATATAAACTATTATCTGAAAAGGTAAGGTTTTTTTGTTTGTTTGTTTGGGTTATATACTTTTAATTTTTTGCAAAAATTTTTCTTCATTATGTAATTTCCTATTAATTTTTTTTTACTTTATATATGCTATCTTTAACTTTTATTCCAAGGCTTCTTTTGTTTCTCTTATCTTTTTTCCCCCCTATTCCCATTTTCTGTCATTTAATTGGTCGTTTTCTTCTCTACTTAATATTTTTCTGTTCCTTTTTTTATTTTTGTCCCTCTCCTGCATTTTTAACAACTTTAGAAAATATTCTTATCATTCCTGAGAGTTTCTTGCTAAGGGATAATGAAGGGATCTTTTAGTACTGTTATTTGTGAGTTCTCATGTATTTTGTTTCTTTGGGTAATCAGCTTCTTGAGAGTGAGGGGGCGTTTCTAGCTCTTCTAGGTGGTGAGCTGGTGGAGGAGGTGATGGAGGCAGAGGGGCTCAGGGAGGACAGTTAGGTCTCTTGATGATGATGGGAGGAGAGCCGTCGCTCTTGGGTCATCTAATCTGTGCTTTTCTGACTGTTTCTCCCTTCAGTTCCATCTCAGGGTCAGGAGCTGGGTCGCTGAGGGAAACCAGCCCCTGGCTGTGATGGACAGGGTCCCTTTAGCATTTGTCTTACCAGGGCCTGCTCACACTTCATTTTCACTTTCTTTTTATTTTTGAATGAACATGTCAATTGTGTGTGTGTGTGAGTGTGTGTGTGTGTGTTTAATCTTTCTTGACTCTTTTTCTTTTAGTCTTTGTTGTTGAAAGGATTACATAGGTCCTCCTTTTTCCCCCATGAACCTCTTCCGGCCTTCTCTTCCTTCCCCCCCCCCCCCCCCCCCGCCCCCAGGCCCTCACCACGCCATTGTTTGTGTCCTTTGGTTCAATCGTTTGTTTTTTTAAATGAAGTCAGAGCAAAGCATTACCTATTTCAATTTGGATTCTCAGCATTCCCCCACACCTTTCATTTCCTCCTTTTTGTCTGTAGGAAAAAGAAATCTATCGCTGGCCCATCAAAGAGTCTCTGAAGACGATGCTGGCCTGGGGCTGGCGAATTGAGCGCACGCGGGAGGGGGACAGCATGGCCCTCTGCCACCGGACCCGGCGCATCTCCCAGACCAGCCAGGTGAGGGCACCACCAGCAAGCCACGGGCTATGCTGCTGTTAGACCATCCTAATCTTTTACTTACTTACTGGGTGTTTCAAATCAAACAATTTGAAGACTCTGAAGATTAACATTAAGTTTAGAGGGAAAAACACATTTGTTCCTTTTTAAATGCTCAGAGACGTCTTGGTTAAAGTGGTAGCGGGGTTAGCCAGGCCGCCCTTTCCTGGTCAGCCTGTACCCCAAGGGTACGGTGTTGAAGTTGCACCAGTGAAAGCGGTAGTGTGTATACACACTTCCACAGCTGAGAGCTCAATTGATGTTTCTTGCTATTCAGGTTTAACCCATTGGAATTAATAATTATTCAAAGGATGTATACATTTTGGGGGACATCCTGTATATGGTATACTTTTAAAAGTAAAAAGTTGGTTATATTTTATCATAACATTTAGCTCATAAAGACATTTGTAAATATTAACCTCTTTGATTAATTATTGTTTTATGAGAAAGGATAAAGTTCATTGCAGCCAAGTAGAATTTGTAAGAAACTCAAGAACACAAAGATCCTTTGATGAAGGGAACATTCTGGAGTCTTAGAATCATTGCACAATTGAATTCTGATTATTAGCTTTTGTGGTTGGCAACCCCAAGATGCTGGGGATTAGTACGCAGTCACCAGTCATTGTCAGGCACCCAAATGTAATTTAATTTGCTAGGTAAGTTTGTGGGATCTGTTTGGGTAGATGCTTGCCAGTTTTGTCAGAGGAAATGTGTTTGGAAGTCCGTTTGCCTTGTATTTCGGAAGTACCTCGCAAATCTCTCCGCTGGGCGTTTTAATGAGATACTGCTTTGCACACAACGTGTCTAGGTTTCTGTGGACGCTGCACATGGGTACAGCCCTCGGGCCATTGACATGAGCAATGTCACACTGTCCAGGGACCTGCATGTAAGTATTGGCTACTGTTTAAAATATTCTATAAATTGTGTGTGTGTGTGTGTGTGTGTTATTTATCATGTCCTCCTTATCCCCCCATTGACCCCTTTCCTACTCCGTCCCCAGGGCTTCCCTGCACTATTGTCTGTGTCCGTGGGTTATGAACATATGCATATCAGTTCTTTGGTTAATCTCTTCCTGTCCCCCTCCTCCTTTCCCTCTGAGATTCCTTAGTTTGTCTATTCTGTGCTTCCATGTCTCAGTGTGACTGAATCAAACTTATACCTATTTTTGTCAAATTGGCAAAAAATACATTTTTTGGTGTGCCACACATTTTAGCAATTAATTTATGTGTGCCACGAGACGAAAATCTAGACCATTTGTTTGATGTTCTCTGCCATCAGTGTTTGATAAGGTTATCTTCTGAAGCTTTGGAAATGAAAAGAAAAAGTGGTAAATAATTTGTTGAAGTTCATAACTAATTGGAAGTTTCATGATTGAATTAATCAAACACGTGTTTTAAACATCAAAACTAACAATGACCATTCCCTTCAAATCCCTTCCACTGTTTCTGTCATGTCCTCATCATTCCCGTTCTCTGAGAGTCAGGATCCAAGTAAGACATTGTGTTTGGTTATTTCCTGGAAGTACTTTATCACCAACACACTATGACTTAGTAATTCAAAGCGTGTTTTTATATTATGCATTGGAAAACCAAGTTACCCTTTTCTACTTACTAAAGCATAACTGAGTGGCTAAATATTTTGTTCCTTTAAGGCCATGGCAGAAATGATGGCTGAAAACTACCATAATATATGGGCAAAGAAGAAGAAAATGGAACTGGAGTCCAAAGGTAATCTTTTCTAAAAATCCTCATTGAGACACAGAGTCCACTGCCGGGCTGAAATAGACGCTTGACCACCTGAGCCAGTGCACCTTCAAATCATTGGGATGTTCAAATGGGAGGGAATCCACCACCCTTCTCCCTTCCTGGCTGCGGGTGCTGTGGGCAGTCAGTGTCAGGAAAGCCTGGACTCACGGGTCATTGCCTCTGGAGGCCCCTGCAGTCTTCCTTGGTGCTGGGGGGGGGAGGGGGGGAAGAGCCCGCGTGAGCCCTTGATCCTCGCGCAAGGAGAGGGCACAGGAGCTCTGTGTGTGGCCCTGTGACATAGGCAGCATGTCTCATTCCAGATGACTTCCCGCTGCTACTCTGTGTTCTTGTCTGGACATTCTCTTAGGGGGCGGGAACCATCCCCTGCTGGTGCCTTACGATACGCTGACCGCCAAAGAGAAAGCCAAGGACCGGGAGAAAGCACAGGATATCCTCAAGTTCTTGCAGATCAACGGCTATGTTGTGTCCAGGTACAAGCGCGCAGGCCCCAGCTATCACCCTGTAAGACCAGTCATACCTGCCTATCAGACACATCAAGGCCAAGAGTGAAGTCAGCGACCTGTTTAAATCTTAGCGCTCCTATTGCCTGCACTCAGTGCACATCGGAATCCTCAGCGCCGTCGCTGTTCGCACAGTTCCTTAGAGCTTGTCAGTCCCGTCCGTTATCCGGAAATGACACTGTTTCTCTACAGGCAGCACAATAATAAAGTGTATTGCATAGCAATAAAGTCATTAGCTACAGTTTTATGCCCAAATAGTCAAAATAGTCCTGATAAATGAAACCTCGTTTTTGCCCTTAGTTACAGAATATTAAAGAATCGTCTAAATTTGTATATGTAACAAAATTTTCTTAAACACGTATTTATTGATACCTCCTAATGGTCTTATGGATGTTCGTTTCCATTTTCCTTCTGCGCTTCTAGAGGCTTCAAGGACCTGGAGCTGGACACGCCTACGATTGAGAAGCGGTTTGCCTACAGCTTCCTCCAGCAGCTCATCCGCTACGTGGACGAAGCGCATCAGTATATCTTGGAGTTCGGTAGGTTCCTCGGTCCCTTATATGAATCCAGCCATGTGGGTGACATGCATGGGGAAGACTGAATGCAAAAGTGACAACAAAAATGAAATCAGCGAGTCTTACAAAGCCATTGTTTTACTTATTCACGGGAACAACGCCGCGATACTACACGCATTGTTTAAAGTTCCTAAAACCTATCCTGAGTGTGTCTAACATTTAATAGTGTGATCTCAGATGGTTTTGACCTCTTTGGCAAAAGAACTTTTTCAGGCAAGTTAGTTTGATTCTTAAAAATACGGAAGCTCGCCGAGACCAGTTTGGCTCAGTGGATAGAGTGTCGGTCTGTGGACTGAAAGGCCCCGCGCGGGGTTCAATTCCGGTCAAGGGCATGTACCTTGGTTGCCGGCACATTCCCGGTGGGGGGCGTGCAGGAGGCAGCTGGTCGATGTTTCTCTCATCATCGATGTTTCTAGCTCTCTATCCCTCTCCCTTCCTCTCTGTAAAAAATCAATAAAATATATATTTTTTAAAAATATGGAGGCTCTGCCTACAAATTTTACCGAAACCCTGTATCTAACTCTGAATTGCTGAATTGCTGCCACACATCACAATGGTCCTTAGTGTATTATTCCCTCTTCGGGGTGCATGAAGCCCCCTCTGCATGCTCAAAGGAGGCAGGAAAGGCCACCCTGAGCTAAATGCCTTCGGCCGATCAATTCTGAAATTCAATTTATTGGTCATTTTCTGGGCCCTGGGGAGACCTGGTGTGTTTGCTTTGCTTACGGAAGTCGCTCAGCTTATACGCACCCTCTCAGCCCAGCTGTGGGACCTGCTGCTGAGAGGGCCTTCATCCTTGTTCTGTTCCCATTCTTCCATCCCGGCCCCTGAGCCCTCGCCTGTGCTCACAGCCACGTAGCTGGCCTCTCCTCAGTCGCCTTTTACAATAGTTGGCTGTTGGTTTAAATTTCTTTTTATTATGACACCGCCAAAGTCAGCCTGTGTGTTTTTGGTTGGCTTTTCACATCCAGTCGGCGGGGTAGCATATTCCTCAGCGCTGGGCGCCCTGCATGCGGGTGGGGATGGGGACGTTGGACGGGCCCGTATTCCTGAACACTCTCTCCTGTCTGCAGATGGCGGCTGCAGAGGCAAAGGACAGCGCTTCCCTTACGAGCAAGAGATCAAGTTCTTTGCTAAAGTACAGTATACAGTCCGTCTTGTTTCCGCTTCCGCGTGTGTGTGCTTACAGAGTCCAGCTAGCTCTTTGCCTCTTTTCAGAACGCTCTGGCCTTTAAGTGTGGCTTCTGCTCAAGCCCACAGATCGTGGCCCCCACAGCTGCATGAACCGTGTGGGCCCGTGGTCGGCAAACTGCAGCTTTGGCCCCTTGAGTGTGGCTCTCCCACAAAACACCACGGCCTGGGCCAGTCTATTTTGAAGAAGTGGTGTTAGAAGAAGTTTACATTTAAAAAATTAGGCTCTCCAAAGAAATTTCAGTTGTTGTCCTGTTGATATTTGGCTCTGTTGACTAATGAGTTTGCCGACCACTGGGGGTGGGCGATGGGCTCCCGCAGCTCGCTCTGCCCTCCCCGCCTCAGTTTACAGAGTTCTCCTTTTCTGGCTTTATCATACAACAGAAGAAAATGCTGGTCTCTTAGTATTTGAATGTTGTTATGATTGAACATTTTTAGTTGAGAATTTCTTTCAGAAAAATGAACAACGCCAGCTGATTTGTAAATGGGAACATGATATAGGACCTTCGTCTGCTGGCTTACAGATGGGGAGGCTGGGGCTCAGAGACCACCTGCTGGTCAGACACTGAGTGTTCATTCCATTGAGCACAGCTTATCACGAATCTGCTGTTTGCCCGGAGCATTTATGACTTTTTTTTCAGCCACTGGGGAAGGTGCAGAGTTTGTTGTCAAGTTTCCATGTTGATTGATTGACTCACTCCATGTTTGCACTGTGCCTGGCCTGTTGGGCATCAGACCGTGTCCTGGCATGTCTCTGTCACGGACACGGAATGCCCTGGACACTTTCCCTGGACAGGGTGTTGCCATTAACCTAAAGACCTACTCACATCTGCCAATTCCCTTTCAGAGTACTCGCATTACACATCATTTGCAAAATGGCACCTTCTGCCGATTGACTTACATTGGGCTTCCGCCCTCTATTTTTAGAATCGTGCCCTTTCCTGTCAGGGAGATTGCTCTGGTCTTTTCTTCTGCTTGGGGTCTGCACGAAGCATCCGAAGTTTATTCTGAGCCGCCCCCGCCAGTCACCTCTTTCATTGTGATGCAGTCCCGGGGTAGTCAGGGTGCTGAATCCATGGCCTGCACCATGTTTAAAGACACCCCTGTATTGCATCGCCTGTGTCCTCAGTGCCCTAGTGATTATATTTGCAGGTGCCTAGTGTGACTTAATTTCTACCAAATCTATGACTCATTCACTCACGTATTTGTTGAGTACCTGTCATAAGGCCAATCACCGATGTTCAGGCAATGTCTCAACCTTCTAGGAAGATCACCAGACGTCCATGTTCCTATCCTAGTTACATATCCTGTACCACCTTGTAGGGGGAAATGTAGTGAGACAGACTTGAGTCTGAATGCTGGGAATGCCATTTAGTCTTACTTTTTTTGTTGTTGTTGTTGTTCAAACATTTGTCTGCTGGTTGTTACATGCCCAGCGATGCCCTCAACTTTGGTGCTCCGTGGTCATGACCGTGCGAGGTGGTGGTCACAGGGTCCAGGAAGGGACTGGGGGGGAACCGGTGCAGAAGGGTTTCTCGTCCTCTGTGCCCAGAGACTGAGGGAGAGAGACTAACCTCAATCCCAGACAGAGTGTAAAACTGCACGAGGCGTTGCCCGAGCTTAGAATAGGGAGGCCTGCAGGAGGGAGTGGGCTGTCAGGGGCGAGGGGGGAGCATTGCAGACAGAGGGCGCAGCCCGGGCAATGCCTGTGGCTAAGCGGGCAGGGCAGGAGGAGGCCACCCAAAGCCCCCAGGGCTGGCACAGGCAGTGGGAGGCAGCTTTGAGGACCTTGTGGAGCGGCAAGTGGCAGGCGATTGTGAGGGGACCACGTCTTGTCTACACCTCAGTTTGCACCTGCAGAGAAGGGAATGGCACTGCCATACAGTCTCACCGGGCGGATGGCATGCAGATGGCACTGCCTTCCCCACGCTTGGCAGAGGCCCCCTAGGTGGCAGTCATGAATTGTGACTGAGCTGCGTTTATGGATTATTAAGAATATTTCATTTAGATAAAATACTAAAAATAATTCCAAGCAGCTGAAAATTTAGTATATCCTTATTACCCCTCTCTCCTTCCCCCCCGCTACACACATACACACACACACACACACACAGAGGAACTGGCTGGAGCAGGGCGAGGTGAGAGCCACTCCCCAGCGGGCGGCTGGTGCGGCTGTGGGCATCGGCACCTGTTGCAGGTGGGCATGGTCTGCCTGCTCCAGCCTCAGCGCTCACTCACCCCCCAAACTCCCCTGGGCACACCTGTCTTCTTCTCCTCCCTTTCAGGTTGTGCTGCCTCTCATCGATCAGTATTTCAAAAACCACCGTTTGTACTTCCTGTCTGCAGCGAGCAGACCACTGTGCTCCGGGGCACACGCGTCAAACAAGGAGAAGGAAATGGTGACGAGGTAAGCGGCTGTGCATGCAGACTGCAGGGGGGGGCGGGGGGCGCCGCCCTGGGGAAAGAACCCCGGCCTGAGCAGCTGTGTCCGGCGCCTCTGCCCAGCCCTCCTCCTGCTCTCAGACCCCGGGGGTGACGGTTTCTGCGGGTGAATCCACATGATGCAGTCAGCGAGGTTTTCTATCTTCGCTGCTGAATGGCAGGACAAAAACACCCCACAATTCACAGGTGGAGGCGGGAGAGCACCCCTGAATTGGGAGGTTTGAAATTTGGTGCTTTTCACATTAATTTATTAACATTCTTTCCGGTCTCCTATTCTTACCAACCTTAATTTTTTAGGCGGGCAAAATCCCATTTACAAGAATTATAACTTTAAATATATATATATATATATATATATATATATATATATATATATATATATATATATATATATATAAAATAATGTCCACTCTTGGGAGAAAATGAAGTCAGAGTGCAGCCTTCCTGAGCATTCCCCTTGCCCCGCTCTGGCTGGCATGGAGCAGTGCTTTCTCGTTTTTGTTTCAATCTAAGTGTTTGGCAGAGATTTACTGGGGTTTCCAGTGGGGAACCCCGAGTTCTCCCAGAACTTGCACATGAGAAGCATTGACTGAAGGAGCCTTTTCCTCGTGGCTGCGTGGCCTGGGCAGGGTCCATGCCCAGCTCTGGCCTCAGTGGGAACACTGTCCTGCACGTGCCCACCTGTACGAAGCGGGCACAGGCTGTCCTTGGACTCGGCAGTAATGATACCCTGAATGGCAGGTGGTGCCAGTCTGTTGGATAGAGGGAGTGAGGTGGGCCTGGGTGCAGATGGTGAAGAACAGACTTCTGCTTTAGTGACATTGGGAATGGGGACTTGAATGGAATTTTAAACTCATCTCTTGACTAAGATACATTATCTATTTTCCAGCTAGTAGGTAGCCAGTCATGTGATAGAGGATTGCAATAGCATTAAAATGTCCCCAAACTCTGTCAGATAAGAACTTTCCTGCAACGTTGATAAAACGGGTGTGCAATGAATACGTCCCCAGGGGCGTCTGCTCACCTCACAGGCCTTCCTGCAGCTGCTGGGCCCAGGTCCCCCTGGCCAGTGAGTGCCCACAGGGCACCAAGTTCCCACTGACTCCTGCCCCCAGGACCACTGCGGAGTGTCCTTGTCCTCCCTGGGCCCTGTCAGCCTTCGTCACACACAGTGTGTGCCTGAGGGCACCGGTCATGTAGATGCCGCTCAGTTCCATAAATCAGGAGACAAAGCGCTCAGAGGACAGAGGAACAGTCCAGAGACTCGGACACATTCTGCTTCTCCCCGCGCCTGCGCTGTGTGCTGCCTCCGTGTAATTGTCGGTCTCACTCTGAGACCTGCTCGCGGGCCCCAGGGCACTCGTCCTTGCTGACCTCCCCTCGCAGCCAGAGCAGCTCCCCGTCTGCTTCCAGGGCAGGTCCAGGGAACGTGGCTTCACTGTGCAATGTTGTCATTGGCATTAACTGTTGTCATTGACATCTCCACCTTTTAAATCTTCATTCATGTTTTCCCTTAATTAGTCAGCACCAAGAAGCCACCGAAGCCTCTTCCAGGGGAGAATGGCCACCCCGTGCTTCCGGCAGGAGCAGGGGAGCGGAAGGGTGGGCTGGGCGGGAGGTGGAGGCCCCGTAACACAAGGGCCACTGCCAGCTTCCGCAGAGGTTCTTGACTGCCTGCTCGGGACTCGGTGCTGTCCAAACCCAGGGACATGCCAGGATACAGTCCTTAACTGTAATGAACTCAGAGGTATGGCTGAGTGACTCATACATGTAGAGCTCACCATATAATAAGGGTGATGCATGGAGGCGGGACATGTATGAAGTGCTGGGGTGGAGAGGGCACTGTGTGAATGGAGAGAGGGGCTGGGTGTGAGAGACACCGAGGGAGACAGCCTACCTGGCCAGTCGAGAGGCAGGCTAGAGAATTTCAGAAGGGCCAGTTTCAGGAAGAGGTTAAGTTTGGTTCGGTATTTATTGGCTATTAGCAGCTTGTTTATCTGGAGATCCAGCAGAGAAGTGCTTAAATCTAGGTGTCTCAGGTTCCACAGCCAGTGAGGCCACATGGAGATGGAGGTCCTCAGGGCGCTCAGTGGGGAGCAGTGGCAGGACAGCAAGGGATGCTGAGCCAGCGAGTGAGTGGCGATGCTGAGGGAGAACCCACGCAAATTCTCCAGTGTTAGTCATGAAGGGAGAGAGAGAGGACTGATTATTATGGAAATACTAGAGGCCCGTGCATGAATTTCGTGCACTTGGGCGGGTCCCTCAGACCAACCTGTACCCTCTCACAGTCCAGGAGCCTTCAGAGTGTGCCAGGGAGTGGGCCTAAGCTGTCAGTTGGACATCCTTAGTGGTGCCATGGAGGCAGAAGAGGCTCCTGCCACTGCTGCCACACTTTTGCCAGCCATCAGCCTGGCTAGTGGTTAAGTGTCACTCCCCCTGTGGAAGCGCACTGACCACCAGGGGCAGCTCCTGCATTGAGCATCTTCCCCCTGGTGGTCAGTGTGTGTCTTAGCGACTGGTCATTCTGCTGTTTGGTCGATTTGCATATTAGCCTTTTATTATATAGGATTTTTAGAGAAAGTGTAGGCCAGAGCTCATAACAAACAAACATACATCCTGAAAGTGACAGCACAGGAGGGCTCAGCTTTCTGTATATCGCTGATTCTCGCAGGGGGCACATCAGGTACTTTTAGGAGCAGCTGTTGGAAGAGGTCACTTCTCTGACTGGGTCTCAGACTTAAGTGTCACCTAATGGCATGGGATACAGAACAAAGTGTCCCAGGTCTGGCTTACTCGGGTAAAGCACAGCCCTTGTGCTGTAGATTCAGCATCAACTCGGGAAGTTTCTCCAAGATTCCAGGGAGCACCCCCAGTGAGAGGTAACAGATATCACGAGAGAAACCCAGGATGTGTGCAGTCCTAAGATGTGATGGCTCTCCTTCAACTGAGGCATGTCCTGGTGCGGTCCTCGCGGTCCCCACGTGGAGTTCTGTAATGAGGCATCCAGAGAGGCTGCTCCTGATCCGGTGTGGTGTTCAGATAGCACAGCGTAGGGGCTAATGCCATGGAAACCGGATGTCTGCCTGGGCAGATGGCTGTGTGATGACTTCCATTTACAAAGGGGTCTACTGGGTTCCTGCAGTGAGATCTGAGGCCACAGTCCTCATAGGAGAGGTCAGCATCACAGGTGTGGTTTTCTCAACCTCCTCTCTGCCATCCTGTCACAAGCAGCTAGATGCCCCCTTTCGTCCTGGCAGATTTGGTGCCCCGCACTGGCACGCTGGTCCTGGGAGAGCTGTGCGGGGAGAGGGACGGTCAAGACCTGCGCTGACTGTGCTGGGAAGTCGGGCTGGATGTGGGTGGTGCCGTCACATTCCTGTCCAAGGTGACAGCGTCAGAGCTGGGTGTCCGCAGAGTGCAGAAGCAGCTGAGAGGGCAACACCAGTCACATGGGATGACAGATGACAGATGCAGACAGAAGTTCAGCAAAGGACTCTGGGAAATGCTTGGCTGGGAGGGACAGGGGTGTTAAGTGTAAGGGCCCAGATTGGGAAGTGGCAAAGCCTAAGTGATGAAACACAAACTTAATGTAACATTTTATGCCCAAAGCACCATATTTCTGTTGTTAAATAATGTCCGGAACAACCACCATTCTAGAATGTCAGCAGTACATTTGGACAGATACATCTCTCCCTTGTGGTTTCTCTTCAGTTATATTTTTGTGGGTTTCATATAGATTGCTTTTATATTAATTAGCTTTGCTTTCAATTTTTTTTTTGTTGTTCCTTATAATATGTGCTTTTTTAACCACGTTTGTTAAAGATACGCACTCAGAAATTTCCTTTAATACCCGACTCCACATTCTGCTTGGAGAATCAGTACTTTCTGCGTGACATCATGTTGCTTTTTCCGGCTCATAGATCAGCTGTTTATTTTTCTTTTTTCTTCTTCTTCTTCTTCTTTTTTTTTTTTTTTTTCCATTTTGTTTTCGTTTCTCTTTGTCTCTTCCACCTCCCCCCTCTCCCTCTTCTTTTTGGTTTCCTTTTGTCTTCAGCCTGTTCTGCAAACTCGGAGTTCTTGTCAGGCATAGGATCTCACTGTTTGGTAAGGAGACCCCGGGACAAGCACCCGCATGGCCTCACTGGGTCCCCCGCGTCAGCACTGTGTGGTGTGCGGTGTTGCATGCGCGCACGTGGGCATGGCTGCATGTGCTCGTCCTGGGCCCGGCCCCGGGCCCGCGGGCCCTTCCCCAGGAGCCTGCCCTGTGGTGAAACGGGAGACCAGCCTTTTATATTCTCCCACGGTCCGCGCGAAAACCCTAAGGCTGTGCCATTACAGAGCAAGGGACGGGGGGGGGGGGGGGGGGGGGGACGGCAGCGCGTGCCACGTTCATATCAGAGGGAGCAGGGACCTTGAATGCGTGTTGCCGACCTCGGATCGATCCATAATGAGCTGTTATAGATGAAAACCTTTCCCCTGCACTTTCGTTTCATGCTCTGGATACACATGTGCATGCCGACTGCATTTCAGACGCGGGAGCCATGGGGTAGGCAGCGAGGGGGAGGGCTTCACTTAGCCAGAGTGACTCTTCGAGAACCGCTCAGCCCCTAGGCGGTGTCTGCTGGTTTCTGAGTTCGCCGGGCTGAAGTCCACACTCCGGGCACCTGCGTCCACTGCGTGCAGGCGGCCACTCGCTCCCTGTGTCCTGCGGGGACCTGTGGCGGCTGGCAGAGCTGAGTGGGACCTTCCCTCCACCTGCTGTCGTAAGCTGGCCAAGGGCATGTGAGCTCCAGGTGTGAGCTTTCAGGGAGGGCTAGGGGGACCTCAGTAACAAAACATTAGTGTCCCGACAGGTGCTTTAGCTTAACTCCATTTACAGGGAAAACTAACGGTTCTCTCAAGGCACAGGGAATAACAGGAATAGGTGTGTGTGTGTGTGTGTGTGTGTGTGTGTGTGTGTGTGTATATATGTGTGTATGTGTGTATGTGTGTGTGTGTGTGTGTGTGTGTGTGTGTGTACATATATAAATACACACAAATAACCTGTAAGTTCTAAACATTAAATGTTTAGGGAAATTATAGTTTCTGAATATAATTACTTGACATATTTAGCTTCTATTATAATTACACCAATATTTGGTATTCTTAAATTTATTAAGTATAAATTATATTTCATACTGATTGCCTGATTTTTTTTAATTTTTTAAATTATTATTATTTTTTTATTGATTTTGTACAGAGAGGAAGGGAGAGAGATAGAGAGTTAGAAACATCGATGAGAGAGTCATCGATCAGCTGCCTCTTGCACACCCCCTACTGGGGATATGCCCGCAACCAAGGTACATGCCCTTGACCGGAATCAAACCCGGGACCCTTCAGTCCCCAAGCCGACGCTCTATCCATTGAGCCAAACCGGTCTCGGCTGATTGCCTGATTTTTGCATTAATGTTCCATTATCCAAAATTAAAATGGAACCGTCTTTTTTAAAAATTGATTTCAGAGAAAGAGAAGAAGGGGAAGAGAAAGAGAGAGAGAAACACTGATGTGTTGTCCCACTTATGTATGCATTCAGCGGGTGATTCTTGTATGTGCTCCGCCCAGGGATCAAACCAGGGGTGACACTTAACCAGTGAGCGACCAGGGCAGGTGGACATCATCTTCTGAATAATCTCCAGGAGACCAGCTTTGGTTGGACTTATCTTCAACCTAGAAACATTTCGTGCAGAATGTTCATGTCCTCCTTCACCTGCTCACAATAACAATGGATTCAGACAACACAGCTCTGACCTGGCGCAGACACTCCTGGTGTTCCGGGGAGAACGGGGTGGGCTCTGAGCCAGAAAACCCAGGTGCAAGTCTTAGGCGTGTAACTAAGCCCACGGTGGGACTGATCTGGACAGGCACACGCTGTCTCCGAACTTGGCTTTTAAGGAGTCTAACCTTAGCGCTCTGGCACATAGCAGGCCAGTGTTGGGGATGAGGGTTCAAGGCCAGGTGAGCTGTAACTGTACAGCTTTCACCTGGAAGAGGCTCCAGGCAGGAGGTTAACCTCAAGTTGAGGTTAACCAACAATCCTGGGGCTTGGTCTGTGAGCAAAGGTGAAGTGTAAGAGAGCCATGTGAACCTGAGAGGAGGAGAGCAGTGCAGTGAGACCAAGGGGTCTTACAGAAAATCAGGGCACCAGCCTCTTGCCTGTTGGTGGCGCCCGTGGTGAGGTAATTTGATGAGTAATGGGATATTGATCCACATTGGATGCCAAATGGTAGTTACATCTGCAAGTTTCTCCTAGAGTTGAAATGCTTTTCCTTAAAAAATTTTTATTTTTTTCATTTTAGAGAGAGGAAGGGGGAAAGAGAGAAACATCAATGAGGAGAGAGAATAATGGATCGGCTTTCTCCTGCATGCCCCCCACTGGGATGGTGCCCGCGCCTGTGCCCACACCGGGAATCAAACCAGCAGAGCCACACCGGGCAGGGCGAATGGTATTTCTAATCTATAGTGTGAAAGCCTAAAGCTTGGACTTAACACAGTTGTATCTTTAATCAAATATGTCCTATCTTTTGAAGCACTCTCTCTGAGAATTAAAGACATTCGTGTTTCCATGCCATTCATTTTATATTTTTTAAAAAAGGGTAAGGTTTTAACAAAGCGGACAGGCCTCACTCTCCACAGAACAGTAGTTCTTGTGTATCCATGAACACGTTTTATGGGGAAAAGAATAGCGTCTTGTGTACATAGAGGCTTGGCTCTTGGACTTTGGAATGTTCGCTCGTGGTTGTAAGTTCATGCAGAGGACCCATTGCTGACCGGGGAGCGAGTGCCTTTAATTCCACCTTCCCCCTCCCCTCCCCCTGCTGCTCAGGAGCTGTCATCCTGGCTTCCAGGCAGTTAGAAGACAACGCTCCCGTCCCAGCCCAGGGCAGCCTTTCCGCGGCTCTTAGTGGAAGTGGGTCAGGCTGAGGGCAGCGGTGGAGGCACGGGGCACAGTGGCACTTTGTAAGGCTTCCCTCTTCCTTATGAAAACAAACCCGATGCCTGCCTCATGTCACTCGGCAAAACATTGCATTTCTGTGTGTGCAGGGGGGTCTCCAGGCGGTGGGTCAGAGATGATTTCGTTACGTGCCAGTACCCAGGCCACCTGCAGGCATGTTTCTCCTGCCTCCTGGGAGCACTGCGTTCCCTCTGAACCCCTCCTCCCAGACGTTCCAGTCTTCCCAGAACACAGCCTCCCATGCACGCCTGCTCATCCCGTTTCTTTAGATTGGAATAAAGCCTGGGATTCTTCATCTGGCCGCGTGCCTGGTCCCCAGTCCAGCTCCTGTGGCCTCCCTTCGCATCCCTGAGCAAGTTGCTGCCCCCTGAGCCTCAGCCTCAGGGGCCTCTCACTGCTCCTTGACCGTGTGGATTCCCTTTCTGCCCAGGTCCTGGCACGTACTGTCAATGCCAGCTGGCACCGAGTCCCCCACTGTTCCATTCACTTACCAATCCCTCATCCCCACCATGGAGGCAGCTGCCCATCCTTCAGAGTTCCATCCAAACGCTCCTCCCTCAGGACACCTTCCCCACCGCCCGAGGCCCCTCCTGCCTGTGATGCTCACGGCTCCTGCACCTGCTCCCCCTCTCTGGGGATGTCCCTGAGCTAACATCTCTTTCTGGCTCAAACTGCTCAGCTCTTGGAGGACTTATTGCTGCATCCGCAGCCTGGCGGGAAGTCTGACCCCTAGTGGGCATTCTCAGAAACGGCCCCATGCTTGGGAACCATCCAGTGAGGGCTGCGGGTGCTTGTCCAGAGTCTCCTTACCAGAGATAAGAGTTTGATGAACAGGCTGAAGACAAAAGAAAACCAAAGAGAAAAAGGGGTGGGGTGGGGAGGACAGGGAGAAATGAAAATAAAATGAAAAAAAAAGAGAATAGCTGACAAATGTCCCATTTAACCCATAAGAAAAAACTTAAAAATATGTTCCTAATGTCTTCACTGCTGATACGCCGATCCAAATTCACCCCCCACCTCTTAACAGCACCGCAGGCGCATCCCCTCATGTCACATGGCCCCTCCAGAGTATTGCATGTTGGGATTTCATCCTTTTAAAATACCAGTCAGATTCCAATCTGTTCAAAACCCATCTGTCTTTCTGTTGCACTTAAGAAACATGCCGAGTTCTTGCTACCGGTGTGGGGCACAAGCCCCTGGCCTCCCCTCCCCCTACCACATGTCTCCTCCTCCCCCCAACCCCTCCCCCATCATCCACTTTATTTCCTCACCTGGAGCACCGGGCTCATTTCCACCCCAGGGCCTTTGCACCTGCAGTCCCTTGCCTAGGCCCTTCTCTCGGCTGCATGCACAGTCTGTTCCTTCATTGTTCCTGCCAATAGCTCTGCTCCTTTGCCCCTTTCTTGGGGTCGGCCTCCTCACCACTCCCCCTGTTACTCCCTCCACTTGCTCTAAGTCCTATAGCCTGCTATGCATTTTTACTGTGGCCTGATATTAGGTTGCATACTGATTTTTTATTAATTGTTTGTTATCTGTATCCCAATTAAAATGCAAGTATCTTGAGAACGCTGTTTTGCTTATTAAAGTTTGAGAGTGCCTGGTATGTAACCAGTATTTATTGAGTGAGTGAGTAATGAACTGAATAAACTTTCAGGGATCACAGTACCACAGTACAAGCCCTAAGATTGCCACCAGCCGATAGACAGGGACGTAACAAATTCTGCCCTTCTGCTCGTTCTGTCTCCGTTATCAGCAGGGATTCGGAGAGACCAAGCACAAGATGAATGGGACTTTTCTGAACATACTCAGAGTCTCCGTCATGAGTGCCTTATTTTTTTCTTGTTTGTATCATGTCACTAAACTGGTTCGCTGCCATTCTAAAGCAATTATTGGTTTCCATGTATATTTAATCCATTCATTTTAGGATACTTTTTTATATAAAGATATAACATACTCAAATGTCATAAAAACTTATATTCAAATAGGAGTTGTTAACCCCAGGATACCAGAAATGACGATATGTTATACAGTGGGGGGAAAAAGAATATATACACACACACATTGTATGTAGAATATAGAATTAAGACGCATAACATCAGACTATCTCATGAGCAGTCAAATCACTGTAACTCTGGACTTGCTTTTCTTATTCTTATCACAAAGTAATATAAATGTAGTGGTTGTATAATTCACATTTCTGCCAATCCAAATTCAGGAGTTTCATCTTTCAAGAGCAGTCAGCCCCATTTTAGGTCTCATGGCAGTAGGATTTAACTCCCTTAGCTTCCGATGCTTTTTTACATAATAGCATGGTGCTTCTCTTTGACCAAAAGACCAACGACATTCAGGCCGATAACCTGCTCTGAATGCAATCAGAAGGCAGAGACACGGGGGTAATCAAACTGGAATGGCATTGATTAGACTTTCAGCACCTCATCCCACAGAGGCTGTGAGCTGTGTGACTTAACAAGGAGGCAAGCTGGTACGGGGAGGGGTGTCCGTGGAGGGTCCCCCAGTTAGACCCCGGCCTGGGCAGTGCTGCCACTGCTTCTGAGTGCATCAGCTCCTCCCGAGGCCCGCTTCTCCGCTTCCCTACTGACTTCCATCCGCATAACCACCGCAGCCGAAGACTGCATGTCAAACTCAATTGTCCCAGACCTTTTGGGGCTGTTCCATGGAGTTGTGCTGTGGACTAATTTCTGAAACACAACTATTAAATAGAAAAGAAGAAAACAGGCAAACCCTCAGGGCAATTCATACAGCTTTCCTCTTCTTCTTCTTCAGGAAACGATGCAGCTTCCATTGTCAACTGCCTTCACATTCTGGGCCAGACTCTGGATGCAAGGTACACGGGTCCGTTTTTACCTAAATCAGTGAGTGTCATAATGACATCGGAGAATATTAAAATGGGCTTCTGCCTTCGCTATATTCTTTGGAATAGTGCTGAAGATCTCAGTGTAGGTGAGAAGGAAAATCCTTTGTGAATTACTAATGCAATGGCATTTTGTTATTTTTGTGATCATATGCAAATGGTCAAATTTTAGTCATTTCTGTTGCATCTGGGCATGTATCAGGCTGAGCTGGGAATGTATCCTTTGAGGGAGAAGTGGTAATGATAGCTCCAGAGAGCACGTTGGCGTCGAGACACCATGCCTGGCTCACGTTTGTGATAACATTTCCTTTACCAGAAACATGAGGGGTTACTCTCAGGTCACACATGTAACATGAAGCTTAAGACTGCACAGTGGGTGGGGGTCAGCCAGCCCTGGTCTGTGTCCTATCTCCTCTGCCTGCCATCGACACGACCAGCCACCCAGCATGTGGTCTGAACATACAATCAACCCATGTAGCATGACGGACAGCTTTCAGCCGCACGTTAAAATCATTAGTTATCCAGGACAAATCTAAACGAAAGTTGCTGACTGTCTCTTACCGAGGATATTCCATGAGACCTTGGATAACCCAGGTTTGTGTTTAAAACTTTGAGGTGTTTTGTATAATAAACGGAGAAAGGAGATGCCACGTGTACCTTCATTCTTTTTTTCTTTTAAATATATTTTATTGATTTTTTACAGAGAGGAAGAGAGAGGGATAGAGAGTTGGAAACATCGATGAGAGAGAATCACATCGATCAGCTGCCTCTTGCACACCCCCTATGGGGATGTGCCCGCAACCAAGGTACATGCCCTTGACCAGAATCGAACCTGGGACCCTTCAGTCCACAGGCCGACGCTCTATCCACTGAGCCAAACCGGTTTCAGCTGCACCTTCATTCTTACTAGACAGGGTGGCCCGGGAGGAGGCTGGTAGGTCACTCCGCATCTCCCCCTAAAGCACTGGGCTTCCGTGTCATTTGGCGACTCGGTAGAGTTGCCACTGAGTGTTTCTTTCGCAGCCATCTCTCCGGAAGCTTCCTCCGCCTGTTGGGTTTGGGATAAGCTGGCCGGGCTCAGCAGCTGTGCTTCCTTAGTTATAGAATAAAGCCTCTCAGAATGTGAGACCGCGGCTGGAAAACGAGGCCTGAGCCCGGCCATCTGCTCTGAGCTTCTCTTAGGAAGGAATTTAGGGTCAGTCGTGAATGACAGAGCAGCGTGGCTACCACTCCACGCGTGCGACGGAGCGTGTGCTGTGATTCTGCTCATGCTCCCTTCACGCCTGCCCTCTGACCCCCGCAGGACCGTCATGAAGACCGGCCTGGAGAGCGTCAAGGGCGCGCTCAGTGCGTTTCTGGACAGCGCGGCCGAGGACCTGGACAGGACCCTGGAAAACCTGAAGGAGGGCCAGTTCACGCACACCCGCACCCAGCCGCGGGGCGTCACGCAGATCATCAACTACACGACCGTGGCGCTGCTGCCCGTGCTGTCCTCCCTGTTCGAGCACATCGGCCAGCACCAGTTCGGGGAGGACCTGATCCGTACGTAGACCCGCCCTGAAGCCTCATTTCTAGGCGGCACACGCAGCCGTGAACCCCACATCTGGGTGCCTCCAACGCTGTGTGAACATGGATCTGCTGGTTGTGCAGAACACTCTAGGTCACATGTGTCAAACACAAGGCCCTCGGGCCAAATCCGTCCCGCCAGGCCTTGCAATGTGGCCCGCACCGCGCTGTCATCACTGCACTCCGCTGCGTTTCCATCACAATGACAGTTTATGACTGTTCAGTAAACCATTCGGCCCGCGATTTAGGCTGGATTTTAGATTTTGGCCCCTTCTCTGATTGAGTTCGACACCCCTACTCTAGGTTGAGTGTGAGTTACAGAAAGCATTCTTACAGAGGAAGCCTGCTGGATCGCATGACAGATTTCTGGTCAAGGCACGTGCCCAGGTTGTGGGCTCAATCCCCAGTAGAGGGTATAACTAATCAATGATTCTCTCTCATCATTGATGTTTCTATCTCTCTCTCCCTCTTCTTTCCTCTCTGAAATAAATAAAAAATACATATATATTAAGTATATTTTATTGATTTTTTACAGAGAGGAAGGGAGAGGGATAGAGAGCTAGAAACATTGATGAGAGAGAAACATCGATCAGCTGCCTCCTGCACACCCCCCTACTGGGGATGTGCCCGCAACCAGGATACATGCCCTTGACCGGAATCAAACCTGGGACCCTTCAGTCCGCAGGCTGATGCTCTATCCACTGAGCCAAATCAGTTTTGGCAATAAAAATATATTTTAAAAAATATATCCACAGAATGCCCAAGGTTATGTGGGGAAAAATAACGCATGGCCTGCCCCAGTATCCTGCCCTCGTGAACATGAGAGTCAGTCTCAGACCCAGCTGCTGAGACTCCGTGTGTAGGTCCCAGGGGCGAGCAGCTCTGCGTGAAACCCACCGCAGAGCTGGGGGACAAGGACACTGGCTGCGAGGTTTCTGGAAGCAGCGGGAGCACTGCTTGCAGTGAGCGTGGCCATGGAAACCGTCTGGAGGACAAGGTGGTTTCTCCATTGATGTCGTGTTTCCTGCAGGAAACAGAGCTGAGTTAGAATTAGAAATTCAAGGTTCTTAGATTTCCTTGCCAACGGACATCTTCTTGGGTCAGAGACCATCTACCAGGTTTTGTTGGATTCTCTAGCTACAGAAACCACCAAGGTGACTGACTTGCCAGGCTTTGTCAGAAATAACCAGCACACTCCATCCTTGACCATTCTTGACCATAGAGAGTTAGAAACATCAATGAGAGAGAATCATCAATCAGCTGCCTCTTGCACCCCCTCATCCCCCCCACCCTGGGGATGTGCCCGCAACCAAGGTACATGCCCCTGACCGGAATTGAACCTGGGACCTTTCAGTCTGCAGGCCAACGCTCCATCCACTGAGCCAAACCGGTTTCAGCCATCCTCTACCATTTTCATGCTGGTTCATTGAGACCCAAAATAAAAGGTGCCACCTTCACATACCTTGGGAGCAGGAGGAAAACACCTACCTACCCTCCAAGTTATTCTTGGGTTACTTTTATTCTTGAAAAAAAATCTTTTATTCATATACCTAGAGAAAAATTATAAAGAATTTGTTCCCAATCATGTTCGGAGTCATCACTGTGCTTCTTTAGAACGCTTTAAGCTCCTGAAAGAAAAGAATTTTGTTTGAGAAAACCTTTTCATGTTTTCTTTTACATACTGTTTGTTCTTATGTCATTCTTCTCAAACGTTAAAATACCAGCCTGCCTTTAATACGGAATTTTGGCTTTAGCGAAGCTTTCTCAGACAGTGTGTAAATAACAAGTGTGTTTTTTCACGTGTGGTTCTCTTTTTCTCCAGTGGAAGATGTGCAGGTGTCCTGTTATCGAATCCTGACCAGCTTATATGCTCTGGGAACGAGCAAGAGTATTTATGTGGAAAGGTAAAGTTTTAAATATAACTCTGTCTCCATAGCTGTTTCAAATATTAGAACTACTTTTAGTGTTAGAAAAAGTCTTCGCTCTATAACTTCTTCCTTAGTTGGAAATTAAAGAAGCAGGTTCATTTTATGATTCTTTGGGAGCAGTTACACAGTCTTTAAGGTAAGTTCGGTTTATGTTAGGGTTTGGCTGGTGACTTCGGCTGTGAAAGAATTCACAACTAATAGAGGTGCAGAGAGGAAGTTGCATTTACTTCCCAGGAGAGGAAAGAACAGTCGATACAGGGCAGGGGACAAAGCTGTGGATGTTGTCAAGCATCAGGGAAGGAAGGGGTCAGGGTTGTGTTGAGGTTGAGCAGGTTCCATGGCTGTCTTAAAGAGTTACAGTGTGTTTGCTTTCTGAGAGACTGTCCCACAGATGTCCCAGGAAGGTATCTTCTCATTATTTTCTCACGCCTATAAAACATGCTTAGGGCAAAAGTTATGAAGACTTTTAAAAGAGGCTTTTTTTTTTTTTTGAAGGTGAGATGGGAAGGGAACTTTCTAACTAGAGTTGCCTTACTGCAAATTATCTCTGAGTTGTGAAAACAGCAGGGAGGAGGGGATGAAAGAGTAGCTTATCTTGTCTCACAGTTTGAAAAGAGGAGCCACCAATCTGGGAGTTTCATTACCAGGTGCTTCTCATAAATTATGGAAGACCACAGCAAAGAGGAGAAAGACTCTTTTCCTGTCCTTACAATATAATAAAAGAGTTATGGGGGGAAAAGTAAAGCAATCTCAGGGAAAAGACCATATTTAATATAAAGTGTTAACTTGAGTGTTTATGAATCTGCTTGTGCAGGTTTGCATATGATCAAATGACCTGGAAGAATAGAAAACTAAAATTTTGAATATGAGTAAAATATATTTTTTAAAAATGAAAGAGTGACATAAGTGCTAATAAAAAATATATTAATTTTATTACAAGTCATCTAAAAGAAAAATGGCTATTTCCAGAATGCCAACACAAATGATCAGAGTTGGTCTGAGAATTACTACTTGAATAAAAAATTTAAATGATTAAATAAGTGACAAGAATTATTACTGATAGACTAATCAGCTGTAAGGGAATGCATTGCTGACTTTGAAGTTATACATGAAACATTTTAACCTATTAAATTCTTAAATAATTTTTTCTCATTATTTTAAAACATTTATTTAACTCACATTATGTCCCTGAAATTTTGCCATTCTGCATCCTTTTTTTTTAATCCTCACCCAAGGACTTTTTTCCCATTGCTTTTTAGAGAGAATGGAAAGGAGGGAGAGCTTGGGGGGGAGGGGGGGAGAGAGAGAGACAGAGAGAGAGAGAGAGAAATGTTGACTGGTTGTCTCCAGCACAAGCTCTGACCAGAGGCAGGTAGTGCACCCTCAACCCAGGCCTGTGTCTCCAACTAGGAATCGAACCCATGACCCCTTGGTATGTGGGCTTACCCTCCAGCCTCTGAGGCACGCTAGTCATGACTTAACATCTATAAGCTAAAAGATAACTTGGCTTTTTTTTTTTTTTAATGGCAGGAACTTTGTTATTGAAAGCATGCAATGATTTATAACATAGAAATTATTCCTGAGGGTTGATAGTATTAGCAGCACTGTTATTATCCCTTAGGTTTAACTGCCAGTTTTAATACACCTTCAGTTGTTTTACTTGGGAGAAATAAAAATCATAAGCATTTCCCCTCCAGGCAGCGATCGGCGGTGGGCGAGTGTCTGGCAGCCTTTGCTGGTGCTTTCCCGGTGGCATTTCTGGAAACTCATCTCAACAAACACAACAGCTGCTCCATCTACAATACCAGCTCCTCGCGGGAGAGAGCAGGTAACGCAGCTGCGCAGGCAGCCACGCATCATGTCACTTCCCGCTTGGGAAAATCTGGGTGGATACATACCCCCATTTCTTTCACTGACCCAGTGGAGAAAGCTTTCCAATGATTTCAAGGATTGGCCTTAGAGAACCTACTAGAATGATCTACTAGGATTTGAATTGAGTTGGAGGAGGATAGGGTGGGAGCGTGGGAAGAAGAGAGAGAGGTTGGCACGGCTGCTATGAGGAAGGAGAAGGGCCCCATCGAGGCGTGTGGGCATGCTGAGCCTTGAAGCCCAACGGGTGTGGCTCTTTGTGTCCGTGACCTCAGTGACCACCCTCTCTTACTGGGTGTGTGCCTCTAGCTCTCAATCTGCCAGCCAACGTGGAAGACGTCTGCCCCAATATCCCGTCTCTGGAGAAGCTGATGGAGGAGATCGTGGAGCTGGCTGAGTCCGGGATCCGCTACACGCAGATGCCGCACGTGATGGAAGTGATCCTGCCCATGCTCTGCAGCTACATGTCCCGCTGGTGGGAGCAGGGCCCGGAGAGCAGCCCCGCGCGGGCCAGGCTATGCTGCACCGCGCTGAACTCGGAGCACATGAACACCCTGCTGGGCAACATCCTGAAGATCATCTACAACAACCTGGGCATCGACGAGGGCGCCTGGATGAAGAGGCTGGCAGGTAAGGGCGGGAAAGGGGCGACCTTCAGGTGGTTTCACTTCCGGAAAGGTGTGAAGTACTGAAACCAGACTTTTTTGTATCTCCGTCTTTCTTACTGTTTCTCCTGTGTTGAAACGGTATTATCATTGCTGTCCTGACTTTCCATGTGTTTTTAAGGAAGGAAACATTTTCCTTCTGACAACCTCTCTGCGATCTGCGAGTAAACACAGCAGTAAAAGCTAATGACCGCAGACAGAGATGAGATTGGGGTTTGAATCAGCCCCTCAGCAGTCAGTCCCCCAGGACGGGGGAGGAGGCTCAGGGATGCCTCACATGTTCCCACCACAGCCATGTGCCTTTGGCCCTGGGTATGTGGAACGTGTGGAAGCAACGTGAACACCCGCCACTGGCGTGTGCTTACTAAGTGGGCACAGCATATAGCAGAATACAGGCCATCTTTTTATTTATTTTATTGATTTTTTACAGAGAGGAAGAGAAAGGGAGAGAGAGTTGGAAACATCGATGAGAGAGAATCATCGATCAGCTGCCTCTTGCACACCCCCTACTGGGGACGTGCCCGCAACCAAGGAACATGCCCTTGACCGGAATCGAACCTGGGACCTTTCAGTCCGCAGACCGTCGCTCTATCCCCTGAGCCACACCGGTTTCGGCAGAATACAGGCCATCCTAACAGTAAGGTGTCAGCAGTTTCATGACTTGGAAACGCCCACGATAGCAAGGAGGGCGAAAAGAAGGGGACTTGAAAGCTGAATTAAGAAATCCTTACGAGTATATATTTGTGAAGTTACTTATTTATAAAAACTCCAGAGAATGCATGAATGGCGTACCAATTTAGGTAGGGTTATTATAGTTGGCTTTAATATTTCTCTCTCATACATTTCTGCAATGTATATGTGTTACCTTTAGGGGGAAAATTCCCTTTTAAAAACGTCCTAGTCACACCGAAACCGATGTGGCCTTCAGACTGAAAGGTCCCAGGTTCGATTCCAGTCAAGAGCATATATCTTGGTTGCAGACACATCCCCAGTAGGGGGTGTGCAAGAGGCAGCTGATAGATGATTCTCTCTCATCGATGTTTCTAACTCTCTATCCTTCTCTCTTCCTCTCTGTAAAAAATCAATAAAACATGTTTTGTTTTTTTTAAATGTCCTAATCACCTTTAGAATGGTTGCTAACAACCACAGCTATTCTTAAGTAAGTGACCAATGAGTGTCATATGTAATCTCCCTCTTCCCAGGACAGGAGTGGGGGGGGGCGGGCGGGATAGGGGAGGGAGCGGTACCTTCGCTCATACACGATGGAACAGTGTGCAGCTACTCCAAAGCAAGGGGACCTTTTCTATTTGGGGATTTTTATTTTATTTTATTTTTGTATGAAAAGAGTTGATTTGCAACGTGAGTGAGCATCTTAATTTTCATTCTAAATGAGCTGTCAATCTTTTTTAAAAAACACAAACAGGGAAGCACATCAAATTCAATTCCTAGTCAGTGTGGAACTAGACCCTGAGGCCCCGGCTGGCTCGGGGCAGATGTGCTGGGAGGGCTCTCGGGAGCCACTATTGTAATGGCAATCTGTCCTGGGGGTCCTGACCTGAATGCGGAGCACAACACCGCCATCTGTCTTCGCAGTGTTTTCCCAGCCGATTATAAACAAAGTGAAGCCGCAGCTCCTGAAAACGCACTTCCTGCCGCTCATGGAGAAGCTGAAGAAGAAGGCGGCCATGGTGGTGGCGGAGGAGGACCACCTGAAAGCCGAGGCCAGGGGGGACATGTCCGAGGCCGAGCTGCTCATCCTGGACGAGTTCACCACGCTGGCCAGGGACCTCTATGCCTTCTACCCGCTCCTCATCCGATTCGTGGACTACAACAGGTGGAATGTTCAACGCCATTGATTTCTCTAATGACACCTTGGCCTTGCTGGGTTCCCATGTCCCGGACAAATGGCTGCATTCACTAACCTCTTAGCCATGAGCTTGTTCCTAATCAGAAGTTTCTAGAGACTTTGTTTTGTTTTGTTTGTTTGTTTCTTTCCCATCGCAGTCAGAAAGGGCATTCTGGGGCAGGTCCAGGGTTGCAGTGAAAATCAGCAGTTGGACAGTTCCAATGTCTCAGCTGTGGAGATGTTACCACCCATCTGTGCTCTGTGGGAAGCCAGCTCCCTAAGTTACTCGGTTTCAGATTTACACTTGAAGGTGTAACTGAGTTGCCACTTCATTGATTTTGTGACCCAGGGCCAAGTGGCTCAAAGAACCCAGCCCGGAAGCCGAGGACCTGTTCCGCATGGTGGCCGAGGTGTTCATCTTCTGGTCCAAGTCCCACGTGAGTGGGGCCGCGTGGGCGGGGCTTGCTGTTTGCAGGATGCTAAGGGCTTTCCAACATTTTCCAGCCCCTTCGTGTTTCTCAAACTTGTCTCCTCACCTAACTGGTGAGGAGGGAGCATGCTCAAATACTTCACGTTGCCAGGGAGTCCATGACCCTGAATTACAAGTGAATGAAGGAAAGTTATGAAACTTGAAAAAGCAGATGAAATGTCTAACTGGGTGGAAAGCTCCATCCCGTTGCCATGACCTATGTTTATCTGGAGACGTGCCTGCTTTCCCGGCTAAACCAGGTCTGAGTAGTCATTCAACCCAAGGTAGCTGTGTGTCCATATTACTTAAATCCTCTGAACCTTAGATTCCCGACATTCTGTGTTATGTGCAGTGCCCAGAACTGGTGCCCCTGGGCAGGCGCCTTCATTGTATTCAACAAAACGTGTTCCCTTTCTTGATGAGTCTTACACAGCAAATGAACATTTACCTTCCTACGAACTTCTGATTGTGTGGACTTCTTATTTACATGATGGTGACTGGCATTGCCTTTGTGACTCCCCAGAATTTCAAGAGAGAGGAGCAGAACTTCGTGGTCCAGAATGAAATCAACAACATGTCCTTCCTCATCTCCGACACCAAGTCCAAGATGTCAAAGGTATTTCCATGCTGTGTTACCGCGAGAGTGTCCCCATGCAGATTTCACTGGTTGGTTTATTTTTTATTTTTTGAAGGTTTGTAAGTGGACTTTGATAGATTTGGTAATGTTGTTTACTGAGCACACACGCACATGCGCACACACACGCACGCACACATGTACACACACAAACACACGGAGTGTTGAGGGGACCCAGGACTGATGTACTCATGGATGGTATGACGTGCAGACAGAACTGACTGTTGGAGGAAGAAATTGTGATTCCAGTTCCCTAGAAACACAGGGCACCACAGAGAGAGGGGTGTGGGGGAGCCAGGGTCGGTCAGGAGCAGAGGGATGAGGGGAAAGCGAGGGCTTCTGCAGGAAGGAGCAGGTGAGAGGGGTGAGCAGGCGTGAACCTAGCATGAATCATTCCAGGCTCGGGGGCCGAGGGGCAGACCCTGGCTGTCTGGTCCTGGCCCAGATGATTAGGCAGATAGATTAGGCCCAGGTTGAGGAGGTGATTGGGGAATCTGGACTCTGGATTGGCTGGTTTATATTTGAAAAACGAGCTTGCAGGCAAATAATTTCCTGTCTCTAGGAACTGACTAGCCCTGGAAGGATGATTGGGTCAGCAAGGCCCAGGATGTCAAAGAGTCGGAATAAAAAGTCACACTTCATACACACACAGACACAAACACACATAGGCACAAACACACACACAAGCAAAATTGCCAGTCAGTATAGTATACATATGACTAGTCACTTTCATGTACAGCCCCCTACTCTGGGGGGGGGGTACATCCCAAACCCCCCTGGATGCCTAAAACCATGGACAGTACCTAGCCCTCCATTTATTATCTTTGTCTCCTGTGAAAATATCCTCAGTGTTTGATTTATTGCTACAAGAAATTTGACCCTCACAAAGACGAGGCTAAGGGACCGTTGTTTTAAAGTTGACGTTAGAACATACCTCTCAATGGAAAGGGAACACTCATTCCCCATGAAAATCAGACTCTGACATTGAGCTGACCCTATGTCTTGACCATAACCTTCAGCAAAAGCACGAGAGACCTGAGGGGGCACGGCTGTCCTCAGGTGTGACAGGTCACCCAGAGAGCATCTCAGATATTTACGGGACACCGGTCCGTATACCACACCCGTTTCCCTGGATGGGGGTCCCTGGGCGGACAATTTTGCAGGCCACACAGAGGGAATGCACTTTGTGGTACATTTTATGGATACAGTGTGTGTGTGTGTGTGTGTGTGTATGTATTGCAAAGCAGGCATCTGTCAAGACAAAAATACACCATTTATTTCTAAATTTTCTTCTTATGTATTGAAAATTATAAAGCATACAATATCTAAATTTACCATGGAGTTTTCATGTACCTAAAGCTTCTCTAGAATTAAAATGTGCATTTTCCTTCTAAAATTGTAAAGAAATGTATTATACACCAGTGAATTGTAATGAGTTGGGAATCCAGAATAGGACTTAAAATAAGAAGAAAAAAGAAAAAAACATTCTCTGTAGGATTTTAAAAAATAGTGACTAGCAGAGAAAGAGGAAGTGGAGGCCCTGTAGGGCCAGGTCCGGAGCGGAGCAGCGCCTGACCCCAGCCCCCGTCTGTCTGCAGGCCGCTGTTTCCGACCAGGAGAGGAAGAAGATGAGGCGGAAAGGGGACCGCTACTCCGTGCAGACCTCCCTCATCGTGGCTGCGCTGCGGCGGCTGCTGCCCATCGGGCTGAACATCTGTGCCCCCGGAGACCAGGAGCTCATTGCTCTGGCCAAGAACCGGCTGAGTCTGGTGAGTGCCCTCTCGCAGGGCTGCGGCGTCCCAGCCCCGCCTCTCGGGGGTTTGCAGGCCTTCCTCCAGCGCGCTCTCCACTGCTCATCTGCACTGAGGGCTTTATTCATTTTTAAATATATTTTATTGATTTTGTACAGAGAGGAAGGGAGAGAGATAGAGAGTTAGAAACATCGATGGGAGAGAGTCATCGATCAGCTGCCTCTTGCACACCCCCTACTGGGGATATGCCCGCAACCAAGGTACATGCTCTTGACGGGAATCGAACCCGGGACCCTTCAGTCCCCAAGCCAACGCTCTATCCATTGAGCCAAACCGGTTTTGGCTGCATTGAAGGCTTTAGTAAGAGTTTCTGCATGGGCCCTAGAACTCAGATTCAATGGCTGTCTATTTTTTAATTATTATTATTTTATTTTGGTGGGAGGGTGTGTTTTTTTTGAAAAAATATATTTTATTTATTTATTTTTTTTAAGAGAGGAAGAGAGAGGGATAGAGAGTTAGAAACATCGATGAGAGAGAATCATCTATCAGCTGCCTCTTGCACACCCCCCCTGGGAATGTGCCCCCACCCAATGTACATGCCCTTGACCGGAATCGAACTTGGGACCTTCCAGTCCGCAGGCCGACGCTCTTTCCACTGAGCCAAACCAGTTTCGGCAGGAGGGTTGTTTTTATTTCTAAATTATGTTAATAACCTTCAGGGCACATTCAGGAACCGCATGGAAAAGATACAAACATGTCACAGGTAGTGGGGAAAAAAATGGACTTCATCTGAACTCCTCTATAAGATTTTTTATGAAGGGCCATTTTTCAGTGCCAGGAGCAGCCATGGTGATGTGCGGGGTTGACTTTTAAACCAGCAGCTCTTTGCAGGCATTGAGATTTACTTCCCCAAGATTTCTTTATGGCCCGTTTTCCATCTTCCTGGCTACACTAATGAGGATGCCGTTTTTCAAAAGTCTACACAGGCTCACTGCTCTCTCTTTGTGCAAACTGGAGGCCTCGCTCCTGCCCGGGCGACCCTGACGCTCCCTGTGCAGGGCTGGAGTTAGCAAATGAGCGGGGCTGGCGAGTGGCTCTGGTCTGATGAGTGACCTGGAGGGTGGGCTGCAGGCCCTGCATGGCGCATGCGTCACAGGTGCTCGGTTACTCTGTGCACGTTGCGGGAGGAGACTCGGGTCCGTGTGAGCCCCAAGGAGCATGACTCCTCCCTTCTTGCTGTGAACTGGAAACCAAACTCATCGCGTCCCGATGCCCTTACCGTGGAGGCCACGCGGCTGTGGTCTCTAGTCACAGCAGCAGCGACTAAAGAGCCGGCAGAGCCCCAGATCTGTGGCACGCAGCCAAAGCCTATGAAAATACTGTGCAGTCACACTCTGCTTTCAAATATATATATATTTTTTTATTGATTTTGTACAGAAAGGAAGGGAGAGAGATAGTTAGAAACATCGATGAGAGAGAGTCATCGATCAGCTGCCTCTTGCACACCCCCTACTGGGGATATGCCCGCAACCAAGGTACATGCCCTTGACTGGAATCGAACCCGGACCCTTCAGTCCCCAAGCCGACGCTCTATCCATTGAGCCAAACCGGTTTCGGCCACACTCTGCTTTCAGAGAGGTGTGGTGATTTCCATCTACTCACAGCAGGTGACGCTTCCCAAGACTCCTGGCTAACACTTATTTCTTGACAGAAAGACACCGAGGATGAAGTCCGAGATATAATCCGCAGTAATATTCATTTACAAGGCAAGGTAAGCCAGATGTGTGCTAAAGCACATTTAATATCTATACACTGGTTGTTCTCTCTGTAGAATAGTACTCGGAGTAATGTTACGTTAGCAATTAACGCATTATGGACCAGTAGTTGTACTGCTAGCTTTACCCAGTGGCCAGATAAGTTTCTATTGAGTACAAAATTTTTTTTTTACATAAATGTTAAAGGCACGCTTTAAAATTAAATGCCCATTGCATTTTGAAGTTATTTATTACCTTTTCTTACAACCTAATATCTTTTTAAAGTATGATACTTTATAAAACACTGTGTAATAGGAAGCGAGAATTCTTGTGATCCACTGCAATGTGTTAAGATAGTGAAAATACATTGGCCAGATTATTATGATCTCTGAATGAAAATTAATCTGGCCACTCAGTATATATATTAGAGGCAGGTGCATGAATTTGTGCATGGGTGGGGTCCGGTCAGCCTGACCAGGGGGAGGGAACATGGGTGATTGGCCAGCCTGCCTGCTGGTCGAGGGGACAATTTGCATATTAGCCTTTTATTATATAGGTTATACACTGCATTCAGACATCATAATAATCTGGCTACTCAGGGTATATTATTTTAACCAGTCATTATCCTACTTTAAATCCTTTGGTATTAAAGACCCCCAAAATAACAAATGTATTTTTAAAGCCGATCATCAGTAATGTCACTTGTTCAGGGAAATCTTTCCAACCACCAGCAGGTTAGGTTAAGCCTCCTGGCACCTTATGGGTCTTTGCAGTAGCCCTCATCACAGCTGCACACACATGTTTCATGTTTGTCTTCTCATGAGAGGGTAGATTTCTGAGTGCAGGTCTCCTGGGTCTTGGTCTTTGCGTGTGTTCAGACACTGTGCTGTGCTCAATGCATGACTGCAGACCCCTCTTCAGCAGCGCGTCCCCCTTTTGACACGGTAACCTGATGTTTCCTGAGCTGTCCTCTCTGTCCCGCAGTTGGAGGATCCTGCTATTAGATGGCAGATGGCTCTTTACAAAGACCTGCCGAACAGGCCCGAGGACAGCGCCGATCCCGAGAAGACGGTGGAGAGAGTCCTGGACATAGCGAGCGTGCTCTTCCACCTGGAGCAGGTCAGACGGGGTGCTGGTTCGCTCTGGTTTGCCCACCGCGTCGATGGTAAAGAGGATGTGTGTCAGGCTGTTCGCCACGGCCCAACAGTCCTCTGCTCAGCACACTCATCATGAAGAACATGGGACTCAGGAGTCCTTAGCACGTCATGTGCACAAGTTCCAAGCTTACAATTTCTGTAGCTATATTTAGACAACGAATTCTGGGAGATTAACATCTTTATTTAATTACTTTACTCAAAGTAGTTCCAAAGTAACACAGAGAGAACCACAGGGAGTGGCATCAGCCATTGGGCCTCATGGCCGCGCCTGCTGACGGGCACATACACTAGTAAAATGCCCTGCCCCCCAGGAGTTTCGTCATCTAAATGTTCTGCAGAACATACTACTATCACATTAATGAACATTCTTCTTTTATTCCTGCTGTATGTTATCTGATGCTCTCCTGACCCTGACCTGCCAGTTATGTAACACCACTGCCTTAGGCTTCATCGCTGCGATGAGATGAAGCTAGGTACTCACACCATATGGCTACTGACGTGCTTTTACATTCTGGGACACCATAATATGAGTAATGTAATATAATGTGATAGAACGTAATATAGGAAATTTAACATGTCCCTATTTCCATAATATTTCCATGAAACTAGATAAATACAAATTGTCATCCATCAGCAGATGACAAGACTTGGGTAATGATATCTGAAGCGCCATATAAAGTCAGAGTTGTATTTCCAGAACTATGCATATATTTAAGTAGATTGTTAAATGCTAATTAAACGGCTGCTGGAGGACCATTTCTGGCATCATTACACTGCCATAAGTTTTTAATTCTTCATAGTCTTCATGTACCTATCTGTACATGAATGAATTTTAGATACAATAAATGAAGCTTATTGAAATCTGTTGTTGCCTTATATTCATATATTTCCATAAATATATCCAATCATAATGAACAATGGCATTTGTGAAGCAGGAAGATTGATTCCACTGAGCAGCCATTCATTCCGTGAACATTTCTTGAGGGCACACCACCTCATTCCAGGGCATCACTTCCATTTCTGGGGAACAGCCCCATATCCGGGAAAGAGCCTCACTTATGTTAGCGTTAGGGCTCCACCCATTGTAGGGCACTGCCTCACTTCTGCTTTGCATTCAGCAGGCACCGGACTGAACATAGTCCCTCCACTCCAGTTGCTCAGCTCTGCTAGCAGATGTGGACACCTCAGAGATAAATGTGTGATGAGGAGCTGTGCTAGGGTACACAATGTGCTGAAGAGGGAATGGAAGATTCCAGGCTTAATCTGATGGGTGATCCCTATATGAATATTTAAGTGAGAATAGCAGTTATCTAGGAAAAGGTAAGGGAGTCATATTTTAGTTACGGTCAAGGGTTAGTCACACATTATGGACAGGAGTAAAAAGAAATCGTGGAAAGAAAACATGGAAGGAACCTGAGTGGAAAGTTCATGCCTTTGATCCCTGCATTCTTTTTTAAAATATATTTTATTGATTTTTTACAGAGAGGAAGGGAGAGGGATAGAGAGCTAGAACCATCGATGAGAGAGAAACATCAATCAGCTGCCTCCTGCTCACACCCCCTACTGGGGATATGCCTGCAAACATGGTACATGCCCTTGATGGGAATCGAACCTGGGACCCTGAGTCCGCAGGCCAACTCTCTATCCACTGAGCCAAACCGATTAGGGCTGATCCCTACATTCTAATATTGACTTGTGACTGAGTTGTGAACTCAGTGCAAGAACGGTGAGTGCTCAGGAAGTACCTTTTAAATTTATCTCAGTATCTGTGACCTTTGCGAATGTGTGCTTTCTGTTGTACGTTTCATAATTTCCCTCGTGAGGGGGAGCTGTCTCCCCAAATTTCCTAATGCTCAGACTCCAGCCAGCTCGTCAGCAGGGGCAGGTATGGTTCTGTCTTTGGGTCACAGATCCTATCAATACGTAATCCCTGGATTTATGGGGAAACTCGCTCTTTAAGGTCAAGTAAGAAATGCTGTGCCCAATGGGAAGCTGTTTTCACGGCAGGGTTAGACCTCAGCAGTGTTCGTCTCCCTTCCCAAGGTCCCTGAGAAGAAAATGGAGTGGGTCGTTGTCAGAAGGTGTTTCTCTAGAGCAGTGGTTCTCAACTCATGACCCACAGGTTGAGAACCGCTAGCAGGGTCGCCTAAGACCATCAGAAAACACAGATATTTACATTACGATTCATAACAGTAGCAAAATTACAGCTATGAAGTAGCAAGGAAAATAATTTTATGGTTGGGGGTCACCACTACATGAGGAACTGTATTAAAGGGCCACGGCATTAAAAAGGTTGAGAACCACTGCTCTAGAGGCAGGAGAGTCCCAGAAACAAGCTCAATTACAGAAGCTGCTTTGTTAACTTTCTAAACCACTGTCACCCAGACACCCTTAATGTTTCCTCCAAGCCTTGGCACATTCATCTTTTGACAGTGTGCGGCAAGGGATAGTAAACCTAGCTTCATTTCTTCTTCTAGCTAACATCACATTTTTATTTCTTTCAGACCTCTACATGTATGCGTTGGAGATGTTACAGTATGGGAAGTACAGTGTTCACTTGCCTAGAGATGACTGATTAATTTAGAATTACACGTTGGGACTTTTCTCTCTAATACTTATGATTAATCTCTTCTTCTCTCTCAGAATTCCAAACACCGTTAGCTCAATAAATAACTCACTTGCATCATTTACTCCAGTTTTCAAATTCTCATTTGTCCCTAGCTAACAAAATATATAATTTAACATTTTTGCAGAATTAAACCTTCTTGGTTACTCCTAGTAATGTGTTCCTGAAGCCGGGTCATCTCCTTTCCATCCCGTTATGTTGATGGACAATAGGCTTTTCATTAGAATTTTTCTCGACTGCCTCTGTGCTCACTGCTGTAATGCTTATGGTGAATCAGTGAAAGTGGATCCATGAGTAAAAGTGGGTTAATTTTTGTGTTGCCAGAAAATATGTTTTAGAATCACAACCAAATTCTGAAAGGATGCAAACTGATAGCTTAGAGAATGGTTTTCTATTTCTTTGATTCTAGAGATGACATAGCTTCTAAAGTACACACTATTGGGAAAACATTTTATTTTTGCTGATAAAAAATACATAACATTTCAAACTATTTCAAATGTAGGATGTGGGCTTTTCCATACATGTAAAGTATTTTTGGAACTTAAATTGCAGAAGGTTTTCGCTAAAAGGCATGGCTATCCCTCCAAGCTTGAGGCTCACGCGGGCTCACGGGCTGTCTGTCTTCTCGCAGGTGGAGCATCCTCAGAGGTCCAAGAAGGCCGTGTGGCACAAGCTGCTGTCCAAGCAGCGGAAACGGGCGGTGGTGGCCTGCTTCCGCATGGCCCCTCTCTACAATCTGCCCAGGTCAGAGCTCTCCCATGGCGGTTGCTGTTTCTTAATCCTCACCAAGGATATGCCTTTTTATGTGAGAGAGACGGTGAGAGAAACATTGATGTGTGAGAGAAACATCCATCACCCCCTGTAGGCACCCCAACTAGGGGTCAAGTCCATTTCCTGGGTATGTGCCCTGACTGGGAATTGAACCTGCATCCATTTTGGTGTACGGGACAACACTCTAACCAACTAAGCCACTCAGCTGGGACTCACGTTTATAACAGAATAAAATTATTTCTCCCTAATAAGGGATGAGGTCTACCATCTACCTTAATATGAGTACCATAGAGCAAGAGAAGAATACAAGAGATGTATTGGCTCTTGTGTCTAATCATTGGCCTTGACTTTCTTGGTTGTGTACCCTCAGAAGACTGTGGTCTGCAATGCATGTATTAAATGACCTCTGTACGGAGGCGGTGAGGCGGGTAGAGTGAGACGGCCTTGACCTAATGTGAGGCTAAGATGGCTGCCAGGTTTCTTACCTACTTTGTTGTAGATTTCTCTCTGAACCATGGGATCTGCCTCATAGGCTTGTTCAGATTGTTGGAGGGGCTGAGAGACACAGAGTTTAGAACTGACCTGGTCACGGGAATTATGATTCTTTGGGGGAAAGAGCTGATAGGGAGCGTACTCATGGGAGTGAAGGGGACCCGTCTGACTGCTCAAGCCTTCTCTTAGAGATGAGCAGGCACTCTTAGCAGAAAAGGGATGTGGCCATGCAGTCCCTCGGTGCCCAGGGTCCCTCCGCAGCCTCTTACCCTAAGACACGGCTCTTTCCATCTCTGACGTTTGAGCGAGGGCATCATTCACATCCCCACGGTGATAGGAAAACAGGACCCCACAGCCACATCCGACCACGCCCCTCGTTGTGCAGGCTGAGTGCTTCCTCCTTGTTTTGGGGTGCTGTGGTCATCGCTGCCTGAAGCACCCCCTTCCGTGCTGGCTGCTCGTCTCTCTGACTCAAATTTGGATTCTTTAGACTTTGGTCCAGTTTTATACCCTCAGCACCTAGAATGCTGGCAGCCAGCAAGTGAGTGGGTGAATGAATGAGTTAATGCTATAAGGGACACCACACCATCCTTGTCACCGAGACCTCCGTTTCTGTGCCATCTTGTCACATTGCGTATACAGCCAGGCGCTGCCCCTGAATTCTCTGACCCGATCCTGGTGTCACCGCTGAGTCCAGTGAACGTCCCTCTCTGGTTCCTCCGTGTGGCCCGCCTCTGTGTCTCACCCGTTTTCTCTGAACTGCTCACCCCTTCCCTACGGCCCCTCCTGACGCCCCCGATTCCTGCCTCCTGCCAGGCTCATGGCAGCAGACCCCGAGCTGGCGTCTCCAGCACCGCGTTTGAAATTGTGCTTCTCTTTCAGGCATCGGGCCGTCAATCTCTTTCTTCAGGGGTACGAGAAGTCCTGGATTGAGACAGAAGAGCATTACTTTGAGGATAAACTGATAGAAGACTTAGCGGTATGTCTCTATGGGCGTGCAATGAAAGGGCTCTGGGCCCCATGTGTAAGCACACTCATGCACACACACTCATGCACACACACTCATGCACACACACATTGGAGAGGAAGTCTCACCGCAAAGTATAGGTCTTAGGAAACTTTATTCTCAGTTGTTAATGCACTCAGTGTTCAGGAGAGAATTCAGAGTTTAAGGTCCATTATGCAAGTTTCTTATTAGCTTAGCTTTGAGAGAGAGCATTTTGTAAAAAAAAATAACTGACATATACGTATTCACACACTCATATGTATACAGCTTACACAGTCATGCACACTCACATATACACTTAGGCACACATGCTCACACTCATGCTCACATACTTGTGTGCACACACCCCTCCACACTCATGCACACACACACTCATGCACACACTCACACATTCATATTGCCACAGCAGAGAAGGGCTTTCCTTGCACTCAATGCTCAAGCCCTCACACTGCCCCTAGCTTTGACTGAGCGCCACATTGCCATGTGAATTCATACATTTGCTTTTGTAGAAACCTGGAGCAGAACCTCCGGAGGAAGACGAAGGCACCAAGAGAGTTGATCCTCTGCATCAGCTGATCCTTCTGTTCAGCCGAACGGCCTTAACGGAGAAATGGTATGGCTGCCCGGGTCCATGGGAGGCAGGACAGGATGAAGGGAGAGCCACGGCCAGAGTCTCTTCCTGTCTTCACACCCCGTCTCACCCGGGCTGGTGGGGAGAGACCCGTGCAAAGTTAGGGCTGGGCTGGCACACAGCTGTCAGTTTTCAAGCTTTAATATCGACTCTAGTTTTTCTCAACAACTTGGTCATTAGCTGATTTCATTGATGCTGAATCCTCTTACAAAATGATTTTTTTCTCTTTATCACAAGCAGCCTTTATAAATAATAATAAGAGCTTAAAGCAAATGTTAGTACCCAAACCATATGGAGACCAATAGTGACGAACTGTTCAGAGTCGATTGTAGTTCCATTGCACAGGAACCTTGAGGGAGAGGGTGTGCTGGCATCTCAAAGGGATTTTTCTTCGCGTGTGTTTTAAGGGCATCCTCCACTTTTCTTGGCTAAAATTGGCCAAAGCCACACAAGTCAGACCTCTGTGGCGTTAAATAAGAAATGCGCTCAGAGACCTGAGCACCAAAATGTGCCCTGCGTAGACGGGCTCCTGGCGAGACATCTCCAGAGTCCTGAGTGGTCCTGTGGCCGAAATAATATACATCTCTCCCTCTTCCCACTGCCGTCCTCTTCTCACGACTTCTCCCTCCTTTTAGTTCAATGTCATCTCATCCCTAAGCTTAGAGCAGCTCTCTGTCTGGCCTTGGCGGGTCCTGAGGTATTTCTCATAAGTGAATTTTTCTGATGGCTGAAGTTCAAAGCTTTTAAATAATTTTGTAAACATGAGATTTTTTTTTTTATGGAAACCTTCATCAGTTAATGGTTTCCATATTCCTTAAAAAGAGGGTAATAAACATATTTAAACTCTTCTTAATTTTTAAGTAGCATTATGATGATAAGCTGTGATATTTTCAAATGATTACTTTGCCTAAGTGTTTATTTTATTTTAGAAAGGTATACTTGTTGAAAAACACGGGTTATTTTATGTGATGGTAATTTTGCATATGACTAGCCTTAAAAACAATGGTTGGTGTTTTTTTCTTGTTTTCCATAGCAAACTGGAGGAAGATTTTTTATACATGGCATATGCAGATATTATGGCAAAGGTAAATAAACACCACTCTTGATTTTTAAAGTGTAATTTTGATAAAGGGAAATGATTTTTATCTGACAGGGAATTAAAACAAAATGCTATTAACCCTTAGAAACCTAAGGAGCATTCATCTCAACTTTGCACTTGTTCCATGAATCTCTGTCCTGACTTCCTTGTCTGGTATCATTGTTTCCCCTTTATTTTTATTTTTATTTTTTAAATATATTTTATTGATCTTTTACAGAGAGGAAGAAAGAGGGATAGAGAGTTAGAAACATCGATGAGAGAGAAATCATTGATCAGCTGCCTCCTGCACACCCCCCACTGGGGATGTGCCCACAACCAAGGTACATGCCCTTGACCGGAATCGAACCTGGGGCCTTTCAGTCCCCCACGTTCTATCCAATGAGCCACTCCGGTTTCGGCTGTTTCCCCCTTTAACAATGATTTATGCGGTGCTCGCTAGCTTTCAAGCATCCATCCATTCAACACCCATTCCCTGGGCACCCAGGGATTGGAGATAACGTGGTAAATGAGGACAAAAGTACATAGCCTGCCTTTTTGGAGTTTACTGTCAGAGGGAAAGACAGCATTCACGCCTTTAAAACGATGACAAGAAGCCTGGGAGTTCAGTGCAGGAGGAGCAGGTTAGGGAGCACAGTCATGAGTTATAATGACATGCTTTTAAGCTGTAAAATTCCTATCTGTTGGCTTTTGCACATGATTGAATGAATGAATGAATGACTGAATGAATGAATGGGACAGACCTTTTAGAAGCTGTCATTGAGGGACCGAAGGACTACATTTGTACCTTCCCTCCCCTCCAGCTTCAGTTCTAGACTCAGCGGACTGTGAATCATGGAATCAAAAGTATTTTTCTGATTCGTGACTTAAGTTTAACCATGTTTGCTTATTCAGGCAAACACATGAATAAGCAGTATGTGTAGTATGGTATTTACCTCATAATCATCTCCATGAAATGTATGAAATTGTTCATTAATATTTTAATTTTGTAAAAGCACAGGAAAATGTTCTTTTAGGGCATGAACTCATCGATGATGTCATGTAAGGTCATGGTACCTATAGCACATATATCTAAACAACGTTGATGACACATTAATGCAAATGACTTTGTGTTCTGTGCTCAATTCTTTTGGGTTTCGTGCCGAGACGTGCTCTGATCCTGTTGACCTTTTTCCATTCTTCTGTGCTGCAGAGTTGTCATGACGAAGATGACGATGACAGTGAAGAAGAGGTGAAGAGTTTTGAAGTAAGATGGATCTTTCTAGACTCGGCTTTTTCCACCGGGAAGCATTGTTTCATAGCTCATAACTGACATTTCTGTTTCGTGCTTCATGGCTTATCGCAGCTGATTGTGTCCAGGAGCCGCATGGCGGAAGCCAGGTGGACAGTCTGAGTCCCCCCGTGCGCTGCCCTGACTCCAGGGAACGTAGACCAGCTAACTGGTCAGACGCACCCATATGTGCAGATTGAGTGCCGCTGAGGCCCCGGATGAGGTGGCTTCCTCTTGGCAAAGGCCCTGATCTAAAATGTCCCACAGACATGCGAGGAGGATATTTACTGCAGAGCAGCATGACTGCGAGTATTTCACTGAAGCCGTGGTTTGACCTGTTTGGGAACTGAAGTCAAAGGTCTGGCCTCCTGCGCCTTCCACTCAGTCTGTCACTCATCCCTGCACATATGGGCTCGCAGCGCCACTGGCTTGCATGAGGCAGGCGGGCGGGTCCCTAGGACCACCTTCTAGCTTACCGTTATTTCTCAAACCTCTCAGCTCTTAAATGTCCCCATCATTCGAGATGCCGCTCAGTATTAACCAGCCAGAAGGAAAGGAAAACTTACCAGGATGCCCCCCTTTGCTTAGACTATACTTTGCTTTTTATGAGAAAAAGTAGGCCTTGTTAACTATCAGGCTCCTTTTTTATTGTTTTTGTTCGTTTGCTTGCTTGTCTTTAGAATTTTCAAAAAAACACTAAGTGCAAGGAAGTAGATTAGATCTTTTTTAATTTTCTGTTGATGTCCACATCTGGACTCTGAGCTAGAAGTCTGAGGACATTAGGACCCAGCAGTGAGTCTTTAGTTCAGCGGACCCACCAGGAGGTGTAGGTGAGGACTGGACACAGTGCCTCGCTCAGGAACAGGTGACATGAGCATCTGTGCTACGCGCAAGTCCATGTGTCAGAAGCACAGAGACAAACTGGTTTGTGAATGACCTGGGACTGTGGCTGGCTGCGGGAAATGCCTAGGTTAATTTTCGTTATGGCACCAAAATCCTTTCTTACGTGTGTGTATTCTGTCCTCATATCCATCTTTATTGCTAAGAGACTGAGTGGGTTGTGAGCGGCAAATGACGTGTTCTGAAAGTAACCGCGTGTGGTGTACAGCTGTCTCAGAGCAGTTGTTTATTGCTCTTTTGCTTCTGTCCTCACCCTTCCTAAGGTCACGGGATCCCAGCGCAGCAAGGTAACTGTACATGTGTGTGTATGTGTCTGGGTCTGAGTTCCGGTTTCTGTGACATTGACCTTTTTGTTAGACCCAACGTCTCAGACTCTTCTGTAACCACATCAGGTCTTACAGTCCTTCACATGTTTTCAGCTCCAATGCAATTGGTCTCTTCCGTGTCCCTCCCTCGACGCAGGTTTATCCTTCTTGCAATTTTAGTCGCTTGTGATTTGAAATTGTATGTTACATGGTGCCTTCGAGCTGCCCACGTGCTGGGACGGAGGAGCCCAGCCCACGCCTCTGGATGCTTTTACGCCAGTCTCGTCATGTGAAAACAGACGTGACGCATAACATTCCCGGTGACACTGGAGATAAATCTTTTTCCATTGCGCCAGTGACACCTTCCAGTGGTAATGAGAGATTGCAGCCCCCAGTGTTAGCGCTCATTTCAGCGTTTCATTCTAGGGAAGAACTCGATAATTATTTCTACCTCTTAATATTTTGAGTAGCTAAGTGCGTGTAAAATTTACTATGAGGAAACATTGTGATCTAGAAATAATTTGAGATATAAAAATAATTTGAGATATAAAAAAATAGGGCATTATAAGGAAAGGTTCCACGAGGAATAAAGTAAAGCTCGAGAAACATGGAAAACAGGATGGGGCCAGCATGCAAGGACTTGCAGGGTCCTCAGTCTCATGTCTACGTTACTCCTAGGCTCCATTTAACTGGCCCCCTTGAACTTGACAGTTGACTGCCCGGCTTTTTCTAGAATACTTGCCCTACATATTTAACAATTGATTGCACACTTAGTTCATCATTATATGTAACCACTTTAGATTTGAGTCTACTTCAATATTAAATCTAAAAATGACGGCTAAATCTTACAAAGAGGTCAGAATTCATGACAAGGGAAGAAATGTTTGGCAGTTAAGAGAAATGTCCATTACCGCAGTTGAATGCTATACTTAGGTTGGAATTTTTTTTATAAACCAAAGCAAATAATAATAATAATAATAATAATGATAAATAATAATGTTTCAAGTCAAGTGACTTCATATTTCTCAGCACGTTGGGATTTGCTCACTCGATCATCTGAGAGCTTTGGTAGCAGAGTGAACCACATTTTCAACTACAACTTTGAAAACTATACAGAACATTATTCAGATGGTTCCTTCTTCTGCTTCATTCTCTAAGATCTGAAGGAGTGAAATGAAACGATAATGCGGTGAAAGCAATTCACTGGCACGTTAAGATGCCATAAGATAGATTTAGTGCTCACCGAAGTGCCTACATTAATGCCAGTGGAGCCTTCATTGCCTAAGCTGGAGGGATGAAGCAATGACTTGCCTTCGGGAACATTTTTCTCGAATATTAGGCAGATGCCCGACTTCTCATTCGCGGTGCGTTTTCTGATGAGGCCCCGAGGTCCCGTTACTCCGGAGTATTGATGAGAGACATTTCCTGTGTCTTGAATAGTAAATGAGTTGACGTTCAGTGATGAAGGGTAGAGACCAGCTTGGCTCTCCCGGCGGGCTCACTGCAGGCTCAGGCACAGCTGGCCGGGCATCGTTCCCGCCGAAGCTCCTGCTCCCATGCCAGCATGTGCACCGTTTAGTGTGCCAGACCCGTGTGTGACACAGCGGTGTCCAGCGGTGACAGCATTTTTATCGGGCCTCCGTGACCTCATTTTGAATAGGATCCATTTTTTGGTAAATTCTGTAAGAATGAACTGGCTATCAGATGTGCCCTTTCTAACAGCTACATAACTCAGTCTTTGAATGGGCTTATTTCCTTTCTTTCATCGGGACTCGGCAACCTGAATTAGAAGGCTCCCTGAATCTTACAACAAGATAACCCTAAATATTAAAAAGTTGAAGATACAGCTAGATATATAAAACACTGATCAAGTTATTTCTTTTCTCAAGAGGATGGCTAATTTTTAGTTCCCACTGCGGGAGCTCAGTGGGGGAGGGGAAGGGATTTGATGGCCCGTGTCTCTCGCATTCTCATGCCTGTGGCTGCCATCTGCCAGCTGTACTTTCCTATAATGAAATTGGTGATCCCAAGGAAAGCCCTCATGATACAGTCCAGGCTCCCTAGGAAAGAGAGCAGAGAGATGATGCACTAGCACTCCATTGGGGTAGGGATGTTGCAATCCCAGGAAGTGTGAGTGAGAGGAAGAGACCATGCAGGGAAAGAGAGAGACCCCAGGCTGGGCACCCGGGCTGCCATGGCTGATCAGGAAGACAGAGGGCGAGCACTCATCTGGTCCTCCCACCCCCTTGCTACTCTTGGCAATGGAACTGTTTGCCTAAGGCAGCGGTGAGCAAACCGTGGCTCAGGAGCCACATGCGGCTCTTTGGCCCCTTGAGTGTGGCTCTTCCACAAAAAACCACATGCGGGCGAGCATGGACAGTGCAATGGAAACTTCGTGGCCCATGCGCAGAAGTCGGTTTTTGGCTCTCTAAAGAAATTTCAATCATTGGACTGTTGATATTTGGCTCTGTTGACTAATGAGTTTGCCGACCGCTGGCCTGAGGGAACATTCCAATTGAGGGGCTGTTCTTCTCCACCCCTCCCCCTGCCCTTTCTTTATAACCTTGGAATAACTTAAAGACTCAACAGCAGGCTGAAAGAAGAATGCTAATTTAGGACCCTGGGGCAGTTTTAAAAGGGAATCTGGGGCCAGGCAGGGAAACCTACCTTTAAGAGGTCCTTCAAAGTGCAGTTTCCTTGAGGGGAGATAGTTTTAAAATGGTCTGTCTCCAATTTGCTCAAAAAAAGCAGGCTTGTCCCAGGCCAGGGTGGCTCAGTGGTTGAGCTTCGTCCCTTGAACCAAGATGTCCCCTGTTCAATTCCCAGTCAGGGCACATGCCCAGGTTGTAGGCTCTATTCCCAGTGTGGGCATGCAGGAGGCAGGCGATGGATGCTTCTCTCTCATAAGTGTTTCTCTCTCTCACTCCCTCTCTATCTAAAAATCAATAAAAACGTATTTTTAAAAAACCCACAAACAGGTCTGCAGTAAATCTGAAAAGGAAGTATTTTTCCCTACCTAAGCCATCATTTTGTTGTCTGAAAACTTCTGGTCTAGCTGTGAAGGTTTTATTTTTTTTATGTTGGGACAGAACTTCCTATGACGAGATTAAATTATACCTGAGAAGCCTTATCAATGACCTGAAAGGTACTGAAAATCTTGGGAGAAGAGAGCTCAACCCACTCACCAGCGGGCACTCAGGCGCCCTGACCCTCCGGGTGAAGTTCGGCCCTTCCTCCTCTAGATCACTTTATCTTTTTTATTTCCATATTGATGAGTGTCCCCATCACTCCCGAAGTCATTATTATAGAAATTTAGATGCTATGGAAGGAAGGTGAGGGTGCCCTTTGCCTCGGAGAGGGGGGGGGGGTATTTTTTAAAGAAGACAACTTGACATCCTGTCTATTTCTTGATCTTCCTAACACCCATCCATCCACGTGACTTTAGTTACCGCAAAGGATTCTGGGACCTTAGAGTGTAGTGTACCCATTGTTCTGGCAGAACTTTGAGCTGCTCTCCCTACTTGGGGGACAGTTATTGTTTTTCCCTCCAGAATATATGGCGTGCTGTCCTTCTGTCTGGGTGTCCTGGCGACTATCTTTCCATGCCCTGTGGGTCCGGAAAGACTCGATCTTCCTAATTCTCTTGCCTCTGTCACGATGGAAACGCTGGGACAGCTCTCTACGCCACTAATTTCTTATCAATGTCTTATCAAAACACTCACAAGAGGAGGCAGTGAGCAAACACCCAGGAATGGCTCTGGCCCCACGGGGCAGGAAAGATTGTTGGGTCTAAAAGGAAGAATCAAACGTGGCTTCCTCTTTTCAACACCTCCTGGAGAGCAGGCTTCTTTCTGTATTTCCAAAGCCGTGTTGTATGACGATATGGTCTGTGTGTCTGTGTGGCTTCGTTTCTGTTCTGTTTTTGACTTCACAGGAAGAGGTTTAAACATGAAGGCAAACCTTTTAGGTGTCAGCATGGCTACCACAAAGCAAAGCCGCCTGTTCTTTTCTTTTCTCCGCTTCCATTCAGCCCTATCACGTAATGTAAGAACAAATAAAATAAACATTTAACCACAGGAGCTCTAACGATAGTGTGAAGAAAAAAAAAACAACCACAAACCCTGATCGATTTTGTTTTCGCAGCACGGTATTATCAAAGATTTAAGAGCCAATTTTGCCAGCATCGGCGAGCACTCTCTGGTAACAGCTTGATGTCTGTGTCGGTTGCTTTTGATTGAAAGGTTTCTTTTATCATTTGTTTGAGCCCATTTCTTCCTTTTAGTTGCCTTTTTTTTTTTTTTCCATACTGTTAACCAGCAAGCCTTCATTTTTTAAACCTCTTCCATCTCCCAGTGTCTATTCCGTTACCTTGGATGGAAAGTTTATGGCAGCAAAGCAGTCCCTCTGCTGCAGCCCCTGCTTTGAGGTCACCTCCGTTTTGGCCGTTGTGTTGATGGACATGACGCCGGTCGAGCGTGTCATGTCCCGTTGACTCAGCTTCCCTCCCGCGCCATTGGTGGGCTCGCTGTCCACAGGGCTCTATGCAACGTCCACTCTGCAACTTGTACTGCTTAGCCGTCTCAGTTCCCCAGCGACTGGGCCGCTCCAGTGACCGATCCTTCAGTCTGGACCTCGCCGTGCCTTTATATTTTCTCCTTATTTTTTCTTCTTTGTGTTTTCAGCGGTAGTTTGAGTGGAACCGAGCCAACTCCAGCCATATTGCCCCAGCAACACCATGCAGCATTGTTCGTTGCCGCCAGAGAATACAAAATATAAAGGCACATGGCTTCATTCTCGGGGGGGGGGGACCTGGGGAGATGTCTCATAAGTCCCTACTTAGGCAAAGCCTACTCTCGATCCCATATCAGCTTTCAATTTTGCTTAAAGTCCAACTCATCTCAGTCAGCGTTTTTCTGTCATTCAGTGATACCTTGCCACTCGAGCTTTTGCTGAGCAGTATCAAGTTATGGCCAAGACACGGAGATTATTCCAAATGGGAAAACTTATGCACGAATGTATCATTCAGAAAGTGCACGTTTCAATGCTGAAGTACAGCTACTTCAAAACTATGGGACAGGCTGTGGACTAATCAAATCATGAAAATTGAGCAACTCTAGCCTGATGAACCAGTTGAAATAATGTGAACCTCTGTCTAATAACAATGTCGGTGTTGAAGTGGTCCATAATGTTGTCATAGAGCCCATACATGGAGATGACTGAAATGTGGTGACTGGAAAGCTGCCTGCCGACCGGTCGCCACAGCATAACCGGTTGGGGTTTATGTTCAGGAAAAGGAAATGGAGAAGCAGAAGCTTCTGTACCAGCAAGCCCGGCTGCATGAGCGTGGCGCCGCCGAGATGGTGCTGCAGACCATCAGCGCCAGCAAAGGTGAGCCCTCAGCCCATGGCCGGCATCTCCTCCTCCTGCAGCTCCTCCTCCCGCAGCTCCTCCTCCACCATCTCATCCTCTTGCAGCTCCTCCTCCACCATCTCCTCCTCCACCATCTCCTCCTCCACCATCTCCTCCTCCCGCAGCTCCTCCTCCACCATCTCCTCCTCCCATATCCCCTCCTCCACCATCTCCTCCTCCACCATCTCCTCCTCCTGTATCTCCTCCTCCACCATCTCCTCCTCCCACATCCCCTCCTCCACCATCTCCTCCTCCACCATCTCCTCCTCCACCATCTCCTCCTCCACCATCTCCTCCTCCCACATCCCCTCCTCCACCATCTCCTCCTCCACCATCTCCTCCTCCACCATCTCCTCCTCCCGCAGCTCCTCCTCCACCATCTCCTCCTCCTGCAGCTCCTCCTCCACCATCTCCTCCTCCACCATCTCCTCCTCCCACATCCCCTCCTCCACCATCCCCTCCTCCACCATCTCCTCCTCCACCATCTCCTCCTCCACCATCTCCTCCTCCACCATCTCCTCCTCCTGCAGCTCCTCCTCCCCCATCTCCTCCTCCCACATCTCCTCCTCCACCATCTCCTCCTCCTGCCCCAACTCCCTCAGGTCACTCACCCACTCACTCAGGCCTGCTTCTCTGAGTCACGACCAGGTCAGTGACAACAAATGCTAGCTGAGCCCTCATTTATACAGTCCAGTCGTGACTCTGTTTTGAAGTCGAGTTTAAAGATGTTTTATTTCTGCTCAAGAAGTTTTGGGAATTCTGTTGTGACACAACTCTAGGGAGCTGCCCATGTGACTCAGGTAGGGGGACGTCTCCTGTGAAAGGCCAGGGAAATGTCTGTGGCAGCAGAGCACCCAGTGGCACTATGTAAGCGAATGGTGTAGCTGTGTTTCAATAAAACTTTATTTACAAAAATGTGGAGCTGGCTGGCCCTCAGGCCACAGTTTGCAGACTCTTGATATAAATGGAGACCTTTAAAGTGGTCCTTTATTTGTTTTTTAAAATTTTATTGTTGAGTGTATTATAGGTATCCTCCCCCTTTTTCCCCATGCCTCCCACCCTGCTCCAGGCATTCACCACCCTGTTGTCTGTGTATTTCAAAATCAATTATTTCTTCATATTCTTTTTTGTCCTCATGTAGTTTCAGTCTTGTCTGTATTACACAGAATTCTGTAAAAACACTGATGTCAAAATATGCATTATCACTTTAAAATATTTTTTGGAACATAAGTCAGTTCTTCACCAAGATAGAGACCTGTAGGGGTGGTAAGAATGAAAGTGCACATTTGGGGTTGGATACATGGATGTAGCAGGGAAATGACGTAAGGAACACTGATTTTATATTTTTAAGGTGAAACTGGACCGATGGTGGCTGCGACTTTGAAACTTGGAATTGCGATCCTCAATGGCGGGAACTCCACAGTGCAGCAGGTGAGCCTCTCAGCCGCTCCCATGATGCTCTTCTCAGGCCCTGGGCCGCCTGGTCCCCCTGTTGGGCTCCTTTAGCCATCCTCAGAGCACTGCCACGTGTGCGACATTTCATTTTCTGTGTAAATATGCCTTCATTGTCTAGTCCCCTTGCCCTGGCAGCCAAGTATCTTCTCAGTGCGCCAAACTGCTCGATGTCAGTAATGCGTGGGCACTGCCTCCCTTTAGAGACCTGCCGGGGGACGTGGTGTGTCCACGGGCTGCGGTTCACTCCACCCAGTCGGCAGGGTTGGTGCTTGCCGAGGCCTGGTTGGCAACCTGTTTGTCACATTCCAGGAATCATTTCAGTTGTAGCTCTTTCTGGTCTCCCGAGAAATGAGATAGATCACTTCCCAACACAGTTATGAACTACGTCCTGCTGAAATCTTAGTAACTTCAACCAGTTGCGGCAGAGGATACCTGTAGGCACTGAACGTTTTATCTTTATTACAGAAGAGGAAGCTTGATTTTGTTGCTTTTTTTCTTAACAATAAACAATAAAAGGGTTGAATTCAGAGGCTTATGTGTTACAGAAAATGCTCGACTACCTCAAGGAGAAGAAGGACGTGGGCTTCTTCCAGAGCCTCGCAGGCCTGATGCAGTCATGCAGGTGAGCCCCGTGCAGTCATGCAGGGGAAACCCTGTGCAATCATGCAGGGGAATCCCCATTCAGGGGAGACCCCATGCAGTCCTGCAGGTGAGCCCCGTGCAGTCATGCAGGGGAGACCCCATGCAGTCCTGCAGGTGAGCCCCGTGCAGTCATGCAGGGGAGACCCATGCAGTCCTCAGGTGAGCCCCGTGCAGTCATGCAAGTGAGCCCCATGCAGTCATGCAGGGGAATCCCCATGCAGGGGAGACCCTGTGCAGTCATGCAGGGGAGACCCCATGCAGTCATGCAGGGGAATCCCCATGCAGGGGAGACCCTATGCAGAGGAGCCCCCGTGCTATCATGCAGGGGAGACCCCGTGCAGTCATGCAGGGGAGCTCCGCTTGCTGTTTCTATTCTAACTCAGAGGTAGTATCTTTCAAAGTGTTTACATTATGGACAAAATTAACACAGAAGAATATTTAATGATGAAACACTTTAAAGGGGGCGGAAGTTACTGTCTTATTTTCTATCTTGATGTTAAGCGTTAATAATATTTTAATTACTAAGTTACTCAATGTTAATAATGTGTTAAAACAATCCTCCCTGTGCTACACACAGGGGCTTGGGGGAACTGCAGTGCCTTCTGCATCCCTTGAATGTGAGTGGCGCATGATTCTTAAAAGAAAAAAGAAAATTCTACTTCGTTTTATTTGGGAGCTTATAGACCACTTCTCATTTTTCCTAAACAAACGGTCCTCCACTAACTAATTTATGATAATTACTTCCTAGTTTTACAGCATTTAAAATCAGACAGCATTTGACCAAGGCCCCTGGCACACACTTACTGGAATAAGCTATTCCACCTGGGAAAACAGGGTCATGATAATTAGATTTAAATATGTCTGCCGACTTTATAATGTGCTCCCAGCGGAGCTCACAGTGGCTCACATGAGGCTTCACAGGTGTCATTTCAGCGTGGGCGCTGGGAGAGACTGCCACCAGGAAGGGGGCTGGTGGCCTTGAACTGGGGCCGTTTGCGGTGTGTGCTGTCATTGGTTCACATTTCAAGATACACGGTTTCCAGACGTTTGCTCTTCTGAGTCGCCTGAGTCCTTTCTCCCTGTTTTGCAGCGTCCTCGACCTGAACGCCTTTGAGCGGCAGAACAAAGCTGAAGGGCTGGGGATGGTGACCGAGGAGGGATCAGGTATGGGTTAGAATGGTGCCCACGAAGGACCAGGTATGGATTCCTTAAAGTAGAAGTTCGCCTGCTCCCCCTTCTTTCCTGAAACGAATCAGCTATGTGACTCATTTAAAACCCCTAATTGGCCACTCATGCAGGTCACACCCAATCCAATCTTATTCTTTCCTACTGTGGGTGGCCTGCCCCTGCTTGGGTAGTAGGAAAGGTCCCTATTAGAGAATTATCCAGAAAAGGAGAAATCGCATGGACGAATGAACTCATTGGGATCATGGCTCCCACCAACGGGCTGTCAGGTCCCTCAGACATGGTGGCCTGCTGCCTCCTCCCAGCAGCTGTCCTTGTATCTCTCAGACCCAGGCATCTTTGCAAGCTCAAATTCATTGATGAAGGAAATGAAAGACTAATGTTTGTTTAGATAACTCTGATCACAATTTACATGTGCACAAAAACGACTCACATGATCTTAGAGTTTTTCTCTCTATAAATAGATGCATATATAAACCAGAAAATGAGCACACGGTGCAGTCAAAACAAAAATAACTATTGTTGCAACCCTATTTTAATATTTTAAAAATATCCACAGTTTTTTTGTTTTGATTTGTTCTTATTCTTTTGTGTTTGATTTTTAAATTAACTTAGTTTTGCTAAGCCTTTATGTGTTTATCTGTTTTTGTTTGGTCGGTCTGCTTTGGAATTATCAATGTATTAGTTTTGGAACATTGGTTTTTCTATTAAGGCAATCTTGCTACAAAAAATAAACTTCCTTCCTCCTGCCATTGGTAGTCTGCTGGCCTTTCGGAAATAATTCAGAATGAACTAATCTCTCTATCTCTGAATATTTTTCTTCTCGCAACAGGAAAAAGAATTAGTGCATGCTTCTTGCTGGATTTAAAAGACAGCCATTGAGACATATTCTAAGGCTGCTGCCGTTCCTGTGTGGTTTTGGCTTGTGCTTGGCAGTTGAATGTGTAGGTTCCATCACCAAATAACGGTTGTGCAGTGTCTGAATTGTGTGAGCTGCCTGCAGCTCTCTCAGCCAAAGTGCTCCCGGGCTGAGGGGGCATTGTTTTTTAAATATATAAATACAATAGATCCACCCACTGGCCAAACAACGTTGTTTGTCATTTTTCTTCCTAAACTCTACGTTGAACGCTCATATGTTGAACATTGTCTTCACAGACCCTTTTTGCGTTGAAAATCAGCTTGCCATGTGTGCTGCTGGTTTTTGCTTGTTTGTGTCTTTGTGCTTCTGCTTCCAAAGTCGCTTGGGATAAAGATACATTTACACTGACACAGAGGTGGAATGACAGGCGACCTTCGACTTTAAGAGCAGTCACCCCTCCCCACAAGCACATGAGCTCCGATGCTGCAGCGTGAGCAGATGTCACTTGCACACTGGTCATAGATCATACTCATTCCTGTCCACATCTGTCACACACAAGTTTAAACCCGAAGGCTGCTCCCACAGTGTCGCCAAGTCCCTGCTGCTCCTTTCAACAGAGAGAAACCTGGGGGTCAAGGTTCACCGGCTCTTTTCTGACAAAGAAAACGGGCTTCTATCTGCCAAGCGCATGGTCCATGAGCTTCCTGCGGAAGAGGGCTGCCCGGTGGCTGCGGCCGGTCACACGGTGCTGGCCCGACGTGCGGGCGATGGAGGAGGCGCAGACACGCTCGCTTGCTTGGGGGGGTAACATCTGGACTTCCCTGCAGGCGAGAAGGTTCTTCAGGACGATGAGTTCACCTGCGACCTCTTCCGCTTCCTGCAGCTGCTCTGTGAGGGACACAACTCAGGTGCGTGCGGGCTGAGGCCAGAGGCTGGTGCCCAGGAAAACGTGCTGGCAGCCAGTCCTGACAAAGGCCTGTCTGCTGTGATGACGGGTCAGCCCTGCAGGGGGCGCTCAGCCCCAGCTTGTGCCATGCGAGACGGCCACATCCCACTGTGTTGCTCCACTGCCTGGCAACCCCATGTGGCCATCTCAGTATCCCGATCCGCTGTCCTGACGGGCGGCCGGTGGAGAAAGACACACTGGGACATCTACGTAGGGAGCTTGGTTTCCTCTGGGCCCCTGGGACCCGGGGACGGTGCCACAGCATCACCTAGAGCCGTGGTCGGCAAACTGCGGCTCGCGAGCCACATGCGGCTCTTTGGCCCCTTGAGTGTTCTAACGCCACTTCTTCAAAATAGACTCGCCCAGGCAGAAAACCCACTTCTGCGCACGGGCCACGAAGTTTCAATCGCACTGTACGTGCACGCTCGCACGTGGTATTTTGTGGAAGAGCCACACTCAAGGGGCCAAAGCGCCGCATGTGGCTCGCAGGCCACGGTTTGCCGACCACTGTCCTAGAGTGCTGTGCTCCATGCCCTGGTTAGGGGTCTGGCTTCCTACGGCCGTGCCTCTGGGAGGGCGGAGGCTGGGCGGGACTCTCCTCTCTTCCCCGTCACTGAGCACAGTCCTAGGAGCAGAGGACTGTGACTCACCTAATTGCTGCCTCCTTAGCGGTGACGTCCTGTCCCATCCCCGTGCCGAGCCCTAGAGCTGGGGATCGGAAACGGTCAGCCCCCTCTTAGACAAAAATGGAATATTTAGGTTCTGGGAAGCCCCCAGGTGGGTTTCTGAGGGTCCCTCACTTTTTTTCTGGACACTATGAACTATAATACTTCATCTTAAAACTGCTCTTAGCCACAAGGATCTTGCTGGAGACATCATTCACGGGTGGAGGTATTCACATAACGAGCCATTTCACACTTGGGAATGACCTTATTTGATCTCGTACAGATTTCCAGAATTACCTGAGGACGCAGACTGGCAACAACACCACCGTGAACATCATCATCTCCACCGTGGACTACCTGCTGCGGGTGCAGGTACGGGCCTCCGCCTCGGGACCAGCTGGAGGGGCTGCGTGGCCGAGATAAGGCGCGGGGTCCCCTGGGAGGCTGCATGTCCCGCCGGGCTGTGGTCTCCTGTCAGGACGTGTCAGACGTGTCGCCTTTGATCTGCCTCTGACTGAGCCCCCGGGTGAGCGGCCACCTGGGCTCCGCCTCTCATCCTGGCTCCGCTCTCCTCATTGTGTGCTCTCTGCCAGCGCGGATCAGCCCCCACGCTTTCTGGCTTTGATGGCGTTTTCAATGCTCTTTTCATTTGGTAAAGCCCTAAGAGGCTATGCTCCCTTCGCAGCTGGTATTAGATAAAGAAGGGAAGAATATTTGACCATTTCTCAGGAATGGGAAAGAGAGGCTTTCAAACCACCTAGATACTTAAAGTTAACGAGCTCAAGTCGGGTCTTTTCGGCTGTCCTCATATTATTTTTGTGCACTTCCAAATCTGTTAGGTAGAATGATTTCCTGTTATAGCTTTCAGAGCCGAACAGGTCAGCCTTGGCTTCAGAATGTCCCTCCCCTCCTCCCCCCGCCTCTCTTCCAGGAGTCCATCAGTGATTTCTATTGGTACTACTCCGGGAAAGACGTGATTGATGAGCAAGGACAGCGGAACTTCTCCAAAGCGATTCAAGTAGCAAAGCAAGTCTTTAACACTCTCACAGAGTACATCCAGGTAAACACTTACCCACTTCTGCTATTTGGCGAAAGAAAGAAAACAGGAGCCCATCGATTCCCCTGGGATCCCATGGAAAAAGGCGATGGGATAAAAGCCCTTTCCTGTCCCCGTCCCATTGCGGATTGACCTCGTCTCTTAGCCAGTGGTGATGGCCACAGGTTAGGTGGCGATGTGAATGTACCCGGAACGACTTGCTTTACCCTCTGGCAGACTGAGGGATCCTTAACTCCTGGGCGCTTGGTCTCTCCAGGGCCTGGTGTATATACTAAGCTCTCAGCGGGTATTAAGGGCGGGAAGGGGGGCATTAAACCACTTAACCACATTTCAGGAAAAATGAGGAAGTGCCATGGAGACTTTATAAAAAGTCTAGTGCTTAACAACTTTATGTTTGTGTGTGTGTATAAGTATATAATACTAGAGGCCCGGTGCATGAAGTTTGTGCACTGTGGAGGGGAGGAGTCCCTCAGCCCAGTCTGCATCCTCTCCAATCTGGGACCCCTTCGGGGATGTCTTACTGCTGGTTTGGGCAGGGATCTGGGACCGCTGACTCCTAACCACTTGCCTGCCTGCCTGCCTGATTGCCCCTAACTGTCCTCCCCTGCTGGCCTCATTGCCCCTAACCGCCTCTGTCTCGGCCCCTGCCACCGTGGCTTTGTCTGGAAGCTGTCTGGTCCAAATAGCATATTACCCTTTTATTAGTATAGATAATCATGTATGATATGGGTAAAATTCCAAATACTATGAGTAATATCCCTTCCTTAAATGTTGATTTGTCTTATGTTCTCTTTAGGCTAAATTTATCTTAACCTGCAAATTTTGAAAAGATTTTATAAAATTCTGGGTGTTTTTTTGTTTTTTTTGTTTTTTTCCCAACCAGGCACACTTTGCTGTTTCTTGGAGGCCAGTCTGTCCTCTTTCCTTCCTACCTTCTCCGTGGGCGGGGTTAGCAATGCCTCTGCGTCAGGGAGCCGCTGGGCACAGTGCCCCATGCTGAGGACAAGGAGGAGGGTGGGGTAGTAGTTGGCTTCTTTAGACTGAGCATAATCTTGGGGGAGAGGGGAATGTAAAATAACAGCCGCATCCCCGGACAGGTGTGGTCGGACAGGTGAGTTCTTGTCTCCTGAGGGCACATTTATCGTCACCACACAGCTTGCATCTTGTGGTCTCTCTTTTCAGACGACGTGTTGGTGATAAGACATGTTGATTTTGCCTCTGTTGTTGCGCAGTCCGTTTTGGCAGTGAAGTTACCGGAAATGACGCCGTTGGTCTGTGTCCCTGCAGGGCCCGTGCACGGGGAACCAGCAGAGCCTGGCCCACAGCCGGCTCTGGGATGCGGTCGTGGGCTTCCTGCACGTGTTCGCCCACATGCAGATGAAGCTGTCCCAGGTAGGGAACCACCTCCCGCCCCCCGAATGCCCACGGGGACAGCAGTCACCAGCACAGGACGCAGCTTTCCCTTATTAACAGCACCTTCTCAGCTGCTTTATCCATCTTTTATTCCACGTTTAAAAGCATTTTCTCCAATGAAAGAACTGTATGTGCCCTGGCCAGCATGCTCAGTGGGTTGAGCGTCGTTCCATGCACCAAGGCACATACACAGGTTGCTCATTCTGTCCCAGGTCAGAGGCAACTGATAAATATTTCTCTCTCTCATCAATGTTTCTCTCCCTTCCCTCTTTCTCTTGAATCAGTAAAAACATGTCCTAGGGTGAGGATTTAAAAAAAAAAAGTTTTTTAAAAATAATTTAATGCAAGCTGAGAACAGATGAGAGCTATCATTTAAATTTGAGAATAAAAAATACTGAAGACGTGACTGTAGGAGACATGAAGGCGTTTAGTCTAAGGTGATTCTTTCCAAAAAATTGGGACTGTTTTAAAATGCTGCAGGATACGGGACAAATTGTTAAAAATCGGGACTGTCCCGCCAAAAGCGGGACGTCTGGTCACCTTAGTTTAGTCCCTAGTGGTGAGCATTTGTAATCCTTCATGGACCCACATCTGCATGACACTCATCGAAGCTCCCTCCTCCTGCAGAGAAGGGGACACGGATTTGAACTCTGCCAGGCCCTTAGAGAGGAGAGGTTTGCGTATGGGGCCACACAAGCAGCTGTCCTCCATAGAGGCATTCACCCCCTAGCAGAAAACTAACTTCCTGATGGTCAAGAGAAACAGTGGCTCTCAGGATAAGCCAATAGACACAGATTGTCGGCTTCCTGGGTCCTGTGATGTTGGGAGGAGTCGCCATGGGGGGAGCAGCGCCCTCCAGGGGAACACACGTGTTCCTGCTGCCTTTGCTCCCGGTGTCTCCAACGCCACCTGTTGCCCTTTGCAGGACTCCAGTCAGATCGAGCTCCTGAAAGAACTGATGGACCTGCAGAAGGACATGGTGGTCATGCTGCTGTCCATGCTGGAAGGTAATCTCCGCTCTGTGTTCATTTGCATTTATAGTTTTACACTGTGCACATCCCGGTCCTTCATTCTTTCCCTTGAAGGACCAGTGTTCAGTATGCTGCGCAGAGCATTAATATAAGGCGGGATTTCGGTTTCTGGCTTTAGAGCCCATTTTTTTTATACTAAAGCATGACCAGTTTGAGGGGGAAATATGGCTTTTGTTCCAGAAGCCCTCGAAGGTTATGAGCAAGTACGGTGTGGCTTGTGTTTGTGTAAATACAGAGACTGTCTCACTCCCGGGGCTCACTCCCTGGAGGATGGTGGGGCTGGGAGGCCTGTGTGGTTTCTCTCTCTTTCTCTCTCTCTCTCTCTCTCTCTCTCTCTCTCTCTCTCTCTCTCTCTCTCTCTCGGTGTGGTTTCTCTCTCTCTCTCTCTCTCTCTCTCTCTCTCTCTCTCTCTCTCTCTCTCTCTCTCTCCTGTGTGGTTGCGCTCTCTCTCTCTCTCTGTGTGTGTGTGTGTGTGTGTGTGTGTGTGTGGATGGTGCTCGCTGTGAACCAGTGCCGCTCTCTGCCTGCAGGTAACGTCGTGAACGGGACCATCGGCAAGCAGATGGTCGACATGCTCGTGGAGTCGTCCAACAACGTGGAGATGATCCTCAAGTTCTTCGACATGTTCCTAAAGCTCAAGGACCTGACGTCCTCCGACACGTTCAAGGAATACGACCCCGACGGCAAGGGCGTCGTTTCCAAGCGGGACTTCCACAAAGCCATGGAGAGCCACAAGCACTACACGCCGTCGGAGACCGAGTTCCTGCTGTCCTGCGCGGAGACGGACGAGAACGAGACCCTGGACTACGAGGAGTTCGTGAAGCGCTTCCACGAGCCGGCCAAGGACATCAGCTTCAACGTGGCCGTGCTGCTGACCAACCTGTCGGAGCACATGCCCAACGACTCGCGGCTGCAGACCTTCCTGGAGCTGGCAGAGAGCGTGCTGCGCTACTTCCAGCCCTTCCTGGGCCGCATCGAGATCATGGGCAGCGCCAAGCGCATCGAGCGCGTGTACTTCGAGATCAGCGAGTCCAGCCGCACGCAGTGGGAGAAGCCGCAGGTCAAGGAGTCCAAGCGCCAGTTCATCTTCGACGTGGTCAACGAGGGCGGCGAGAAGGAGAAGATGGAGCTCTTCGTGAACTTCTGCGAGGACACCATCTTCGAGATGCAGCTGGCCGCCCAGATCTCCGAGTCCGACCTCACCGAGCGCTCGGCCAGCAAGGAGGAGGGCGAGAAGGAGAAGCCGGAGGAGCAGAGCCCGAGGACGGGCTTCTTCTCGCTCCTGACCGTGCGCTCGGCCCTGCTGGCCCTCCGCTCCAACCTGCTGGCCCTCCTGCGCATGCTCAGCCTCAAGAGCCTCAAGAAGCAGATGAAGAAGGTGAAGAAGATGACGGTGCGGGACATGGCCACGGCACTCTTCGCCTCCTACTGGGGCGCGCTGGCCAGCCTGCTGCACGTCGTGGCCAGCGTCCTGCGCGGCTTCTCCCGCATCGTGGGCAGCCTGCTGCTGGGGGGCAGCCTGGTGGAGGGCGCCAAGAAGATCCGGGTGGCCGAGCTGCTGGCCGACATGCCGGACCCCACGCAGGACGAGGTGCGGGGCGACGGGGAGGAGGGCGAGCGGAAGCCGCTGGAGGCCGCCCTGCCCTCGGAGGACCTCACCGACCTGAAGGAGCTGACAGAGGAGAGCGACCTGCTGTCCGACATCTTCGGCTTGGACCTCAAGCGGGAAGGGGGGCAGTACAAGCTCATCCCGCACAACCCCAACGCCGGCCTCAGCGACCTCATGAGCAACCCGGACCCCGTTCCCGAGGCGCCAGAGAAAGTGCAGGTAACGGAGGCCATCCGGGCAGCTCGGGGCCCAGGGCACCCTTGGGAGTCGGTGGGTGTTGAGGCTGGCACTGCAGCGGGCCCGGCACAGCCCTGAGTTTCCAGAGAGAGTGGCCTTTTGGTCAGCAGACCTGATAAGGGGGACATAGTTGGCCTTGAGGGTGCGTGAGATTTGAGCAGGCGGTTGAGGAAATGAGAGGACAGGGAGGCGCCCAGAGTGGCACCTGCCGCCCTGGGGGTGCGTGTGTGGAAGGGAGGCGCAATGCTGTCACCACCGAGGCAGGGGCACTGAGAGGTCGCCATGCCGCGCCTGGCACAGGGCTCCCTAAACTCATCCCAGCGTGGTGTGTGACCTGCTTGTCTTTCCCTTCGCTTCAAGGAACAGGAGACAAAAGAGGAAGAAAAGGAAGAAAAAGAAGAAAACAAGTCGGAACCCGAGAAAGCCGAGTACGTGCAGTTTCCTTGTGGCTCATGCTCTCTCTCCAGGGCGCAGAACGGAGACCTCTGACCTCTCTGGGGGCAGGCTCAGCGCCGGGACCTCCATGCTGGGGCATCAGTGTGGGCGCCGCCCGCCCGGGCCAGGCCAGCCTCGTCCTCCGGTCCCATCCAGCCGTGTGACCCACAGCAGGGATGCCTTGTGGCCCGCTGGGATGCCTCCCAGAGCCAAGGGCCCCGTCTGGTTCAAGGGCACATGGGATTCTGCCTGGGAACAGTGTGGACTCAGCCCCCCTAGGAGGCGTGTGGGAAGAAGCAGATGGATGGTTCTCTCTCATCATTGTTGTTTCTGTCTCTCTCCCTTCCCTCTCTAACATATTTTAAAAATGTTAGCTATACCTCCTGTGGGTGAGGTTGGATGGGTTATGTCCAAGTGAGTTTTGAATATGAGTTCATCTACATAAATACATTTCCACGGAGGATTGGTATTCTGCAGCGAGAGGGGTTTTGGGTATCAAATTTTAGTGCTTCTAATTCCATTATCACATGTAACGGTAACACCCTGGCATCCTTTATATACGTGAACAGCCAAAGGCATGTCTCTGACATTAGGTCCGAAGATGAGACACTAGTCAAGGTTGACTGTTACAGTCCTGATTCAGCAGTGCGGCAGGTGGGGGTTTCCAGGGCGATGGCATTGCTCAGTGGGCAGGGAGGTGCCATATGGATACTAAGACACTCCAGCCTGTGAAATGCCCTGTAGATTTCAACTTCACAGAATTCCCACAGGAGACCGGGGTCCCTGACATCCAACCCGGATTCTGAAATCCTGAACATTGCAGTTCATTGGAGGAGAACGTTTTCCACAACGACGCTATGGTTTAAACGTGTGTTCGTTTGTGTATTTTGGCACAAAGCCCGTTAGTTCTTCAGTCTCTTGCCCGCTTATGTGTACTCGTCTGTCCGCAGGGGAGAAGACGGAGAGAAAGAAGAGAAGGCCAAAGACGAGAAGGGCCGGCAGAAGCTGCGGCTGATCCACACGCACCGCTACGGGGAGCCCGAGGCCCCCGAGTCCGTGTTCTGGAAGAAGATCATCGCTTATCAGCAGAAGCTCCTGGTGAGCCCGTCAGGAGAGCATTGCTATGACACGTTGTGAGGCCATAATCACTGAGGCCCCGCAGGGTCCGTGGGCTCCCGTGGGCTGGGTGGCAACCAAAGACCCAGGTCCCCCTGCTGGTGCATTGGGTTTGCTCCATGAGGACGGACCCAGGACCTCTGCACACGTTCACAAGCCCGAGACCTTAGACGTGGTGGCTGCTGCACCCCGTGTCTCCGCCCCACAGAGTCTGGGACGGGTCTGGGCGTGCACCCAAGCACCTGCAGGACCACCTGCAAGGGAAGTGGCCGTCCCGTGATTGAATGTTCTCACTACTTAGGAGCACTGGAGAATGTATGTGCTTCAGACAGATATGTGTGCGGTAGTAGGTTTTCTCAGCTGTCTGTGCCTCCCCTGTTGTTCAGTACAGAGTACGCTGAGCATCAGCGTGTTCTAGAAAGCTCTGGGTGGTCACTGGTTTGGGTGTTGCGGTAGGTGCCCCGCTTCAGGGGAGGCTGCAGGTGAGGCCGGGTGTGGGCACAGGGTCGAGTGGGCTCAGCGACACCTGCAGGAGCCCATGGTTCCTAGGAGTGTGCCAGCCGCCCAGGCCAAGCAGGTACAGAGGGACTGGCATCGCTCTGCCGCAGGAACCGTGCCAACGCCTCCCACTTAACATCAAAACACATGCTGATCTCCAGAGCCTTTTCCTCAGACCCACTTCTGTCCGGTTCTGTCCAGCTCAGAAAGGGGGACCAGCCGCTTAGTTAGGTGCTGAGACCCAAACCCAGAAGTTCCCATCTCTGAGCTCACTCCCTTCCACCTCCAACACAGCCCAGCAGTGACTCTCCTCAGCTGTCTTCCCGATGCTGGAGCCCACCCACCGGGGGCATTAAGCCCTCTTCAGATCCTCCTGGAATAGAATCATTCCAACTGTGATAACAAGACTCACAAACTCCTCTGTTGTCGTATCCAATCCTCAGAGCGAGCCCTTGTGAGAAGGTTCTGGCTAATCCGCACTTCACGGACCAGGGAAATGATGCTCCAGCAGTGATTCCGTTCTTGTGCACATCCCCCTGGAGCCCCCGGAGATAAAAAACCCAACACACCCCTCATCCGGGGACTGCCACTCCCTCTAGTTCACCCTGACCCCAGCTCGTCCCCCTCCCTCCCCCACTGGCTTCCTCCTTTCTGTCCTCATCCGCACCCCCATGTCTCTGTCCTCGGGGCTGCCCTGCCTGCTCCTCTCTGACACATCTGGTCCCCACTTGTCCTCCTGACTTGTTCCCCGTGGCATTCAGACCTCTGCTCACGCACCCCATTCTGTAAGCCCGCAGAGAGCATTCCCTGTGAGGATGTCCCCTCCGTGGTGCCCAGATTTCTAACTCGGTGATGTCCACAGTCTCGAGAATGATGCTTGATACGCACTGGGCGCTCAGGAAGTCACTTTGGGTAAATGAATGAATGCTTTATGTCATGGTCCGCAAATTTCAAGTCTCCCGATTCCGTGACCCTTTCATTTTTTCCACCTTCAGAACTATTTTGCTCGCAACTTTTACAACATGAGAATGCTGGCCTTATTTGTCGCCTTTGCGATCAACTTCATCTTGCTCTTCTATAAGGTATGTATTTTTTGGTCTCTTTTTTTTTTTTAATCTTTTATATTTTATTGATTTTTTACAGAGAGGAAGGGAGAGGGATAGAGGGATAGAAAAATCGATGAGAGAGAAACATCCATCAGCTGCCTCCTGCATACTCCCTACTGGGGATGTGCCCGCAACCAAGGTACATGCTGCCCTTGACCGGAATCGAACCCGGGACCTTTCAGTCCGCAGGGTGACGCTCTATCCACTGAGCCAAACCGGTTAGGGCTACTTCTTGGTCTTAACAACCAGTGCGATGCTCCCCACAGCCTGAATGATGTACAGATGTCACAGACCCGCCCTGAGCGCGTCCCTGATGTGAGGCGGAGACCCTCCTTCCTGCTGCTCAGGGAGATGCGATTCCGCAGAGGCTCCCGCATGCTCCGCCCATGCACACAGCTCACTTGGGGCTCAGGGGTGGCATGCGGTTCCTCTGGTCCTTGAGAGGCAGCTGAGCCATCTCAGTCCCCCCACCCGCGGATCCTGGTAATTCTTGGTTCCGCAGAAGGATTGGCACAAGCGTGTTAGTGATCTGCTGTCCCAGAAGCTTCTGAGAGCATCTTCCGGGGACCAGGGAGGAGGGATGGAGAGAGCCCTCACCTCGCTCGCGCCCAGTCGTTTGCGGAGAAGGCTGGGTCCCTGTTTCTCGTTGGTGCTGATGCTTAGGGGAGAGCACTGACCGCACTCTTAACTGGTTTGAACCAGGTCTCCACTTCTTCTGTGGTTGAAGGCAAGGAGCTGCCCCCTCGCAGCGCAAGCGAAAGCGCCAAGGTCAGCATCCCGGACGAGGGCGGTGGCGGGGAGGACGCGCCCGGCGTGCTGGCGGTGCACTACGTGCTGGAGGAGAGCAGCGGCTACATGGAGCCCACGCTGCGCATCCTGGCCGTGCTGCACACCATCATCTCCTTCTTCTGCATCATCGGCTACTACTGCCTGAAGGTAAGGGCATCATCGGCTACTGCTGCCTCAAAGTAAGCCGCGCCTGGGGAAGCGGGTCCTGGGATGGAAATGACTTTCACGGAGCTTATTTGGAACGTTCCAGAAATCCACACCTGTGGATGGTGGGAGGGAGCAGGGGCCACCGATGGGAACATGCACGGGGCAGACGCACGGGGCAGGCACAGCCTCACTCTGCAATGCTGGCTTCGGCCGGTTGTCCTGGCCTTTGGACTTCACATTGACCAGGCGCAGCTGCAGGCTGCCCTGGGGCGGGGAGAGCTGGGGTGGTCTGACTGGAGCTTTCTTTCACACAGACAGTGGCCTGATTCACCTGTAACGACCCTGCGCAAGGGGCCAGGCACACTGTCCTTAGCAGTGCTCCCGGAAGCTGTTAGGGTTATAGGAACGCACCCTTGGGGCCTCGCAGTCCTGGTGACTGTCCTGACGTCAGCAATCTCTGCTGCCATCCTGGGCGCAAAGGTTTCCAGTTTGTGTCCTTTCCCCCGGGGGGTGATGCGGCTCCTGGGCCGCCTGCAGGGAGCAGTGTCATCGGGTGAACGCACCCAGGAAGGTGCCCGATGCCTAGGGCTGCCATTTCCGGGCAAGCTCTTCCTCTTGCCTAGCAAGACCCGCCCCCCCCCCTCTGCCATGCAGCCTGAGCTGCAGACCAGGCAGAAGGCCAGCATGCCACCCCTGGAAGCTCCTCTCCACCCCCCCACCCCCAACACACTGGGCCATGAGGTGTTCTCAGACGCTCCTGGAATGTCTGCACCTTTCCTGTATAAAGTCTGTCCATAGGGCAAGGGCCTCAGTCTGTTCTGAAGACATCTTGGAAAACGGACAGTTTTCCTTTTGTTGAAATTAAAGTTTTTTCACAATAGCATGGTCACGCTGAGCAGGAGATTATTACAGAGATTTTTCAAATGAAATTGCGCTTTTTAAAAGCACGCATTCTGGAAGCTTAGCGAATGGTTATTGCCCTCAGTGAATTTTATTGCCCTCGTGGCTGCTGCTACCATATGTATGTGTTTATAACACGCCAAAGAAAACCAGTTTTGTGCAACCTTATTCTCTTTATTATTTAAAACTGACTTAGTTGCTTATGAACTTCTGTGTTTAAAAATGCGTGTGTGTATATAATCTCTATCCTATCTCTTGTTTTTCTAAGACCGTGCGATGCTTTTTCCTAAACACAGCTGATTCACTTTCATTCCATTTTTACTTTCCCGGAAGTAACACGGGAAATGCTTCTCTCCTAACGCCAGTTTGTAAGGGCTGAGAGGCCAGTACATCGAAAGTAATTTAATATGTTTCTTTTTGAAATGTAGGTCCCGCTGGTTATTTTTAAGCGCGAAAAGGAAGTGGCTCGGAAATTGGAATTTGACGGGCTTTACATCACAGAGCAGCCTTCGGAAGACGATATCAAAGGCCAGTGGGACCGGCTGGTAATCAACACTCAGTGAGTACAGAGCGTGCGAGGTCTGGGCGCTCGCAGATTGCCCGCGCGCAGTCCCCTGCCGAGCTCCCTGCGTGCTGGCAGAAGGCAGCAGAGTGATGAATGCGTGTTTACTCAGCCAAGAAAATCAAAGGCTCGGCGCCCTCGGCCCCCGGTGGAGGCCACCAGTTTTTGCCATCTGTGTTCCCATTCCTTCATCAGAGGGCTTTGAGTCGGTCCCCAGCCCCGTGCACTTGGCCTCCATTGCTCAGAGTTCGGAGGAGGGTGCAGGGGGTGGGGAGCCTGCGATCCAGAGCTATACCCCCCAGAAGCACAGAAGGAGCAGAGCCATTCGCTAAGGTAGGAGAGGTAGCCTTAGAGACAGAGAGACTGAATTTCACGTTTTTAATGTAAACTTTCAGCAGGTGCCGTCAGGCAGCCTGTGGGACTAGCTGAGCATCAGGACGTGCGAAACAGAAGCCAGCGAACTTGCTTACGAGCTGCAGGCTGCTGTGCAGTGTCAGCCCACCCAGCTCAGCTTCCCACCCCTGACAGTGCCCGTATTTTCACAGTAGCTTGCAGTTCTCAAGAGGAAAACGCTTCCTTTTTCTTAGCTTAGTGATGAGTTTTGCTTGTTTTTAAGAAGTTTTCATTTCAATAGGTTCTCCATTGTCAAACGGGGGTGATTTTCTGTGGATAGCGCAGAAAACATTGGCTCTGAATGCTGTGCTTTGTTTAGCACTCCAGACACTGTCATATTCCATACACACACACACACACCCTGTGCATACCGCCCTGGCCCGGTGCCAGGTCACACGAGTTCCCCAAATCCATGTCTCCTGAGAGTAACTGGTACGAAGGAGATTGCTTTCCCTCTGTAGGAAAAACAGCTACAGATTTCTAAATCCTTTGAAGACACTCGACAAAGCAATCTATAAGTAGATTTAAAAAACACAACCGTCAGCTGATTGACAAATATGCTCATGTTCTTCTCCATGACAACGTCAACCCAGCACCTTTCTGTGAGTTACATGTATGTCCAGTATTTACATATTAACATTCAAAGTGATACTTGATGTGCCCACAATGCAGAAAAATCATAGGATAAGATGGGAAAGAAATTCATTACAATTTTCACGAATGGAATATATGTCTGCATATTAATTTAAATATTTTCTATATTTCAAGCAGTATCTTGTGACTTATCACACTTTGAAATAATACTCTTCTCTTTTTTTATGCTTTTCTATCTTTTAGGTCATTTCCCAACAACTACTGGGACAAATTTGTCAAAAGAAAGGTAATATACTTCTTAGAAGGAATACATTTTAGTATTTTTTTCCCCCCAAAGTGCAATTCAGACTTGAACTGATGTGGCTGCTGTGTTGAAGGAGGCCCCGGGGTACGTTCTCGGCCTGTCACTGTCATGGCCAAGTGCAGCGGAGTCAAACGTGAATTCCGCACTTGCGGCAAGGGACCGCCTTCTGGGGCTGCAGAACGAGTGAGCCCCTGACAGTGACGGCAGCCGGTGGGCTCCCCTGGCTTCCTCCGGGACCCACACCAGCGAAGGCCCTTTGCAGTTAGGGCCGCCGACGGGTCAGGCGTGGTCCCCTTCCCACCAAAGAGGCAAAGGCGTTGCCCGGCAACAGGGAACTGCATTTTCTTTTCTTTATATCATCTTTAAAGATCTTGCTTTCGTGAAGTTTTATTCTCCTGAAGCAGACTGCCTAGAGGGTGGGAGGAGCAGCGGAAGCGGAGGAGCAGCTGGGTCAGCTATGGACCGGGCACAGAGCTGTCTGCAGAGCCGAGGCCGCTCCGGTGGCAGTGCCAGTGGCAGCTCGGTGCAGGCTTCTCCCTGGCGGGCAGTTTTGCAGTTTGCGTGAGAGGCTGCTGGGCCATTTTATTAAAATATGAGCTTAGTTAATTCACCAAGAACCCTTCTTTTTATATATATATATATTTATTTTATTTATTTATTTTTTTTGAGTTTTACAGAGAGGAAGAGAGAGGGATAGAGTTAGAAACATCGATGAGAGTCATTGATCAGCTGCCTTTTGCACGCCCCCTCCTGGGGATGTGCCCACAACATGCCCTTGACCGGAATCGAACCCAGGACCCTTCAGTCCGCAGGCTGACGCTCTATCCACTGAGCCACACCGGTTTCAGCTGAGAGCCCTGCTTAGTAGATATTTTCTTGCTCAGGGTCCACAGCCATCAACTAGACTTTCAAGTGAACTTCCAAATAAGACAAACATAGAGTAACTCTAAAGATAATTAGACGTTTTATGCATAGACAGAGCCGAGCTAACCTAAGGGTTGGGCTTTTCTCTCGCTGTCTCCCAGGTGATGGACAAATACGGCGAGTTCTACGGTCGGGACAGGATCAGTGAGCTGCTGGGCATGGACAAGGCCGCCCTGGACTTCAGCGACGCCCGCGAGAAAAAGAAGCCCAAGAAAGACAGCTCGCTGGCCGCGGTGTGAGTGTCACTGCCCCACGCCAGCTGCCAGGAGGAGACGGGGTGGCACTTGACCTTGCCCAGCCTTGTCTCCTTCCCTCCGGGTCACAGGGACCGAGACAGAGACCAGAGTGTACACAGAGTCTCCTCTGTACCTCTGGCTATTTTGAGCTAAGAATGATTGGATTTTTTTTCTATTAATTTTTGAAAGTGCCTTTTTCATTTTCTTTTAGAAATGTATTCTATTAATTTCAGGGAGGAAAGGAGAGGGAGAGAGAGAGAGAGGAACATCAATAATGAGAGATGCCCCCTACTGGGCATGGAGCCCACAACCCCGGTATGTGCCCTGCCTCAGGAATTGAACCGTGACTTCCTGGTTCAAGGTCGATGTTCAGTCACTGAGCCATGCTGGCTGGCTGAAGGTGCCTTTTTCATTAAGTACATAAAACAACAAAAAATGTTCTTTAAAAAAAAAAATATATATATATATATATATATATATATATTATTGATTTTTTACAGAGAGGAAGGGAGAGGGATAGAAAGTTAGAAACATCAATGAGAGAGAAACATTGATCAGCTGCCTCCTGCACACCCCCTCCTGGGGATGAGCCCACAACCAAGGTACATGCCCTTAACCAGAATCGAACCTGGGACCTTTCAGTCCGCAGGCCGACGCTCTATCCACTGAACCAAACCAGTTAGAGCAAGAAAAAAATGCTCTTAATTTAACTTGTCTTTTCTTTCCTTAAGCCAAAGTAAAACATACACAAACATGCAATATATGATGATGTTTTCTGATACTTCTTTGAAAAAAAATGTTCATTTTCTTACGTTTTGGGAAAGGGAACTGTGTAGCCCTTTTATTTCCTTTTTTAAAATGCGTGTTTCTTAATTTTTAGAGCAAGGGGAAGGGAAACATCGATGAGAGACAGACGGGAAATTCAGATCCCGACGTGACCCTTACTCCGTTGCCGGTTGCTCTGGGGGAGACAAATCGGGCTCTCACCCCGCTTGGGTGCTTGGAGCCTCCTGGTGTGGGCAGGGCTAGAACTGATGTCCCGGGCGGTGCCAGGCGCGTCCCGGGCATCTGCTTACTGGGCCCGTCTGCGCACTCTTTGTCTTTCCAGACTGAACTCCATCGATGTGAAGTATCAGATGTGGAAACTCGGAGTCGTTTTCACGGACAACGTAAGTCACGGCAGCGCCAGGCACTCCGGTTCCTCAGGCTGTTTTGGCTGCAGATGTTTCTTCGAAATCAGTTCCCTTAACCCAGAGCCCAGCTGGGCAGGACCCAGCATCAAGGCGATTCACTTAATTAAGGCGATTTCACTTAATCGCCTCTCCCAGTCCCTTTCTTTAGTAGCTGAGAGGAAAACAAACACATATTTACACAAGAAGAAACTGAGATGCCACGTTACGTATAGTTTCATTTAGGTTTTAGTTGGGTGGGGCATACTTCAACGTTTCGTAGACGTTAAAAAGCAAGTTTTAAATACATTAAAAGGATTTAAATGCTGATGATGATAAATTCTAGTTTCTCCCAAATTAAGCAATTATTGTGTTGATCCTTCATTTATCAAAAAGCTGCACAGCCTCTGAAATAAACATAAGGATCAAGTCAGGTGCCCACAGACAATGAAAAAGTCTCGTTACCAAAAGCTACCTGCTGTCGGCAGCTGATCCTTTTCCTCCAACCTGGCTTGCTCAACAGTGTCACAGGTTTTGTTCTTGAAGCTTTCGGATGAAATGACTGTTCCTATCAGTTGTCCCGTTTGCTGGCTGTGGGACGTCGCTGCAGAGAAGCCTGAGACGCGGCTGACCGCTGAGCCAGGCATGTCTGCTGTCAGGTGTCAGCCAGCCTCCCAGGCCTCTCCCAGCTTCCCCCCTGTGCCCAGGAGTGCCCTGGCCGTGGGCTAAGCTGCAGCTTCTCCCGCGCACCTCATGTCCTCTTAAAGCCTCACTTCATCTTAACACTGCCTCTCATAGTGAGCATGCGTTCCCTTCTCCCAAAGACTGGGACACCCCACATTCTCCTGCCTCGACCCCCCACCTCACTCAGCCACAGCCCAGACGCCAGGGATCTTAGAGACTCTTCTGAGGCCCCAAACCCAGACTGTGCCTTAGAACTGTCCCCTGTTCGCAAGGCGTCTTGCAGCCAATCTCTCTCACGGTGGAGGCCCCTCCCCGGTTGTATCATTAGAATTCTGTGACTTTGTAGTCTGAGAAGGCGAAGTACACGGAGTGGCTGCCCTAGAGGGAAGCCGGCACTGGACGGCAGTCAGGGGCTCTGTTCTCTGACGCACGTGTGTCTGTCCCGTGTGCAGTCTTTCCTGTACCTGGCCTGGTACATGACCATGTCCGTGCTGGGGCACTACAACAACTTCTTCTTCGCGGCTCATCTTCTCGACATCGCCATGGGCTTCAAGACGCTGAGGACCATCTTGTCGTCAGTCACGCACAACGGCAAGCAGGTGAGAGGCTTTTGGAAGAGCTTTTTATTGTTATTATTATTATTTTAATATATTTTATTGATTTTTTTACAGAGAGGAAGAGAGAGGGACATAGAGTTAGAAACATCGATGAGAGAGAAACATCCATCAGCTGCCTCTTGCACACCCCCTACTGGGGATGTGCCCGCAACCAAGGCACATGCCCTTGACCGGAATCGAACCCGGGACCTTACAGTCCTCAGGGTGACGCTCTGTCCACTGAGACACACCGGTTTTGGCTGGAAGATCTTTTAAACTGCGGCATTTCACAGGGAAAATGTTGGCCTTCCAAACAGTGTTGCTTATCAGCTCTTAAAGTGTCTTTCACTTTGATCATTGCTTTACGTTACCGAAAAGGACTTCTCCGGCACATATTTAAAATATTTATATTATATATCGTTAATAGTGTGTCTTTCCAGATGCTAGAAGCAATGCAAATTTCTATTTAGTTTTAAGATATGGAAACTAAAGGGTCCCGGTTCAGTTCTGGTCAAGAGCATGTACCTTGGTTGCAGGCTCCACCCCTGGCCTTGGACCATGCCTGTGCAGGAGGCAGCCAGTGGATGTGTCCCTCTCACATCAAAGTTTCTCTCTCTGTCTCTCTTTCTTCCATTCTCTCTAAAAATCAATGGGAAAATACCCTCAGATGAGGATTAACAAAAAATACATATATTTGACTTGTAATCAGTCTTAATGAGATAGTTTTAATTGGAATGTCTATTAAAGACATTATAAAAAGAAAGAGCAATGTATCTACTGTCAGATATTTAGAAGAAAGAAAAATTAGCATTTTTAAGCAGCTTATTATCAATTTGGATATGAAATTAAGACAGTTTATTTATATTCCAGCTTCAGGATGCATTTATTAACCAAGGAATCAAGTTTTACATAAAATATCTGACACCTTGGTAAAATAAAGAGAATATGAAAACAGGTAGGAAAAGCATATGATCACCTGGCTGGTGTTGCTCAGTGGTTGAACATCCACCTATGAACTAGGAACTGTGAGGTCACAGTTTGATTCCCGGCCAGGGCACAGGCCTGGGTTGTGGGCTCCATCGCCAGTGTGGGGCGTGCAGGAGGCAGCCGATCCATGATTCTCTCTCATCATGGATGTCCCTCTCCCTTCCTCTTTGAAATTAATGAAAATATATATTTTTTAAAAAAGAAAAAAAGACATCTGGTCAGTGAGTCCAGCTTGTGCCAAGTCCCCCACAGACATCCCTCCCACAGCCGCCCTTTCTCATGTCCTGACACATGACGCCACGTTGCTTTCCAGCTGGTATTAACCGTGGGCTTATTGGCTGTGGTCGTATACCTGTACACGGTGGTGGCATTCAATTTCTTCCGGAAATTCTACAACAAAAGTGAAGATGGAGACACGCCGGATATGAAGTGTGACGACATGCTAACGGTAAGTTCACGTGTGAGGTCTCGTGTGGATGAAAACGCGCCCCCGCCTCAGCCTCAGTAACGTGTGCAGTTACCCTTGACCGGGGCAGAGCAGGAGCGGGTGCACATCGGAGCTCCAATCCTGCTCGTTAGAGTCCGTGCAGCCCATCCACACCTCCTCTTCCCACATGGAGAGCCAGAGTCTAACCCAAGGTCATGGTCGGGGGATGGTCATACACAGATGTGTCCCCTGTGCTGGGCCTGGCAGGCGAGGTGTCCCTGGTCCCCCAGGGGTGTGGATGTGGAAACTGGGAGCCAGAACTGGACAGAAAATTGTCCGGTGAGCCCTCTGCCCATGGGGGCGTTGCAAACCGGGCAGCGGAGGTGAAGCTGGGCAGGTGGCCCGGGGGAGGGGGTGTTTGCATCACGTTGCAGGTACGGAGACGAGACGGAGGAGGGCGAGCACCTCAGTCCCAGGGTGAGGACTTGGCTCAGAGAGAGAAGGGGGGCGGTGCATGTGAGGGCCAGTGTCCTCGGCAGGCGCCCTCTCTCCGCAGTGCTACATGTTCCACATGTACGTGGGCGTGCGGGCTGGAGGGGGCATCGGCGACGAGATTGAGGACCCGGCAGGTGACGAGTATGAGATCTACCGGATCATCTTCGACATCACCTTCTTCTTCTTCGTCATCGTCATCCTCCTGGCGATCATACAAGGTAACCCCCCGGCGCCAGGCAGCCGTCCCCCGGGGAGACAGGGCCAGAGACACATGGGAGAAGGGCCTCACTGGGGACCAGACACAAGTGAGCAGCACATTGGGGCTTCCAGCATGGAGTGGCTGTGACAGAGTCTGATCTGTGTCGCCCCATCACTGCGCACACGTCTGTCCCACAGAGAGGAGGCCCCGCCCTGGAGGAGTGTTGGGGTGCCCACGGTGATCCCCATTGCTGAGCGGTGCCGAGCGTGGCTGCACACATTCCCTCCCAAGGGAGGTTGGCCAGGGTTTCGGAGTTAATGGCCGTTCTCTGGGTGGTAAAGATTAACCCGCGTCTTTATCTACCTCCAGGTTTGATCATTGATGCGTTTGGAGAACTCCGAGACCAGCAGGAACAGGTCAAGGAGGACATGGAGGTCAGCCTCCCGTTTCTGCCCGGGCCTGACGGGTGCTCCCCGCCCTCCCTGCCTTTGTCTCGGAGCTCTGAGTGTGTGAGCCGGGGCGCTCGGCTCTGCCTCTGAGCGCTGACGTCCGGTCTCTCCTTCGTCCTGCAGACCAAGTGCTTCATCTGCGGGATAGGCAACGACTACTTTGACACGGTGCCCCACGGCTTCGAGACACACACGCTGCAGGAGCACAACCTGGCCAACTACCTGTGAGCGTGCCCCCTCACACCCCCCGCCCCAAACCCCCCTGCACCCCCTCTCCCAGGGCCTGTGGGTGCCGACGCCCCCCACGCTCATCCTGACTCCTCTCGTCTCCGCAGGTTTTTCCTGATGTATCTCATCAACAAGGACGAGACAGAGCACACGGGGCAGGTAGGGAGGGGACTGGCCTGAAGGGAAGGGCGGAAGGGAGCTTGCCCTGGGGACAGAGCTGGGTATTAAACCCTGAGGCGGGTTCCCTCCAGACTGTAGTCACGCCGGCACACGGAGGCCCTGGCCAGACCAGCGTGCAGGGCTTATAGAAAAAACAAACAAACAAAAAAAAAAAACACCCTCTTGCTGCTGAAGATGCGAACTCTGGGTTTGGATTATTATAATGTCTTTGGTGTCTTAATCAATAGCAGGTGCTTTCAGATGCACTTCCACCCACAATATCATGGGCAGTGAAGAATAATTGCATATTAAAGGTTGTTCTTAAGCTATTTGAAATTCTATCTCCACAAAATTTGCTTCCAGTTGTTAATGGTTTGAATTGGAAGGAGTCAATGAGCAATAATGTTTTTAAAAGAACCCTCGAAATCATTTACCACAATTAATTCCCATCCATTATTGTATCGTGGCCCGGATGAAGATGATCTGTCTGTTACTAGAAGTAAGCAGGTCTGACACAGTGAGGACCCGGGTAATGAACTTGGGCTTCTCCAGTGACATCCGTGTCCACGTGTAATGACACAACGGTACCCACGTGACATACGTACCCACCGCTGTGAGCTCGTCTGACACTCTGTGGGGACACAGGTGCTGGGGAAGACCTGCTGGCATTGCCCTGTCTTCCTCCCGCAGGAATCTTACGTGTGGAAGATGTACCAGGAAAGGTGCTGGGAGTTCTTCCCCGCTGGGGACTGTTTCCGGAAGCAGTATGAAGACCAGCTGAACTAACTCAGACCGGCACCCGGAAACTGAGCACCCGCCCCCTCCGTGGCCCTCTGCCTCTCACTCACTCTCTCTGCCTCTCTGCCTCTCTCTCTGTGCCTCTCTCTCTCTCTCTCTCTCTCTGCCTCTCTGCCCCCACCCCCCCTCTCTCTGCCTCTCTCTGCCTCTCTCTTTCTCTGCCTCTCTCTGCCTCTCTCTCTAACTCTCTCTGACTCTCTCTGACTCTGTCTCTTGCAAACATCCGCTGATGTGAGACTTGCCGCCTTCCATGCTTCCTGGGGGCAGTGGCTGTGCACCTGGCCGGGCCTTCCCCCGCTTGTGTATTTTCTTTGAGAATCACCACGGAAGAACCACCGTACTCATCCGCAGACCACATGGAACTCGGGAAAGAAAGCCATCTGGACACTCGGTCACAACACGGACAGACGTCCTTCCAGGACGGGGAGCTCCCCGAGGGCGAGGTCAGGGGAAGGCGGGCCGCGCCCCGGGCTCCTCACGCCTCCGTCCGGGGAGGGACCCGGCGGTCCCCAGCTGCAGTGCCTCCGCCGGTGGCGAGGGAAACAGTGCCTTACTCAGTGGGCTGAGCTATGCAGAAGACGCGTGCGTGGAGCATCTTATTTTCATGTCCACTTGTTCTCCTTCGGTTGGTTTTGTGCGTTTTTTCCTTGTCCTTGTACTCGGTGGGGGAGGGTGGCGAAGCAGTCCGTGCACTTTCCAAGGAGCCGGTGGCCGGCCTCGTGACGAGGGGCTCCTCTCATCCCCCCCCCCCCATCACGCCCCCCGACGGCCCAGCTCCCCTCCCCGCCATGCTCTGAGGCAACCCTGCAACTCGATGAAACCGATCCTCGTGTGCAACAGACCGCAGACACACACCTCCGACAGATCTCACTGCATGTCCATGATGCAAGTTTCCACCGACGGAGAAACCCTCCGAGGCCGGCTGGTCCCGCGAGAACGGTCCCCGTCACTGGTCCACGGCGAGACAGGGCGCCGTGGGCCCCCGAGTCCGCAGCCGGCACCGTCCACCCGCCGAGACCGCTGCGGACCTGAGCCATCCTGGGGCCCTCTCTTCCCGCCAGCTGTGACCAGCGGCCGAGTGAGGACTTCTCGTCCGGCCATTTCTCAATATCGATGCTGAAGCAATATCCATTCAGGGAGTTGGTCGGTTGCATAAACCCCCGGGGGATGGGATCAGTCACTCCATTGGCGTCCTTCCCATGGATGCTGGGAGGAAGGCAGTGGGATGGAAGCAAGGCCACGTGGCCAACCTTGGGGCTCTTTTAATTTAGGATTGTAACACTGCTCTGATTAAACTATTTAACTAACGTGTGCAGTCTCTTCTCTGTCCATTTCCCTTAGAACCGGCCGTTCCCGATCATTCTGCCTTTAGGGTCCATTTGCGTGTTACCCTTTTATGATATAGGATTGATTTCAGAGAGGGAGAGGAGAGAGAGAAACATCCATGGTGAGAGGGAATCGTTGATCGGCTGCCTCCTGCACGCCCCCTACTGGGAATCAAGCCCGAAAACAGGGCATGTGCCCTGACCTCCTGGTTCGTAGGTGGGCACTCAGCCACTGAGCCACACTGGCCGGGCTGTCTGCCTCATTTCTGTACAGAGTTCTACAGACTGCTCAGCTGGCTTTTGTAGCTGTTTATGTTATTAAATTGTCTTTAAAAAAAAAACAACAACAAAAAAAAACACCTAGGTCCAGTTGTAATATTCATCATGATTAGGATGGTTGGGGTTTGTGGTTTCTCCTTGAAGATCTGGGACACCATCCGTTGATGAAAGGTTTTCAGGGAACTAGGAATCTTGCGTGGAAACCTGTCAGTGCTCAAGGTGGCTACTTAAGGCCGTTCCTCCGTCTGGAGCTGTGCTAGGTCAGAGGCAGGAGACAGTGACGGGTCTCGGCGCCCAGGGGGGAGAGAGACCTGCCATGGGAAAGCTTTGGGATGGAGGATAATGGGCTTCAGCCACGTGGCCACTCACTGCCCACTGGTCACCTAGTGCCGGTCAGAGCCACGCGGAGGCTGCAGGCAATAGGAAGACGCTGTGGTCCCTGCCCTCTCCAGTCTGTCCGTCTGCTGAGATGCCTTCGGCATCGCAATTCTTCTCTCTCCCCCGTCCTCGCGGGACAGCTTCAAACGTGGAGGCGTCGCAAAATAGGACAATGCATCCACCCGCCACGTCCCCATGGGAACTGGGCCGGGCGACAGGGTGGCCTTATCTCCCAGCGCCAGGCGGCCCCGGGCAGCTGCCGAGCCTGCCAACCCACCTGCCCCCAGCAGCTGGCCGGCGCGTGGGCGGCCTCTGTGGGAAGCGGGGACCGTTATGGAAACTGGCTCAGTCCTGTCAGGAGATGGCTCTACTTTCTCCTCCGGGCAAAACGGGAACGGGGTTGGCTTCGGGACCGGAACTGTCTTCCCAGGCGTGAGGCTGAGGGCGCCCAGCTCTTTGCTGCTGGGACCCGGCCTCTGGTCCTCTCGCCCCAGTCCTCTGAGCCCAGGCTCTGGCTGGGATGGGGGGCCGAGGGGAGGGTCAGAGAGGTTTTACAATGGTGCTGCCTGTGGACAGTCTGAGAACAGCGCCCTCGTAAGGAATTCTGCAGGTTGCAATAGGCAATAGTCTTCCTTTTTGCTTTACTCCTAAAGCTTCCAACCCTTCCTCGTCCTGCTCACCCCAATCATTCCCCATCTAACCCAAATCACCTTCCTTCCCACCAGGGGCATCAGCAACCCCTTCCTTCCTCATCTCTGCCTCCTGCTGCAATGGCCTCAGTAGGTTACCCTCTAGGCCAGTGGTCGGCAAACTCAGTCCATGGAGCCAAATATCAACAGCACAACGATGGAGCCACGTTTTTCAAACTAAACTTCTAACGCCACTTCAACATAGACTCGCCCAGGCCGTGGTATTTTGTGGAAGAGCCACCCTCAAGGGGCCATAGAGCCGCAGTTTGCCGACCACGGACCCAAGTGAATTACATGAAATCCACTGGTGATAGATTAGGGAGGCGATTTAAAGCTAAGGAGGTGGGGGGGGGGGGGAAGGGCTAGAACCTCTAGGATTGGATAAAGTAACATGAGAGACACATGCTTCCTTTACCCAGGTGGGCATTGGATGAAATCGAGAGCCGAGCGCTTTCTGGGCAAGATGGAATTGGTCCGCATTCCAGCTCTCCCATGACTTGCCCTAGTGATCCTGGCTTCGCACACCCGTTCCTCTCAGGCAGCCTCCCACACTTGGTGGGGTTTGACCTCTGGATGTCCCAGGTCCTGGGAGAGGGGGGTGATTGCCCCCCTTACTCGGTGTTCATGAGACTCAGGTGTGTAGCCAAGCACCTGTCCCGTCGAGGGCCCCGGTAGTTTAAGCGACTATTGCTCCCCACTCAGCTGTTGGAGGGGGGCCTGGTTTGACCCCTAAGCAGCTGTTTAAGAGCCAAGATGAAGACGGTGCTGAAAGGCCAGGCAACCAAAAGTTCCCCTCTTACTGATGAGTGGGGACAGCTGGTCTACCAGGCGCCTGTCAGGGCTGCCGGGGGAGGAAGGTAGAGAGCCACAGGTGTTACTGTTCGTGGTACGTCGCACCCCTTCCTCGATCTCCAGCTGGGAAGGAGAGATGCCAACCGCAGACAGACAACGAGCTACCCAGAGACCACCCAATGAGACGCGGGCACTGGCTGCTGAGGAAATCACATTTATTAGTGCGTTTGGTCCGGGAACTCAGCTCCATTTCTTCACGGCCAGGTAGGTCACGCCCAGAACTCCTACGATGAGGGTCCCCGAGAGGCCAGCCACCCACAAGGCCTGGGGGTCTCCCGCAGCACCTGGCGGGGAGGAGGGGAGGGGAGGTGACGGCGGTGACCGGGGCTGCCACCTGATGGTGAGGGAGGGGGAGGAGGGGGGGGGAGGGGCAGAGGGGGAGAAGGAGGGAAAGCTTTGGTTTGCCTCCTGCCCCAGGCGGATGGTTACGTCTTCACTCACTGGAGTCTGTAGGAAGTTCTGTGGCAGGGTCCTCGGAGGCCTGGAGCAGGATCATGGGGCCCAGGCTGGAAATGCTGGCGGTGCCGTTCGGGTCCTGGGCCTCAGAGCTTCTTCTCCCTGTCGGAGGAGGCGGGAGGGGGTGTTAGCATTTTGCACACGGGGTTGTGGGGGGTTAGGGTGCGAGAGTGATGCGAGTCAGGGTTCCTCAGCATGGACAGCTCTGCTCCAGGCCTGAAGCAAAGGCCATGTTAAATCCCATCCGATGAACCTCCAACGAGCAGGTCTTAAACCTCATTAGCACGGTAATAGGAATCTGAGCAAGACAGACTTCATGGAGCCGCTACCTCAGGGGCTCCAGAATGGGGGCATCCGGGTCATGTCAGGCTGCCCTGCCCTGCCCTTCTTTCCTGTATATTTATACAATAAATAGCTTATGAAGACCTCGATAGAAATAACTGGCGATGGTTCACAGAGTAGAGCTTTGTTTGAATCCCACGTCTTTCGACGAAGCTGAAGTTGGTTCTAGTTTGAGAGGGATGTGGATTCAGTAGTGTTGGAGTCAGACATGCGACACTTAATAGGTTTGTGTGTGTGTGTGTGTGTGTGTGTGTGTGTGTGTATCGGGCCACGTGTAAGCCCTGGCTTAGTGACAATCCCTATGGAAAATGCCAAGGCCGAGAGTTGCTGGAGGATTTTAACTTCTGATGAGAAGGCCTGGGGTTTGGAAGCATCTAGAAGTCCTTGGAGAGGCCTCGTTCATAGGCTCATCTCCAGTCTGAGTCGCGTGCCCACGGGGTGGGAGGTCAGCCAGGACCCGTGTCGAGAGCTTGGATACTCACGCCTGGTCACAGGGCAGGCTGTGCAGGACGGGGACCCTGAAGGCCGGCAGACGGACACGCTGCAGTGCAGGAACACCTGGCAGCCGAGAGAGTGGAGGTCACGGCCCAGCCCCCCATCCTGAGAGACTGAGAGCCCCATCTTCCCGCTCTGTCCAGAGGGGTTAGAAGGTCCGAGGCAGCACCAGCAGCCGACCAGGGAGGCTATGGAGCTGGGGGTGCAGGGCCCTCCGGGGGGCAGGGAAGGAGCACCATACCGTCCCCCCGAGCGCCCGTCCGGCCCCCGCGTCCACGAAGCTGAAGGTGAAGATGCTGAACCGCTGGGTGTGGGACGGGAACGGCAGGCTCTCGTTCTCCGGGATGCGGATCAGCTGGGTCTGGTAGTTGTCTCCGGCGTAGGGGCATCTAAGCATGACACCCACAGTCAGGGGGCGGGGAGGGGGGGGGTCCTGGGGCAGGGCTGCCTCGGGCACAGGCGAGAGCCGCTCACCCGTCCACCAGCAGCGCCCACTGCGGCTGCTGCCCGGGGTCGGGGCCGGCCGTGGCCCAGCACTGACGCAGCAGCAGCCCCAGGCCAGGGTCGGTCCTGTGACGGAGGGCCACCTCCACGTAGATGGGGTCCCGGAGCAGCTTCACCACCGGGTAGTCCCCCGCGCTGTAGTAGGAGCTGTAGTTCCCATCTGCAAGAGGCCACGGTGAGGGGAGGCGGGGAGGCGGAGCCGGGACACCCGGGGCCGTGTGAGATGGGCCATCACCCGTGCCAACGCCTCTGGCCAGTGTCCCCATGGCTTGGGCAGGGTCTCCACGCCCCGGAGAGAGACAGGCTCGGGCTGCAGCCGAGCACTCGGCCAGGAGAGTCTCACCTTTGGCGATCTGAAGCTCCAGGGTGAGGGCTCCGGGCTGGCTCTTGGGAAGGGGCGGTGGGAGGAGGAAGACCTGGACATTGACTGGGAGGGCGCTACTGCTCACAGGGTAGGTGCAGCTGACGCGGAGTCTGCAGAGAAATGGGCGTCAGCCGCTTCCCGGCGGGCAGGGCCCCTGGCATGTCATGCTGGAGGAGTTACTAAGTACCAGGGGACATGCTTGTCAATATGATGGGCGTGGTTCCTGGCCTGGGGGTGGTGGAAGTGGGGGGCTCTATTTGAGTTGGGGAGACCACTGTGGAGAGGAGTCAATATTTAAGAGAGGAAGATGTCAGAAACGTCCGAGAACAGACATGGCCCTTAGAAACAGGCGTCTTCGGTGGAGAGTACAGTCAGGGAAGAACGTACAGGAATCTGATATGAAGATAGAACCAGAACGGAGGTCCTGGAGGGGAGACAGTTGACAAGAAACGTCTGGAGGCCAGAAACACTGGGGTCAGGCAGGTGACAGGTTCTCTGGTCACCAGGAAACGTCCTGTGAAGTCAGGGTCTGGGCACCAAGGACTCACTTACCAACCCTTGCTTTATGCCAGGAGGGCAGCTGTGCCCAGGGGAGCAGCTCTCCCCAGGGGAGCAGCTCTCCC